TCTAGAGTTTCAGGTAGATTCATCTGGCGTCGATCCTATAACTTCTCTTTTGCTCTGCACAAGAAGGCGTGATCAACGGGTGTTCCCCATGCTATCATCAACATCAACTCAATGGTCCATTGGTTAAAATATGGAAGTAGCATGCCTGTTACCCTCGTGGAATCAAACATGCTTTGCTGGAAAATCATCCATGGATACAGATACATTTTCCCATCAAAAACCATTGATAGATAGGAATCTCCCAACCATGTTTGATTGCCGAATGGTTTTCCTTGGTGAGACTGCCTGACCAAAGCTCAGCAATGATGCAGCCCAACGACCTGATCCAAGAAGCACACACGCAAAACTGCAACGTCTGCCAATGTCTGCCATGTCGACAAGTTGACATGGAAACTCCTGAGAATCCCGTGCCAAAGGTCAATCTTCTGGTCGTAAGGCAAACCCAGAATCACTTCTGGAGCCCTCAGCGGTGGCAGGAGATTGCACCCTGAACTACCCACCTTTTGTAAAACCATTTTTTATTGAACCACCAAACCACATCAAAACATGGTGTGTAACCGTTAAACCCCCGAAACCGGGAAGAATAAGGATCCCTGTGCAACTAACACAGGTATCCCCATAGAATCTGAATAGGATTCTTTTTTATCGGTCACAGTCCGGTTCGAACTTAGAACAGTCGCATGTTGGCACGAAAGCAAACTTGCCAAACGAGATCGACTACATGATTTGACTATATTTCACCAAAGTGGTGAATAAACCCAGTGTCATCATAAACCTCTAAGTATTGAGAATGATTTACTATTGGGTTTACACGGGTTTACCACATTACACACAATATCGAGAGTTCAATCGACTTGATCACAATCTCCGTTTGAAATAGAAAACACGCAATGGCTACTGAAAATATATTGTAACGATATTAACGATATTATTGAAGATGCAGCGGAACTGTGTTCACAACAAGAACTTCAAAAGCAAACCTCACATATGTATAAGGGGTGTTATAAGTACCCACTACTGTTCATTGGAGTTCTAGGGTGGCAAATGCAAAGTCCAAATTAAGTGGCTATTCCTGCTACTTTCGTCAATCACATGCACTGTGGAGGGCCCCTGCCTGTACGAGCGTGACTGCACATAGTTGGTGAGACAGTCATCCACGAAGCAGCTGGAACCGAAATCGATAACTTTGACCTGGTGCCATTGTGATCCAATCTATAGGGGGTTCCGACCACGAATCGGGAATCTTTGCAAATCGAAGATTTGGCATTGGGATTTTTGAACAACAAAACAATTTGTGGTTCAAAAGCTGGGTGCGCTTTTTGCTCAGGGATGTTCATTTTCCCCAATTGTCGTGGACAACATCTGTGGAAAATTGTGGAAAACTGTTCATGAAGACAGTGTAAGCGACGAAGTTACAAAATGCGCCGCCGATATGCATATGCTCGTTTGTGCAGGATACTTGCATATGTTGTCAATTTATATACCAGTAGTACCGCACAAGGCGGTGGCGGAAGTTTCAAAGATAGGACCACTATAGGTTGAGTTGTTGGAGTGTCGATGACGGAGTGACAGGTGGTTGGAGTGTCGATGTTTGATTGACACATTCTGTTGATCTTCTTGATGCAATCAGGTATTCATCCATCTTCCTTTTGTCTATCTGTTCGTTTATCTGACTGTCTATCTGCCTGTCCATCCATGTTGTCTATCTATCTTTCTGTCTATTTTTCTGTCTATCAGTCTGTCAAACTATCTGTCGGTCCATCTATCTACCTTCTCGTTCTATCTATCTTACTCTCTTTCTTTCTTTCTTTCTTTCTAACTTTCTTTCTTTCTTTCTTTCTTTCTATCTTTCCTTCTTTCCTTCTTTCCTTGTTCTTTCTTTATATCTGTCTGTCTGTCTGTCTGTCTTTCTGTCTTTCTATCTGTCTATCTGTCTATCTATCTATCGATCTATCTATCTATGTATCTGTCTATCTGTCTATCATCTGCCTACTGTCTACCTGTCTCTCTGTCTACCTGACTCTATATCTATCTATCTGTCTATCTGTCAATCTATCTATCTATCTATCTATCTATCCATCTACCTGTCTATCTATCTGTCTGTCCATCTATCTGTCCATCTATCTGTCTATTTTTCTGTCTATTTTTCTGTCCATCTATCTATCTATCTATCCATCTATCTATCTATCTATCCATCTGCTCATCAAACAGTCTGTCTATCTATCAATCGATTTGTCTGTCTATATATCTTTCTATCTTTCTGTCCATCTATTTGTCTATCTTCCTGTTTCTGTCTATCTATCTGTCTATCTTTCTGTCCGTCTATTTATGTATCAATCAATCTATCTGTCTATCTACCTATATGTCCATCGATTTGTCTATCCATCTATCTGTCTACATATCTGCCTATGTCTACCTACCTATCTATCTATCTATCTAAGTCTATCTATCTGTTTGTTTTTGGACAGCTCAACGTCCAAAAATGGTCCAACGCTGTGGTGTTTTTACCGTTTTGGCTTCGACATCTGCTTCGCACCACAACAGCGTGCACTTTTTCGAGCACTCAACTTCCAAAAGTGCTCCGAGGCTGCAATGTTTTTACCATTTTGACTTCGAAATGTGCTTCGCGCCTCGACGGCGTGCAATTTTTGATCGCCCAGCTGACCAGATATCTCCGCACCCGCCGCTTTAGCGAGCCTACTCTTCGACCCTCCGGAGCCACAAAACATTGAAAAAACACAATGCTTCGCGACTTTTCTACCTTTTCGCGCGTCTGGATCTTCTTTCTTCGGCCTTTCTCTTCTCTGATCTTCTTTCTTCTGCCTTTCTCTTCTCTGACTCTTCCCACCTCTGCTTTTCCATCTGTCGATATTGTCGGAAGTTTGACTTCTAAACGTCCTTCGCATGTATATATATATATATATACCAGTAGTACCGCACAAGGCGGTGGCGGAAGTTTCAAGAATAGGAAACCTATAGGAGAGGTTGGTTGTTGTGAATCACGGATGGCAGAGCGAATCCACTGATGGACCGACAGGTGGTTGGAGTTGTGCTTTTTGGTATGGTTGCAATGGTTGCAGTGGTCACCTGGTCGGTCACCTCACACACAACTGCTGGATGTATGTAGTGTGGTGTGGTGCAGCTGTAGTTGTAGTTGTAGTGTAGTGGAGTTGCAGTTGCATTTGTGGTGGTGTAATGGGTGTAGTGTAATGTAATGTAATGCGATGTGGGGTAGGGTAGTGTAGTGTAGTGTCGTTGAGTGTAGTGCGGTGTGGTGTGGTGTGGTGTAGTGTGGTGTAGTGTAGTGTAGTGTAGTGTGGTGTAGTGTAATGCAATGTGTGTAGTGTAGTGTAGCAAAGTGTACTTTAGTGTAGTGTGTTGTGCAGTGTACTGCAGTGTGGTGTAATGCAATTAGTGTAATGTAGTTGTAGTTGTAGTTGTAGTTGTAGTTCTAGTCTAGTGTAGTGTAGCGTAGCGTAGTGTAGTGTAGTGTCGCGTGGTGTATTGTAGTGTAGTGCAGTGGTAGTTGTAGTTGTAGTTGTAATTGTAGTTGTAGTTGTAGTTGTAGTGTAGTGTAGCGTAGTGTAGTGTCGCGTGATGTATTGTAGTGTAGTGTAGTGTAATTGAGTGTAGTGTACTGTAGTGTAGTGGAGTGTAGTGTAGTGAGGTGTAGTGTAGTGGAGTGGGGTGTAGTGTAGTGTAGCGCAGTGTAGTGAAGTGCAATGTAATTAGTGTAGTGTAGTGTAGTCTTATGTAGTTGTAGTTGTAGTTAGTGCGACGTAGTGTAATGTAGCGTAGTGTAGTGCAATGTCATTAGTGTAGCGTAGCGTAGCGTAGTGTAATGTAGTGTAGTTGCAGTCGCAGTTGTAGTTGTAGTTGTAGGTGTAGTGCAGTGTCATTCAGTGTAGTGTAGTGTAGTGGAGTGTAGTGTAGCGTACTTAGCGTAGTGTAGCGTAGTGTAAATGTAGTATTGTTGTGGTTGTAGTTGTAGTTGTGGCTATAGTTAGTGTAGTGTAGTGTAGTGGAATGTAGTGTAGCTTAGTGTAGTGTAATGTAGTGTAGTGGAGTGTAGTGGAATGTAGTGTAGTGTAGTAGAGTGTAGTAGAGTGTAGCGCAGTGGAATGTAGAGTAGTGTAGTTGTAGTGTAGTGTAGTGGAGTGTAGTGTAATGCAGTGTAGTGTAGTGGAATGTAGTGTAGTGTAATGTAGTGTAGGTGAGTGTAGTGTAGTGTAGTGTAATGTAGTGTAGTGGAATGTAGTGTAGTGTAGTGTAGTGTAGTGTAGTGTAGTGTAATTGAGTGTAGTGTAGTGTAGTGGAATGTAGTGAAGGTGTAGTTGTAGTTGTAGTGTAGTGTATTGGAGTGTAGTGTGGTGTAGTGGTAATTGTAGTTGAAAATGCTACAAACCCTCACGTTTTGCTCACGTTTGACAAGGTGCACAATCCCTTGCCCCTGCCACGCGAAACGACATCTGAACCTCCAAAAGTGGTCCGAACACCTGGTGTTTTTAACATTTTGACTTCGAAATGTGCTTCGCGCCACAAGGGCGTGCACTTTTTCGACATCTCAACTTCCAAAAGCTCTCCGAACGTGAGGTGTTTTTAGCTTTTTCACTATGTGCTTCGCGCCACAACCGCGTGCACTTTTTCGACATCTCGACTTCCAAACATGGTCCGGACCTGCTGTGTTTTGTACATTTTGACTTCGAATGTGCTTCGCGCCACAACAGCGTGCACTTTTTCGACATCTCAACTTCCAAAAGTGCTCCGAACGTGAGATCTTTTTAGCTTTTTCACCGTGCTTCATGCCACAACGGCCTGCACTTTTTCGACATCTCAACTTCCAACAATGGTCCGGACCTGGTATTGTTTGTACATTTTGACTTCGAAATGTGCTTCGCGCCACAACCGCGTGCACTTTTTCGACATCTCAACTTCCAAAAGTGGTCCCGACCTGGTGTGTTTTGTACACTTTGACTTCGAGATGTGCTTCGCGCCACAACGGCGTGCACTTTTTCGACATCTCAACTTCCAAAAGTGGTCCGGACCTGGTCTGCTTTGTGCACTTTGACTTCGAAATGTGCTTCGCGCCACAACGGCGTGCAATTTTTCATCTCTCATCTGCCCAGCGGGCTCCGCACCAGCCGCTTTCGCGAGCCTACTTTTCGACCCTCCGGAGCCACAAATCATTGGAAAAACGCGACTTTCCTACCTTTTCGCGCGCCTGGATCTTCTTTCTTCTGAGACTTTCTCTTTTTTGATCTTCTTTCTTCTTCTCTTCTCTTCGCTGACTCTTCCCATCTCTGCTTTTCATCTGTCAATATTGTCGGAAGTTTGACTTCTAAACTTCCTTGGATAATATATGATTCAATTATTATATCTACATCCATATATTTATATATATATATAATATTATATTATATATATATATATATATTGTATAGTTAATATACAGTATAGAAATGAATATTTCCTTTTATACATGTACACATACTAGTGGGAGTCGGCTGGAGCTGCATCAAGTTATTCGGGTGTGTTGTTGCTTCATGTAGCTGGATTGGAACTTTGGCAAAAATCCTTCGCACCTCGCATCGAGAATAGCTCTTGATCAAGATGTTCCTTTGCGGCCAGTTGCAGCAAAGGTTTTGGCCATCCAATATATAAGGACGACCCAACATATAAGGTTATATAGGCTATTATGCAGTTGATAAATGATGGCTGGTTTATGATTTTTTGGGGAATATACTACCCAATATATTATATATATTGGGGGCAGTGAAGAATCTGAAGAATCTAGCCATATCTAGGTTCTCAAACTACATTGATCTTGAACTGGAGCAAAGGTCTCAAGAAGGAGAATACAATCAGTGGATGATATTCGCAATGTGCAGCAATGAGTGTTCCATCAGCATTTTCATACGGCACGTTTTGGTCCAATCGAATGACAGCCTCATGTCCCAACCGGCCCAAATTCCAATGTATTTGGGTCTGTGATACGCCCACTGGATAGGGCCCTTCGCCAGAAAATCAATGCACCAGATCCGGTTTGGCACATCGATTTTGGTTTGCAGATACCCCCAGGTGCATCGATGTTTGGATCACAGAAATACATAGAAAGTAGAAAGGCCTGGTAAATCGATTTTGGTTTGCTGCAGTCCTTGGGCGTATTGAAGTGTATATGGAGATTATATGGAGTATAGTTTCTGTAGCTTTAGACTGATCATGAAGATGAAGACCTTCTTGCCTGTGATGAGCATGGTGATAGTGGTGATCAGTGATAACGACGATGATGACTATGAAGAAGACTTTGGTCAATCACACAGGCAAATATATATATATATATATATATTTATTTATTTATATTTACTTCTGACGGTGATGTCACCCGTTGCCCATCATCCCTCTTATCCTTGGTGGCAGCTGCAAGTATCAATATGGTAGTAGACGGTAGTTATTTTGGCTGCGGTGGGTAAGGGGCCTACCTAGTGTGCTTATCACGGACCCAAATACATTAAAATTGGATTTAGATACCTTGAATATAACTTCCCAGCTAAACAAGAATTGCCCCAGCCCACGTGTTTTGACCCATCCCAAGGAAGGAATGACACCAGCAATGACAAGCAATGACAAGGGAAACCAGACTTGACATCAGCAATGAGTTTTTTCCCCTTTGGGATTCATCATTACCTGAAGATATGTATGGAGATTTCCTAAAATACAAGTACCCCAAATCATCCAAGTCATGGATGACCATGACTTAGTATTGAAACCCTGGCCTCGGGGATCCCCCATTTTAAGAAACCCCCGGTATGGGACACACTTTGGACACACTTTCAACTCCTCACTCCAAGCCGCTCGGGCTTCAAATCAGCGTGGATCAAATAGAGCTGGTGGATGTACCTGGTAGTGGGGTTGGGTCAATGTGGTCAATGTCTATGGGACATTGACGATCTTTTAAGGGAACAATCATGAACAATCATTGGCCAGCTATACTATCCATCTATTTCCATTTCTTCGATAGACTCGATGTTTTGCTGCATCCTTTGGAACATTGTGATTCATGATAACCCTCCCTGAAACGTGGGGATATGAGATAATTAGTTTTGAACCACCCTAGACACACCAATCATAGACCTTGCTGAAAGCATACTAAAACAATAAAAAATGGGACTGCAGGCATACAATGACAAACCGCCATCAGTATGATTTCCCGCCACTCTTCAACGTTGCCATAATCGATTTGTCTCCGGTTGCTGGATGCTGTGTGCCAGCTTCGCGATCCGCAACTGCCGAGCCTGCCTATTTCATTGAACTGCGGGTTGTTAGAGTAAGCAAAATAAAATCAAATAACGCATACGATCGTATATGCAAGAAGATCTGCGAAAGTCTGGCAACATCCAGGCTCAGCTTGCCCAAACCTACATCACCCAGCACAAGTGTCTACTCTATTGTCACACGTCGAAGTTGTCTCAGCTTCGGACATGTTTCGAAGGCTGTGGTTTAGCCATTCGATGATGAAAGCACACTGCCGATCGCGGGCATCATAGATCACCTGATTGCCACCCTTTGATGCAACCTGAAACTTCAACATTGGAGCTGCCTCTGCTGACTGTGCTGGCCACACATCTGAGCCTGCAGGACGCCCCCAAGCTTCGAAGTGATACCAAAACATGGCCATCTCTGAAGCCAACTGCTGTTCTTCAGAAGATGCTTCTTCCGGCAAGTCCATGAAGACAAATGGCCTGGGTGTGATAAAATGACGCCCATCAATGGCATATGAAAGAACAAATCATTCCACATTATCCCAAGTTTTGACGATGAGGAAACATATATACATAAGGTGATAAGGTATAAAGTATCACAACAAAGTCCAAAACTTGTTCAAAACATAAGCCCTCATGAAGACAAATAGCAAGTCGTCCGAGTGTTTGGCAGTGCCAGTGGCACTATGTGCAAAGACGTAGCCGAAGACGCCATGAGCAGTTGGAGCTGGGTCAGTCACAAGGCTCCGGCGGCAGAAATGGCCAGGGCAATAGTAGTGCTTGTCTGTCATAACACGAAGCGCAGACCACCAACCCTCACTGGGGCTGGAGCCCTCACTGGGAGCCGGTGATTCAAGGGATTCCAAGCTGTACAGCTCCGCTTGCGCTTGCGAAGACTGATATTTGGCCTGGAATAAAGTCTGAAAGTCTTTGTTGCTCAGGTTTTTGGCAACAGTCGTGAAAAATTCACCATCCTCCTGGGTACTGCCGATAAGAATTGGAACTTGGTTCACCTGCCCCTTTTTCAGCAGGTCCCAGGGATGAGCTGAGAGCTCCACCCCATCAATGCTAGCAGCCCATGGGATCTCAGGATATGAACCCAATCCTTTGGCCTTTCTACAACACCTGCCGTCTGGAATTGCCATGTAAGCTGACAGAAGCTCATCTGCAGAAAGACTTACGAGGCAGTCTACATCGCGGCAATGCGTCTGATTCATGAACCGCTCGAACCACAGCTCTTTGCGCACCATGTGTTGTACGGACCAAGGGCCGAAGCCTCCTGACATCATGATGGCGCTGGAATAAAGGCCATAGGAGCTGGGCGTCACCAAATGCAGACCAACACTGGCGGCACCTGAGGACTGTCCAAAGAGCATCACCTTTTGTGGATCTCCACCAAAGGCTCCAATGTTCTCCTGGACCCAATGCAGTGCCATGCGCTGATCCTGGAATCCGTAGTTCCCAGTGGATCGATCTGTTTCGTCACGATCTCTTAGCTGGTCACTACCCAGGAAGCCGAAGATATTCAGCCGGTAGTTCACAGTGATCAGCAGGGCGGGGCTGCGTTGGGATCTCCAAAAACTGACCAAGTTGGAGCCATTATATTCCTGATGGCAGGCGGTTTCTTAAAAAAGAACATAGAAACATATCACTTTAGGATACTTCAGGAAAATCTTGGGGAACATCATACCAGGAATGGGGCAGAAGAAAATACTGGGTTCGACAAGCCAGATTCATGGCCGGCGCCAAATTCGTTACATCCGCCATGCAGAAAAACTAGGCAGGGCAGCTGAGAAGTGTTGTGGGCCTCCTTTGGTGCATACACATTCAAGTAGAGGCAATCTTCATCGCCTCCCTTGGTCGAAAAGTCAAGATGGGAACCAGACATGCAGTGATTCTTGCACTGATTGCCAAAGCTGGAAGCCTCACGTAGTCCCTTCCATGGCTTGACTCTTCTTGGGGGTCGCCAGCGTAAGTCCCCCACCGGTGCTTCGGCGTATGGAATGCCCAGGAAGACGTGGACCTCCCCGTCCCGGCCATCGCTGCTGCCCCTCAGCTGCCCTATGGGTGTCGTCACTTCCGGGGTGTTGCTGCGAACACCAAGGAGCAAAGACAGCAGACATAGCCACCGTGGCATGGCGAAAACAAAGGACATGCTTGCGACTGAAAGGTGCTGCAAGCCTGCAGCGAAAGCAACATCCTGTCAAGGACTCATGTCATGATTGTACAATTACAATATATATATATATACAGTATATGTATTATAAATATATAATCTTTGGTAACTCGCCGCATAAGGTGAAATCGCTTTGATTGATTTGCATCCTGGAAACGGATGGACCATTCGGCTTTGGCAAGGGCCCAAGGGGGTTCAAACACCTTGATGCAGCCATATGAATAGCCTACAAACCAGAAGAGCAAACTCACTGCCCAAAACAATTTGCACTGTCCAAGAAGATCAGTGCATTCTTTTTTAAGTGCAATGTGATTCGACATCTGATATCTGGTATTCTCCTATGGAATGAACTCTTAAATTTGATGAGTTCTGTTGGTATCTGTTGGTTGCATCATTTAAATCCCCCCTTGAATTTGTGGTCACCTCTCAAGCTCCCATCCCCCCAGGTAACTCCAGGGCCACCAAGACTTGATGGGCGATCCTGGAAGCCGACTGGTCGCCGGGGGTTTTCGTTGAGTTGTGGGCTCACCCGGGTGAGCCCGATCCAGAATGTTGAGGGCCTGGAAGTCAAAGGTTACATGATGTTACAATATGTTACATGTATCATCCATATGGGTATGGATCAATACCTATTAATACCCAGCTATTAGGGGGATGAACATCCATTTACCAGCTATTTTGACACACTACAGGGGTACAAGGTTTACACAGGCGCCACGCAGCCTGGTGATGTTCAAGCTGATGAAGCTATGAAAGCTGCTTCGGCTGCTGCAGGTGACAAACGCGAACCTTCTTCGCCCGCCAAGCTGCCGGCGGCAAAGCGAGTTGCAGTGGATGTCAAGCCACCTCATGGCTTGATTGCACGAACCATAGCTGCTGATGGCAATTGTTTGTTTGAGTCCATATCACAGGGAATTGGAGGCAAAACTGCAAGATCCGTGAGAGCTGCAGTTGTGAACCATTTAAAGAAGCATGAAGGTCGGTATAAACCTTGGTGGGACGAAAGGGAGCCCACGGAACAGGAAGAGAAGTGCGAGTCATGGGAAAAGTACATGGAGATGCTTGCAAAGGTTGGGGCTTGGGGCAGCAGCTTGGAATGTGCTGCAGCTGCCGTGCACTACGACAGACCCATATTAGTTTTTCAGCCTACGGGCGTGCCTGAGGTTTACAACAGCCAAGGGAAAGCAGGTGGCGCCATTGCTCTGTGGTATCGCCGAAAGCATTATGAATTGTTGGATGGCGCATTGCCGCCAGGCATTTTGGAGCAAGCCGCCACTGGCCCTATGCAAGGCAACAGAGGGGGCGGGTCGGAAACTGGCACTCACTCGGCTGGCGCTACTCGTTTGTCAGCGCTGCCATCTGTGGCGGGCGCCAAGAAGCGTTCCAAGCGCGACGCCTCCTTGCCTGGTTCTACTTGCTCAGAGCGGCGCAGGAATCCCTCCCCTGCGACTGCTACTTCAGGTCGGGAGCGGCGTGCTGTGAGCAGCGCTGGTGTCAGCGAAAAGGACGAGGCTGGCAGCACTTCGTCCAAACGCCCAAAAAGGGAGGAATGGAATTGTCCTTTGTGCGATTATTCCACAGGGGTACACAGGCTGTGGCCGCAGAAAAAGCAGGCCCACATCAATGCTGGGCATCCTGATGAGAAGGAGAGGTTGAAGCTCACTCCCGCTATGGGTCAGCTTTGTCACGCCGCCCCTGGTATGAGTTTCAAGTGGAAGTGTCACTTGTGCAACATGGTCATTCCTGAAGATGCCGATCTCAGCAGAGACCAGGTGCTTCGCATGAAACTGAGGCATAGAGAAGAACACCATCCGAAAGCGAATGTGCAGCGTTTCAAAAGCGATGGAAGTTACAGGGCGGCAAATGCAGCCAAAGCTACGATTCAAGTGCGCGCAGCTGGCATGGCAAAACGCCTGTTGGGCCTCAAAAAAGGTGATGCCGGTTCCCACGAACCAGTGTTGGTTACCCTCCCTATGACTGGCAAGGCCAAACAGAAAAGAGGAGGTATGGCAAAGGTTATTTGTCGCAAATGTGGCAAGATGGCGAATCAAGCAAAGGAGCTTGCTACGCTGTCCTGTGAAAAGTATGTGGCCGGCAATGGCCCCAAGAGGAAGAAGATGCTGGCAAGGCTCCGCGCTTGTCTCAACAAAGCGTCCATCAGTGATGCTCTCAAGGATGGTGCCCGTACAGTTTTGAACATTATTGACTCAGGCAAGGGAAGCTCCAAAGACACTGCGCCCAAACACCATATTGAGGCACTTGTCTGGCCGGTAGATTTCACGGTCCGTTTTGCTTGCACGAGATGCAAGCGGTGCATGAAGGACGAGAAACATTTCCGTGGAATGTCTTGCGCCAACAGCACCGTTTGGAACCAAAAGAGAAAAGGCAACAAAGACGCCTTGCTGGAGCTCGCCAACAAAGAACCTGGGGCGAGGCAGAGAGCGGCGCTCCGTGCTTTGGAGATTTTGGGGTTTCAGCAAGAGGAAGGTGATTCTACGGACCAATGACGGGTACGTCTAGCACTTTAAGGTTGGGAACTATGAATGTCCGGTCATTGAGTGGCCGGTTGGGTGGCGTTTTTGAGTTAGCAAAGACTGAGCAGATCGATGTTCTTTGTTTGCAAGAAACTAGAGTCAATGTCGACAGTTGGAGCGCTGTCAAGTCAGCTGCAAACCAGCGAAAGTGGCAAGTTTTTCCTGGCGGCCAAGGGGTAGATGCCAAGAATGTGGTGATTGGCGGGACGTTAGTTTTGTCAAAGTGGCCTGCTGAAGCGTTGGCCATTCCAAGTCAGTTTGCACCGGCTGACCGTGCCATGGCGCTGAAGCTTGCGCTGAAGCTTTTTCGACCTCACCAGCGACCGCTTCTTCTGATCAATGTGTACCTACATGCCAACGATCAAACAGCTGCTGGCCACGCCTTGGCTGCCATTTTTGAATACGTTGCTATGCTGGGCGAAGAAGCAATCATTGTGGGCGATTTCAACAGGGAAAGGCATGTTTGGCCGGCCTCCACCGCGCTGGCGTCGGGGCAATGGTATTCTTGCGATGAACAAGTCTGCGGAGACCAGATTGGCCCTGGCACCCATCGCAACTCAGATGGTGAATACACAGGGGTGGTCATTGACTACGCGCTTTCAACTCCCAGAGTTGTTGTTTCCGGAAGAATGCAGTCTTTAGGTGTTGCTGACCATGATGCAGTCATTTACGATATACATGTGCATGGTAGCTTACCCACGCCTTGGAGATTGCCGGCAAGCGCACCACTCTTGCTTTGCAATGTGGAGGTTGAGAACTGGAATGTTGCTTGGGCAGAATCACAGCAAGATTTCACCGATGCTCTGGCCGTCGGAAATGTGGATCAAGCTTGGGTGGTCCTGAGCAACTGTGCTGAATCTTTGCTGCTTGCACAAGGCAAGCCCAGCAGGGCATCAAGGGACGGCCCGCACAAAATGGCGAGCCCCCCATCAACCAAAGCTCCTACGTTGCAGACTTTGGAGGAGCGAAAGCTGAGAAGATTTGCACGGCGGGTGGTCGAATATCAAAAGGCTCCTTCGCCGCAATTGCAAACCAAGCTGTTGCGCGATGCTCCGCTTTTGCACTCGTCTCTTACTGCGTTTTCTTTATCTGATGGTGGTTTGGCTCCCGCCGCTTTGCTTCTTGCAGATGAGGTGGCCAAAAAGGCGTCTCAGCGACGCCTTGCTGCTTGGAAAGAGGACATTCAAGAAAATGTTGCGAAACTGGGGAAGTGGGTTCAGCAAAAACCACCTGATCCACCTACAGCAACACAGGTCGATGGTCCTATTTTGCCTGAAGATAAGGCAAGACAGGAGGCAGCTGCGTGGCACACGCATTGGAATCCGGACCACCTCCCACATTTAGACCAGGTTTCAAATTTGTGTTTGCAGCTCAACAATCAGGTCGACCCAGTCACGCCTGAAAGCATTCAAGTGGTTGGGGCTGATTTGGCGCGTTCTGCGTTGAAAGCTAAACAAAAAGCGGCTGGTATGGATGCTTGGACTGCGGCTCATTTGTGCAAGTTGCCGGAGTCCTTTTGGAATCACGTTGCAGTCTTGTGGTCGGCGTGCATGCAGTGTGCGAAAGTTCCTACAATGTGGAAAGATATTCGCATAGCCTTGATTCCAAAGGCGGCCGGGGGCCTGCGCCCACTTGCCATCACGACGGTCCTGTGGCGCATCTGCATGAGTGCAACTTTGCAAAAGCTCCGACCATGGATACAAGAATGGGCCTTGCCTCAGCTTTGTGGCGGCCGTCCAGGAAGAGGCATTATGGATGTTCATGAAGTGCTCTACGAAGACATTCGTGCTGCCAAACGTTCAAGAGTTGATTTTGTTGGCTGCAAGGCCGATATCCGTAGGTGTTTCGATTCAGTTTGTCCAAAGACTGCGCTTGCTATTTGGCGCTGGTTGGGTGCTCCGGCCAGTTTGTGTGACATGGTGGAAAATTTTTACACTGACCAACGCAGGTGGTTTGCCTGGCAAGGCATTTTCCATTCAGAGCCCATTTGTGCTCGGCGGGGGCTGCTGCAGGGCTGCCCGGCAAGCCCAGCCTTACTCAATGCGGTGATGGTAGTCTGGGTGCGCTTCGTTCTTTTGCAAGAGCCTCGTGTTTCTCTTGCAGTTTATTTGGATGACCGCACAATGTGGAAGAAAGGTGTCAACGGCATTCACGTGGTCACCAACGCCATGCAGGCAGGTGCGCAGGTTGATGCAATTCTGGGCATGGAACTCCATCCTGACAAGTTAAATAGTTTCACAACCAAGCAACATTTGACGCCTCAGCTGTCACAGATACAGGACGTGTTGGGGGCTCCTTGCAGCAAGTTCACGCTTCTGGGTATTCAGTACAATTTGGAGCGTGCAGGTGCTTGTGTTAATGCAGAGAAGCTTTCCTTTGACATTCAGGAGAGGTGTCGCAAAATCAGGTTGGCAGCGAAACGTTTGGGCACCCGCAAGACCTTGCTGGGACAGTTGGTGATCTCTTTGTTTGCACGGACAGGAGCTTTTTCACCACTATGATGTTGATACCATCAAGAGTTGGACCTCCAGTATTGAAGCAGCGGTCTGGGGGCGCAAGCCTGCCCCAGGTCGCAGTAGATTGCTGTTCTGGAACTCTTTGGGCACACCGCGTTTGCATCCTGCTTTTGCGCTTCACTTTGCTGCAGCCCGGGCTGAATGGCAGCGCCAGTGCCGCTTGGCCATAGGTGTGCCCGCCGCTGTTTCGCCAGGCCCAAGGTGGAATACTGTTTGCAAAGACTGGAATTGGCGTGTTGAGGGTGGTTTGTGGATCACTCCCGTGGGGACTTTGAAACCAGGGTGGATGTCTTCTTCAAGCTTATACAAAGCTGCTGCTGCAGCATGGCTGGCTTTTATGTGGACGAAGGACACCAAAACGGAGGGTCCTTTACCTGAAGGTAAGTTGCCTGTGTTCCAATTCCAGGCCAATGTGGCGCATGATTTGAACTATTGTGGTCGCAGAGTCTTGACAGGTGCAGCAGTGGATGGGAGAGTTACTCAACGTTTGGAAGTCGACTTGCAGTTTGATTGTGGTTTGAGCTCTCCTGATCGTGAGCATTTCACTTTCTACTGCGAGGCAAATCCTTGGCATGGTGATCTCAAAACTCCAACTGAAAGGCGGTTGCTTGTTCCTCTTGTGGATGCTCCAGCTGTTCTTCCATTTGAAGATATGGCGGCCGACCCCATTCTGGTGGCTTTTCTACAACAGTTTGACCCACATCAAACGCCGACTTTGGGCTTGGATGGAAGTTGCGCAATTGCTCCAGGGTGCGAACTTTGGCAGCGTGCCAGCTGGGCTGTGGCGGCACATCTTGGGCCCACGGTCAATGGGTTGGTGCATGGTTTCGAGCAAACTCCTGCTGCGGGCGAGAGAGGTGCACTTCTTCAAGCCTGCTTGGCTTCCCATGAAGCGAACAGAGCGGTGCGCTTGCTGATTGACAACCAAGCTCTTGTGCAACGTCTTCATCGTGGCATGCGGCTTGGTCAGTGGGGTGGAGATCTTTTTCCATACTGGCATTATATCAGGATGCTTTTGGTTGATGGCTCTTCTTGTGCTTGGATTCCCTCGCATAATAAAGTTCCTCGATGGCGCCCACCCGAAGGGTGGCTTGATGTTTTGCGTTGCCGCATGCTCAATGCCAAAGCGGATGCTAGCGCGGCTGATCTTACAGGTCAATTTCGGCAGGGGATTGCTACTTGTTTGTCACAACACAGAGAGGCAGTTGTTTGGGCTGGAGAAGCTTGGAAGGCGCAACTAAAGGGTTCTCTTCCCTACTGGCAAGTTTTGCTTGAACACGAACCACGTCAAAACAGGTCGTTTGAATGAGCGTTTGCTGCTTCTTCAGCTGCATGGGTGGTACTTTTCTTGGCTTGAACTTGCCCTCCGGTTTGTTCAGTGCAAAGAGCTCCGGCTCTGCGTTGGCAATTTCGGCGTCTTAACTACTTCACTTCGGTGAGGAGCAGGTTGACGTCCTCCTCCAATCCAATCCTATCATTATGTATCATGGCCAGCTGCATATTTGAACAGGCAAACCATGCCATGTCATGTCCATCCATGTCCCAGGAAGCTGAAGCAGTTGCTTCTGCGCCTTTGTAGACACCCTAAAGTGAAGTATGGCTCTTCACATGCCTGGGAACAGTCGGAAACGGCCAACCTCAGATGAAAAAAATCTGAAAAATATCTGAAACATCTTATGACTTAACCACTTTAGTATACTTTAGTATCATCCGAAACGCTGGGATCAGATTCTGTCTTTGAAATTCACCCATCAACTGATGTTCATCCCCAGCGGACCTGACGGTTGTACTTGGAAAACTCGTAGAGGTTGTCCCTCAGCAACTCCTTAGCACTCGGCCAATTGACCGCGCAACGAACCTATACGAAGCTTGCAGAACTTGTCTATCACTTTGAGACCGCCCCCATGAAATCCGTTGTTGATCGTCATTTTCCCCATCAAGATTACCATTAAGTGGAGTAATCACCTCATTTTTTTAAACGGTTTCGTACACTTTGGACAGTTTCCTACGAGTTGAGGACCTTTCAAAATGTCACTCAGCTCGTCTGAAGGGATTCGCATGTCGACTGGACCGCAGCCCCCGAGGTCGAGGGACTGTCACGATGATCAAGTGCTCTTTGTGGTAGAAGTAGTCCTCAGTGCTGAGACATGGACGCTGACGCCCCCCGTTGGGGGCAGAATGTTATGCACGGCCAACACGGCAAAAACGAGCAATTCCTATGATAGAATCAGAGGTGTCATTGTATGATCTAAGTTGCCCCTGATGACTTCTAACATCTTCTAACCAAATAAGTATCCAAACGTGTGTATCATTCCAAGATTTCATGATGGTTGTACCAGTCCTCGACCGAGCCAATGACTGAACATCGACCTCCTGAATCTCTGGAATCACAATGTTTGAGGTTCCCGGCAACCAGCCCCAAGCAGTTCTTGTCATCCACACTTTCCTTGTCAAAACACTGGGCCATCACATTTTCACAAGCCAACTTTCTGGATAAACTATGATAAATTATGATAACTCGCCATCAAACCCATCAAGCAAATGGAATCATTTGGAGGGATTCTTCCCCGGCCTTTTTTATATGCCATTGATCCGGAAGGAACATCCCCTTCCAACAAAACCGGCGAAGATTTTGTTTCGCCTGCTCAGAGCCGGGCCGTATTGAAGCGAATGAGCCGCAAGAGTTTGATCTCATCCAAGGATTGATCAAAGAAGTCCTGGGCAAAACTGTTGAGGTTTCCAGCTCTACTGTGATGCAAAGTTTCTTTTCGGATTCTGATCATGTACGGCTTCATGGCAAATGAGATGGACATGGAACGTGAGTGAATTTGGAAGGCTTAACAATGAAAGATCGTCTACAGAAAGTGCTATACTATATGTCATATGCTATTCAGAATTGATTTTGCACTTATATGATGATATGTCCTCAAAAAGAGGTGTGAATAGTTTGTTGCATTCAAGATCTGAGAATGCCATCAAAATGGAATCCACCTTCCCATTGGCGCAAACATGCACGCCCCTGACACATGGAGGTAGAGGTGCTTTGACCATCCAACATCTCGGGGTCATTTAATTTCCAGGTGCACGGTGGCACGCCAAACAAGCGGCATATATACGTATATACATATATTTACAATACCATATACAATAATTATATCATATGATTGTATAAAATATAAATCAATATAATGCAACTATCGTTGGTTTCTATGTAGAGTTTTGATATACACCAAATACAGTGTTGAATATCAAGTGACACCACTGGTGACCATGCTTCTGCGGTCCTTATTGTTGTTGATGATCTTCATACACACCATCCTGTCAGACTCTTTCCATGGCCACGACTCTCTGGTCCAACAACACGTGAACAGTGGCTGCTAAACCCCAGTTGGTTGATTGCTATATGGGGATATACATGGTTACTATCCACTATAATTATTGGGGGTCATCACAATCCATTAAAGGACATCTCATTATCAGCCAAGCGGTATAAAGGGGCCAGCGAGAGTTTTGAACACTGCTCACGTGAAACTTACTTGCAAAAATCCCTGAACACATCTACATATTTATGAGTCGGGGAGGTAAATTAATTTCACTGTCCAGAAGGCTTCACAATTTTCTGCATGGTAGAGCCAATTCAACAACTTACTATAACTTACTCTTCAGAAGGGTTGCCCCATGGAGGAATCTGTGGGAATTTTGCCATGTCCGGCCCTTCAAATCACCGCGTGTAATGCGACTCCAGTATTGGTACCGAAGCCAAGTTGCCCTCAAGCCTTAAGCAAACAAAACGGGACTTGATCTGGAGAAATATTCTCCCCTTTTGCACACAAACATGCCTCCTCACATCCAGTATACATTGGAAAAAAGATGCTATGGCTGCTATGGGTCAAATTTGGCCCATGAAAGATCGCGAGTTTTTCGAAGGATTCATTCGCCACTTTTGGATGTGTCTGATGGAGAATACCCCGGGATACGCACTATGGTCTTGTTTAAAAGGGATAATCATGATTACTGTGATGGTTCTCAATATGTTTCAATGGATTTAGGAACTTTCCACCAATTTTTCAGACAAACTATAGATATATAAATTGCTTCATGAGTAGATTCGCACTAGAGTATCATGATATATCTATAGTCAACCCACATCCCACCTGTTCAAGTCGCAGGCTCCCGGAGTCCCTGCCGCTGCCTGTTCGTCTCCAAGTCTAAACACTGCACCGCTCGCGAGAACGCTGCAGAGCCCAGGTATTCCAAGACCTGCGTCAGTCTTGATGCCAAGTTACAGCTGTCAGGCATTCCAATTGGAACAGTTCATGATATTGTTTGCACATGTTCATGGATATGTTCATTAATTAACGTATATTTATGTGTAGACTTGGATGACACCGCCAAAGTCAAGATCTATGTTTTTTGGATAAGTCAAAAGTCTAATATAAGTGTTTTGTGGAATATCCTATAGATACAAATCCTTCAGTGAAGACGACCCAACGTCAAACAGCAGCCTGGTAGCGACCAGCCACGATGCCTGAGGCATATAAGGGCTGACCATTGATGAAATCTCCATCGTTTCACAAAGATATCCAAAGATAGGAATATAATGAGGATATTTCATGGGGGGTTTATGGGTTTGTGTAATGGGATATTAATCTATAATTATATAGTATAATGATGTATATAATAAGGTGTGTGTATATATATATAATATACGGGTTTGTGTAATGGGATATTCATCTATATATAGTATAATGATGTATATAATAGGGTGTGTATATATATATACTGTACATATTCTAAATAACCAACAATATGATATAAGGGATCAGTCAGAAAATGGGCTGTGGCCTGCCAAATTAAAAAAAATGAGACTCACTTGACTGGTACAGCTGACGTTATTGACGTTGAACTGGCTTCAAGGGCAAGAAGTACATGTATGTAATGTATGTATATACAATTAGATTGCCCCGAAATAGATAGAAAAGTGGGAATTTCGGAAATATGAAGTACATATTATATCATATTATCATCTATAACCTGAAAACACAGTTCTATCTATTTCGGTGGTACCATACATTCTTATGATACAGTACATACTGTACACACCAACAGTTTGTGCAGTTTGTGGAGTTTCTTCTAAACATCGGCCAGCCAAGGCCCACCTGCCTCCCTATCTTTAGCAGTCAATGGGAATCATTCATCCAGATAGATGCCACCGCCCAATTACTTCAATACATTGATCCAAGGTGCTGTTCGCGCGGATTGGGAAGTCTTTGGTCTCTTCAAAGCCCGTCCGGTCGCGCTCATGGATGATCCTGGTCTTCAAACCCAGTTGCATAGAGAAGTATTTGATGGCGTTTTTACAACTGTGGAAATTGTGGAAGTGCGGAAAAAGTGCAGGCACGGTAACCAACCCATGCCACTTTGGTCCAAACATCATGGTTGGACGGGTTCAGAACCGACAGCCCTTCCACAACCTGAGGTTGAAGGAGTCATAGACAACGCCATCCAAATCCACAGGGTAAAAACCGTCTCCAGATTCGGGATAGCCTCGGAAACCAAACACAGCAGCCAGTTGGGTGCCTCAAAATCCTCAAATTTCAATGATTCCAATGTGGCAGAATCCAGCGGCAAACAGAAGCGACAGCCTTGGAGGTTTGTTCGGATCCCAACCAAGCAACGCATCACAGGCCGTCCATCGTCCTTGCGCTCCTTCTTGGCACAGCAAAGTGCCTGGAATGGTATGGTAAGTGGTCAAAAGTCTAGTACCCTGCTAAACCACCGCTGGTAATAGCTGGCAAGTGGATGTTCATCCCCTCCACTTTTGGCAATCTATAGTCTATAACTTTTCTATGATCTATTTCAACATGTCACCAAAAACCTCGGGTTAATGACATCTGGGCAAACTACAATATTTATTAATATTTCACTAACCTGAAACTTGCGGCCATTTGGGGATGCTTCCTCTCACAACTCCCATGATTCCAGTGAGGTCACAAAGTGAGGTCACGAAAAAAAATTACCCAAATGACATGGAAACCCGGCTCATCCAAGAGTCGTTTTACTACTTCCTCCTCCATCGGACGCCGCTTTCTTGCTGGATTGAAACAAGATTTGGGAAGCCATTGAGATCATCAAGTGATCTGGTATGCCTCGAGGTATAGCATATGGATACTTTGGGGGTGCATCCCAGGTATTCTCAATGGTTAATATGTGTTAATATCCATTTTACAAAATAGGTCCCTGGGGTAATGTAGTAAACCATAGCAAACCGTAGTGAACCCAGTTATAAGCTATAAATCATCTCCATTATGACCAGAAGTTGATGGTATAAACCACTCCCCATCTTCGGTGCAGCTCAAACCATGGGATTTGGCCTTGGGCGCTGCATCCGCCACGTCAGGTTGCGCTGGCGCATCTGCGCCCGGAAACATGGCCATGGCCGCCCCGGCCACGCTGTCGCCTGGGGGGTTTATTGTTAAGACCATGACACCACATATTTTCAAATAGTTGATGTTTTTTTTGACATTGGTTGAATAGTTTTTTGATACCAAAAGCTCGTTTGTATCTGTTTTTCAAAATAGTCTTGGTGCCGGATCCATTATTCGGGGCAAGGGGAAGGGTATTTCAATTGCACGCTGAGCATCCTTTAGTAGAGATGAGTTGGAATAAGTGTAACTCTTGGCTTCCGACTCGGGGAAAATACTAATACATCACGAAACAAAATCATTTTCTGTACTTCACATGATGTCTTGCCCCTTAACAATTCAATCATACATGTAGAAATCTCACGAAATGATCACCAAAATCTTCAGAATGTGGGCCCCCCCAGCTAGAAGTTGGTTTGTAAACCCCTGAGTAATACAGTTTTAAGTTATAAGTATCATACCCACTTTGCAGGAACCCCGCCTGCAGGTGGTACCGGTGGCACCTGCACCGCCATGGAATCCGGATATGATGGGGCTCTAACCTACCATAGCAATCCTCGTCTCTTGCCAGGGGGGGGTTGGAACCCCTAAAAAAATACAGTAAAACAAAATGCAGGGGCCTGAGGACAAAATGCCAATAAAATGAGAGGGCATAAGGTAAGATAGGAAAACCCAAGCAAAATACAATGGACAGGTATAAAAAAAATATGACGTCAGGCACCCTCCACCTGGCAACTGTTGGACCTCGGGTTCCGGCAATTTCTTTTGGGTTGATCTTGTTTCCTTATTTAATTGGTTTTAATCATCTTTGAAGGAAAACCACCAAAATGGCAAGACCCAACCTCATATATTCCAGCATCTGCGAAGTAAATGTCTTCTTTTGTCACGTGCCAACAGGAAGGAAAAATCGCGCGGATTTCGACCAAAACATATATATATATTATATATATATTATATTATATTATTGGTTCCAATTCTGACATCTGGATGGGTTCTAGAAAACATATAAATAAATATAAATAAATTGAAGACATCTCATTGGCTGCTGTGAGCTGCCCGTGTGTCTTTTGTTGGCCAAGGGAGGCAATAGAAAATGAGTAATGAGGGGGGCCAACCCATTTTCGAAATTAATATCCAAGTTATTCCAAATCTCTGGAACGTTTCACAAAATGATCAGACTGTTCACAGCTGTGCATCTTTGCTATCATGCTATCTCTGTCAGTAAACTTGGTGGGTTAGGCACCTCAAAAAATAAAATGCACCCACAAAACAAAATGCTGGGGTCTGACCCATTTTATTTTCCGTTGTTTTTTGTTTTTGTTATTTTAAAAGGGGCTCCTGCCCCCTCATCAATCTTACTTATATTATATTATATTATATTATCTTAAATTATATCAAATCAAATCATATTAAATCATATTATAAAATATTATATTATAAAATATTATATTATATCATATATTATATTATATATTATATATTAAATATTAAATATTAAATATTATATATTATATATTATATATTAAAAAGTATATATTATATATTAAAAGTATATATTATATATTATATATTATATTATATATTATATATTATATATTATATATTATATATATTATATATTATATATTATATATTATATATTATATATTATATAGTATAGCTAACAAAGGTGGTTGTCAAACCAATGGGGATCGCACTTTCATGAAACTTGGCGATGGCTTACAACGACTCATCCGTTCTGATTTCAATGAAGTTGAGGAAACCCCGAATTAACAAATACAGTTGGATCTCAAAATTTCAGGATTGGGCCCACAAAACCCATCATTTTTGGCAGTACTGGAAATGCAAATCACCCACCACACCTGAGCTCCGAAGGTCGGAACCGAGGTTGGTGGTACCTGGCGCATTTCGCCATTGATTGAAATGGGGGGTTCCATAAATGCGGGGTACCCCCAATAGATGGTTTATGATGGAAAAACCACGAGATATCCATTGACATGGAGGATTTGGGGCTCCCCGCATTTATGGAAACCCCCGTGTCGCACTATAAATGCCCACATTGTTGTGGAAAATTCTGTGACTAGGAATAAACCCAATGCCATAGTCACCATCCCCAATTGACGATTACTAGGTATACCCCTATGCTGGGATGATTTTTGAATGACCCCCAGTCATGGTTGCTTAATGAGATGGTCTATTCGTGGGTTTACCTGCAGGGCTTGCTGGCTGTTATCACCATGTTGTTTGCTCTCCAGGTTTGATGGTTTTGCTACTTTTCCAACTTAGTCCACGTATGCATTGAGAGTTGGTTCTGTAAAAAAAACACACCATGAATTTCCATGTCTGTAAGCATCACTGATTCCACTCTTGGATGTACGATTTTTCGTGGTGTGTTGACAACAGAAGTTCTAAAATGTGATAAACATATCAAACATCAAGCATTAAACATCAAACATTAAACATCAATAACCAGTCATAACCTGTTGTTAGCCCATCAAAACTGACTATTTGGAAGGGACAAATGTTTTTTTGGTGTGCCACGTGAAGTGATGAAACTTCCATCGGGATCGCGGGATGGAAAACCACCTGGAGATTTGTGGTTGTACTCCCATTGGTTCCTCATATTTCTGGCTGAATTAAACATGCTGACCTAAAATAACTGTAGCTGAAATGTGTTTGGCAAGTGAATTATTTTGGAATATAAGCACCGAATAAATTATTACTTACAACTAGTCCAATATATTTTTTGGTAAAATTTTGAGCATCAATTGATATTACAACCATTCACAAAACACCAATGTTTGGGCAAAACCCCGTCTGCCTCAGCAGGTCCATCATGCACAGGTGACACACCATGCCTGCGACTGGGGACTACCCAGGGGATTCCCAAGAAATCTGGGCCTTACACATTGAACCGAGAGTATGGTGGAGTATGTGCACATAGATGGTCTTATCATATATATATATATCATGATTATGTAAATATATGTATAGTATATATAAATACAGATATACATGTACAAATCAAACACACATAAATATATAATATATATATATATATATGTAATATATATATATGTATGTGTAATATATATATATATATCATATATATATATATCATACATATCATACAAATCACAAATATCATATCATATATATATATATTTATATTTATTGTTTATATCACATACAACTTATATATCATATATATATATATACACCACATAAATCATATAGATACATCATACATGCATATCGTAAATATATATATATATACAAACAGATAAAACTGGGGAAAATATCATCATATTGTTACCTACCATTTACTATCTGCCACCAGCACATCCTTCAGCATCAGGCAAGGCGCTTGATAGCATCTGCCAGGGTGTGTTCCAAGGTTTCCGGCTCTGTGACCATCCTGGCAAACAATGAGAAATGACGGTATAGATGGTATCGCACCCATTTCATGTGGTAAACATAGTCATCAACCACACCAAATGTGACCATTTGTTTTTTCCCCAAGCAGTGTGCCCACACCACACTGAGGGGTTCTTACTTATTGTCACGGTTAAGGCGCGCTGGTTGATCGACATGGTATCCGGGGTGTTCGGCAAATTTGGTGACCCTTACAGCACAAAAGCTTCCTAATCTTTCATTTTTGATGCAAATCTCGCACGAATCCTCTCGTCACTTTGGGCGTGTCAGATCGCTCTCGTTGTGGCGCGGTGCTCATGTTGATAATCAAGGAGATCTTGCGCAGAGATCTTGGCAAGGACATCTTTTCTAGAGAGCTTGCACGGAGATTTTGCCACGGAGAGATCTTGTACAGAGATCTTCCCAAGCGGTCTCTTACAGAGATCTTGCCAAGAGATCTCTTACATAGATCTTGCCAAGAGAGCTCTTATACAGAGATGGCGTGGCGATCTCTGCAGCAGGTCTTGCCAAGAGACCTTGTATAGGGAGCTTCTTGCCAAGAGACCTCTCATAGAGATCTTGCACGGCGACATTGCATAGAGATCTGCTGAGATCTTGCCAAGAGGTTCCTTGCAGAGATCTTGCCAAGAGAGCTCTTATAGAGAGCTTCTACAGAGATCTCATCAAGAGATCTTGCCAAGAGACCTCTTGTAGAGAACTTGCACAGAGATCTTGCCAAGAGGTCTCTAGCAGAGATCTTGCTGGGAAATGCTTTTTAGAGAGCTTGTACAGAGGTCTTGCCACGAGACCTCTTGTAAAGATCTTGTACAGAGACCTGGCGAAAAGAACAGAGATCATGCTCAGAGATCCCCTGGAGCGTTTGAACAGAGATCTTACTTTGAGATTCTTTACAGAGAGCTTCTGTGGAGATCTCTTATAGACACCTTGTACAAATAGCCTTACAAAGGATCTTGCACAGCAGCTTCTATACAGAGCCTGTCACGGAGATCCCACACACGATCTTCTATATACAGAGATCTTCACAGAGGGGACTTGCAGAATCAAACCTGGCATGTCAGTATCTCTTCTTCATCTTCATATGTTCCTTGCAAAACTGTTTGGGGTCTCTTGCCAGGATGATTATCTTAATAATGGGTAATGATTCATGATGGTTTATCAACCTGAAACAAATTGGGGCTTCTGAATCTTATGACTGGGTTTGCCACATTTGATGTGCCGTCGTTGCTGATATGATGCTGATATTTTGACAGTCATACTCTAGTCATATATGCGCCATGGGCAGCAACATCCAGAAATATTGCTTCTATAAATTCTTTAAGCAGTATAATAATTATAAACAATTGTCGCTGGCAAAAGATACCCATGGAGTCACAATTCCAGTTGAACAAACACACACTATCTCAATGATGGGTGTCTCAATACATGGTCAAAGTCGTCTTGCTTCCAGCTTCTAAGGTCCTGAGAGAATCGAAAAACCTTTCCCCGTGGCCGCCGTAGATTCATTGTCTACACAAACATGCTCAAAACAAGGAACTAACTCATACTGAATCCCAAAACACGGCCTGATATTTTGTATGCAACTATGGACAAGGGCGACATAATGAGGCGGGAAGCAAACATCAGTGTCAGAGCAAATACAACAACCTCCGTCAGAAACACAAGCATTGACACACATGGGCCGCATGGGTTACACAGAACAGCGATTTTAAGTGTAGCGACATGTAGCGTCGTGCTAGTGACAAGTCTCACACTCTCTCTCCTACTGCCAGTCTTACTAAGGCTAAGGAATTGAGCTCCTCACTCTCATCACCCCACTTATGGACACGTGATTGGTCGACATATATAACTCTTGGAAGGTTAGATCCCCATATTGGTCTGACTTAAGAGAGGGTCCGCCAAAATATCACGGTTGATGGTCACTTTCACCCCACTTGTCACTTGCCGTAAATCTTCGGATATCCCGGTACTGTATTCCCATGATTCCCCTTCATATTGTAGGTTACATAAATACATATTATATTTTTATATATCCGTACATGTATAGATATAAAATAATATATATATATATATGTATATTATATATAGATACACATACATGATGTATACATATATATAATATGATGTATATGTATACATTGTAGATATATACAATATATATATATATATGTATATCATATGTATATCATATATATATATATGTATGTATGTATGTCTGTCTGTCTGTCTGTGTATGTATGTCTGTGTGTGTATGTATGTATGTGTGTGTGTATGTATGTGTGTGTATGTATGTGTGTGGGTATGTATGTATGTATGTATGTATGTATGTATGTGTGTGTATGTATGTATGTATGTCTGTGTGTATGTCTGTATGTATGTATGTATGTGTGTATGTGTGTATTTTCGCGGAAGTCAATATACCTCAGAGTGTGCGCCCGGAGTTACTACTTATCTGCCATCTGTGTCATGTGACGGTCACCTGTTATTGTTGTATGTGTGTATGTGTGTATTGTGTGTATGTGTGTATTGTGTATATGTGTGTATGGTTTATGTGTGTATGTGTGTTGGTGTGTTTATGCTATGTATGCATGTATGGCATGTATGCATGTATGCATGTATGCATGTATGCATGCATTGCATGGCATGCATCATGCATGTTGTATGCATGTATGCCATGATTGATGATGCATGTATGCATGTATGCATGTATGCATGTATGCATGTATGCATGTATGCATGTATGCATGTATGCATGTATGCATGTGTGCATGTATGCATGTATGCATGTATGCATGTATGCATGTATGCATGTATGTATGTATGCATGTATGCATGTATGCATGTATGCATGTATGCATGTATGCATGCATGTATGCATGTATGCATGCATGCATGCATGCATGTATGTGTGTATGTGTGTATGTGTATGCGTAAGTGTATGTGTATATGTATATGTATATGTATACGTATATGATATGTATGTTGTACATATCCCATCAGATCTCCGAAAAAATGCTGGTTTTCCCCACCATGGAAGTCCCAAAAACACCCTAGAAGGGCACCTCGTGGACTGCGCTGCAGAGACGGTGGGCTCTTCCGCCACACCTGGCAGAAATTAAAAGAAAACCCAAGGGGAATGATCAATTTTCTGGGGAATGATTTAATGGATTTTGATGGGAATTAATGATGATTTAATGGATTTTGATGGGAATTAATGGTGATTTGATGGATTTTGATGGGACTTAATGGTGATTCGATGGATTTGATGGGGATTAATTGTGATTCAATAGATTTTGATGGGTTTTTATTGTGATTCAATTGATTTTGATGGCAATTAATGGGGATTAAATGGATTTTGATGGGAATTAATGGAGATCTACCTCTGGTAAACTCACATAACTATGGAAAAAACAAGCTATAAATGGGCAATTCTCGAACTAAATGGTCCATGGCTTCCATAGCAAACTTAGTTTACTGGAGACCTAATACACATAATAATGACTAATCATGTATATATGTACATTTGACATATGTATCAATACACAATAATACCACAGTAGAATACATTAGAATATCATATATAGTAATTATATGACACTCTAATTAATTGTTACAGTAGATATCAATGTAGATGAAACAAACAACATCAAACAGCTATAAATATACTGGTCAGAGTGAACATCTCCTTGAAACCACCAATAGCTGTGGCGAGTTGGTCTGGGCATTCTGGCCGCCCGTCAACTCATCAAGGCTATCCGTCTTCGGAGCTCCTGCGGCACGTTTCATGCGATCTTGGTTTCATGGATTTGTTTGTCTGGTTTTCCGGGTTTCTAGGAGGGATTCCGGCTTTCAGTTTTCCTTTTTTGATGATTTCCTTTAGTTTTTTGAGTTATGAATAACTGAATGAAGAACGTTTCGGTTTTGGTTTCGAGGATGGATGATCTTTTTTCTTGTGGGATGATTTCCACGTAAGTTGCCTTGCCGTTCTTGAGGGATGAATGATCGAATGGTGACATTCTGGGGCTTAACAAAGGCATGATCTGCCCCGTTGGATCCGGCTGGGACCTTTGGGATTACTCCGGTGAAGGAGCTGTGTAGCAGAGATTCATGTTATCTTTATACTATTCTATATTGTTGCTACTTCAGGAATGGAATGGTAAAATAAATGGTAAGTGCAACTTCAGACTTCAGATCGTATTGCAACTTACTACTTATTTTTGGTCTGGAAAATTAGCAACCCCCATTTTTCCATCACTCTCTAAACTTCAGATATTCCCGACGCCGATCAATTGTAGATGTCAACCCTGGCACCAAAAAAACTTTGCGGCACGGCTCCTAACAACTCATCATCGTCTGGTGCCACCGCATCCTCCTGACCGGATATGACTTTGACCCTTGAGTTGTCATACCCAAATCATCCATGTTTGCTTTACCCACAAATTCAGCAAGTAAATGATTCAGTATTCAGTATGATATGTTACCTGGATCTACAATATCATGCATACAGCTAAGAACACCTAGTTGGAAATCCGGGCCGCATAATCGGAAATTCCGCGGTCAATACAACCAACTCAAATCAAATATGATTGGCCCAACCCCCGGTGCAATCAACTCCCCATCACCCATCATGATACCCCCACTTCTGGAGGTGTTGTGATGCTGATGTTGGATTGTTGTGGATGGTCAATCACCCCGATGCTGTTAGAGCGCAGGCGGAAATTGAGGCGACACAGATGCCCCGGGACAGTATGCAAACCACCAAATCTTACCACGAACATCGGGACCTGGTGCGACTGTTGAAATCCTTTACACTTGCTACTTTGATGGTGCAAGGATGTTGACGATTTCTGTATAAATGCTTGTATGATCTTATATTATGGTGGTGGGCCGAAATTGTCAACCTGTCTCAGAATTTGAAAGGTTTCGGATCTCAAACACGGCCAGCCTTTCAAACTTGTGTGGTTCCTTCAAGGCAAATGGACATGGACTTAACTATGATGAAGTTTGATATCTTTTAAAATGACTAATAATCCCATCCCCCTAATAGATCCTAAGATCAAAGCCAACCGAACGAAACCAGCCGGTCATGGTGATCGGAGGTTTTTTGATTCAGAAAACCAGCCGGTCAGACGGTGAACACAGAAATTTTCAGTAGGTTCTAACCACAGTTACCCTCTGGTAATTTGTTACGTAGCTATGGAAAATGGCCAAATTTATAGTTGATTTACCTATTAAGAATGGTGATTTTCCATAGCTATGTTAAATTACCAGAGGGTAGATGCTAATAGCATGTTGTAGCTGGACGAAGCCTACTTGACCTACTGAATCAACTGGTGGTGATCAGTGACTTCTCAGAGGATTTCCCGAGTTCTCCCAGGATCTCCCAACTTCCTGTGTCTGTCCCATAGATCAGTGAATTCAAACCACTTACATATTGTCTATCCCATTAATACACTACCATCATATCCCATGAATTTACCATTAAATCTTATATATCCCTATGATGGTTCACTATGTAAATCTCCACTATATTCCCATATACTTAAGATCTACAGCACATATCATAGAATATGTAGAGTCTATAACTATAGATACTATAGTAATGTATAGTCTATAAAATTTTATAACTATCTGGATAAATGATAATATTTCACTAACCTGAATAGTTCGGCCATGTGTGGGGATAATTTCCCTAAAATAAACCATGATTCCAGTGAGTCATGCATCCTTTCTCGGAGCCTTGGAGATCAACCCTTGAGCCCAGGGCATCAACTCCGGGGACATCGCCAGGGCGCGCTCGTACTTCTCGCGGATCTCCTGCAAAATGGGACTTGGACAAAACCAAAAAAAGGGATGGATATACATCATATATATGTATATATGTATCTGGTCAAATTATAATATTTCAGGGTCTTTAGGTCGAATTTCGCTATTTCATACTGAAATATGGTGACGTCGCGAAAATCGCGAAAATTTGCTGACGTCGTGAGACTAGGATGAAAGCAGGCACTCTGACAGGCGCTTCTTTTTTGCTCATCGGTGGCATCGCTTGGCTAAAGTCAAGTCAGAGACAAAAATTGTCTTCCTCTTCGCATGGGTAGCAAAAGTCTGGCAATCCTCAAATAATCTGGTCAACATCGTTTCAGACACCTCCTTTAACATGTGCAAGGCTGTGGATTCCATGCGGACTGGATCTGAGTCCGCATCTTTTCCATCTCTTGGCGCTGCACTTTTCACATCTGTCAAAATGTCTCTGACAAGCTTGATGAACGCTGACTTTGTAATGGCTTTTGCCAACGGCCCAGTTTCCAAATAGGCACCAGGCTCAAAGCCTTCAGTTTGCAGACGCCGCCCTCGCGGCACATTCACAACATCAACGGTACCTTCAGGTTGGGTTGTTGCAAGGTATGCAACAGCAGCTTGCCGAGCTTTTCCGTTTCGGAAAGCGAGACGCAACTTCCCTTCGGACGTGGAGTGCACGGTGAAATCAGCCAAGTCAGTCCCGGAGCTGATTGGCATGTACAAATCCAGGTAGCACTGCCTCGCCTGGGGCTTGGGCTTGGGCAGAGAGTCTGCAAGACTTTGTCGATCCTTTGTCGCAATCTCTGCAGCTGCTGCCTCATACTGGGCTTCGGAAATAGCTGGCTCTGCAGCTGCAGCCAAGCTGGGCTTCACTGACGCAGTTGCGCCAGAACCAGTGTCAAGGGAACGCGCTGCTTCTTCTATGTCTTCTGGAATGGGAAATCACTCTTTCAAGCAAACCTCCAAAAGCTGGCCCAAAAGCGGAAAACTCGGCCGGCAGTCCTTCTTCAAGCGTTCAGGCATTCCACGGGGGCGCCAAAGCTGAAGCTATTTATCTGAAAGAAATCAAATCCGCCATAGGCTCAAATCAGTCACACAGACTGAAATTGTTGACTGAAAACAGGCCTTGCCTGCAGCTCTGAGCGATCAGAGCTGTCGTTTTGACACTCTACCCCCCCAATTTTTCTTTAAAAGTCAATCAAGAACACGATCTAGAATCTTCCAAATGCCAAAAAAGAATGAACGGAATCATGCAGCTGAAACTTTTCCAAAGTACCCATTGCTCTAACTAAAGCACCTTACATGCACCTGAGTCTTCATCGGCCAAATTATGAATCATGTGGAACAAGTGTGCGAGGTAGCTGCCCTACAACCCTTCCAGAAGTGGAACAGTATTGAGCGAACCATGTTTCGGAAAGTTGGGCTGCAACAGCCCCTCAGTGGGATAAAATTGCCTGTAAACCCTTCCACATGCCAGTGTCAGCTGCAAACGGTTGAAAATAGCGCGATCCAGACATGAAAGACCTTATTTCAGCAGGTTAGGTCTAATTTCACGGTGACGTCGGGTGACGTCGCTATAATTTGGGCAGATGTATATATATATAATGTATATGATATACATATATATATATATATATATATATATTTATTTATTTATTTATTTATGTTATATATGTATACATAGATATGCATAGATACACCCCATGATTTGGATTCATGGAACATGCGGATTTCAACTGATGATTAACATGATGATTTAAGGAGATACGGATATATATATATATACACGTATATATGTTTTTGGAGAAATCCACCTTTAAACTCGTTTGATGCAAACTATGATGATCACCGGAATTGGGGGTACATTTTCAGACAATCTGAGTTTCAGAGATTGGACGATATGCCGAACGGTCCAACATTGGTTACGGCGTGATGCAACATATGGGGATGGTTCATAACCATGTACCCTTGGTGAGCATCAAAACAACTGGTAAACGAACGTCCATGTCCATATTGGGTTTGTCTGAACATGGTGGGAAACCCGGGAACCTCCCCAGCCAATTGCCCCAAGATCCCAAGTGAATATAGTGTGAATACCATCTGGCTATGACTAACATAGCCATGGAAACTCACCATTTTTAATAGGTAAACACTCTATAAATGGGCCATTTTCCATGGCTATGTTAAATAACCAGAGGGTATATTGAAATGCACTGTGGTGGTTTACAACAATTTGGTGTCAGTTCTGAATGAACTGATTGATCTGACATCGTCGAGGTTCGATGATAAAAAATACTTCAGAGACCTGCCCTGGATTGTATGCCTTGTCTATGGTAGACTCTATACGGACCCTTTTTTTTTTCGATGATTTTCCCTCTAAACCTCCATGTTTCCGGGATTGCCCACCATTTCCTGATTTTCTCATGAATTTCCCAGCTCTCAACCTCCATTTTGATTGGGGATTTCCCAGCCACCTTTGATGACCGGAGGATACCGGAGGCCTCCATGAGTTCTTGCTCGGTGACGTGACGAATTCGGTAGCCAGGGTCCAGGTCCTTGGTCTTAGGGGGAATTCTGGAAAAGCCTGCATAATTGAACAGAACTTCATGGTTAGTAAATAGTGATTTTTTATCATGTAATTTACTGGGTATTAATGGTGATTTAATGGGATTGATTTAATGTGAAATTACATGAATAGAACCCCAAATTAGGGTTGTCTGGATTCTGAGTCCATATTCAGCCCAGCCTAGGATTTAAATCTTCAGTTGTTCATCTAAAATGTTCACTAAAAAAGTGTGAAATGCTCATGTCAGTGATGCATCACCATTTGCTATTGAAGCAGATCGTTTGCGTTCTTTGGTCCTCCTGCTAAGAATGACTATCCCAGTCACAACCACCAGCAGAACGATCATCATCAGCAATAACAGCAGATTTTCAGTCCCACTACCATCATCTCTCTCAAAGACCCCCTGATGCCAAGATTCATCACGGTACTCTTCAGGAATATCTGGGTCGTAGTTGACATCCTGAGCCAATCCAGCTGCCAAGGCAAAGTTTTATGTGATCCAAAATATTGAAGTGTGTTGCATGTACCAAGTACTATCAAACAATGCGTTCTCTTTCGAATTCTGACCGCTCTTGACCAGCTTTTTGAGCACCCTCTCCTCAGAACCATCCCCTAATTTCCAGTTTCCGTAACAACCTTGCGCCAAGGAACTCCAGTTTCTCGGGGCACCTTGGAGACAAACTTACTTGGAAACAATGGAGATAGAGAGTCCGATACTGCAAGTATTTTGAGAACTCCCTCATGCGAGTCATGTGCAATCTGTATATTTATGGATCAACGTTCGTAGGTCAAACATGCTGTCCATCTTGATAGACACTGGTGCCTTGAGCAAATCAAGAAAAATATACATTTATCGAATGTAATGAGATACACTTGGTTTCGAAATCTTGAAACACCGAACAAGATTAACGCTATAGAGATGTGCTGGGTTGCGTTTGTTATACATAAAGGAGGGCAGTAAGTGAAAAACTGCTGGCCAAATCATGGATTCAATCGGATGGAAACACACGGGCACCCTCACCGAGTTTCGATCAATTTGTTTCCTTCAGTGTAAATTTTCAATGACCAGCGTCGCACATCATGTCGTTATTATATATATAGTCTTCAGGATCTGATTCCCACAAGTTCGGCAAGTGAACCCCCGATTTTGACGTGAAACCAAAAGTCTTTTCTGTAGAAGAAAAACAACATTGTGTTGGATCAAGACACAATTTCCTGGCTTAAAGTTGTTGGGTTGATTTTTGGAATTTTTGACGGAGTAAATGCATGTAAATGCGGAAAAATCACCGTTTTCGCAGATAACATTTTTTTTCCCCTATTTTCTCGCGCAAATTTTCCATGTTTGGAAATTGTTTTCAAACACAACAAGAACCACATGATTCATACAACCATCAATACCCCCATAACTATGACATCTCAAAACCATGTGTAAATGCTAATAAGTCACCAGCCTGAACAGACAATTCAGCCAGTTTGGGTTAATTAATCCCGTATATACAGCAATCCATCATTCCAGTCACGTCGCGATGGGTTCCGTCGTTATATTTTGTCCATTTTATATTACCCATCATATCCCAATTCTATTCCCATGTGTTGCTGGCATATCCCCATCTATGTCCACATAAAGTTTCATTCAAAAAAACGCAAATGTTGATTAAATCCTATAATATATATAGATGTATATGTTTATATTGCCATACCACTAGTACCGCACAAGGCGGTGGCGGAAGTTTCAAAATTGGAACCTATAGGAGAGGTTGGTTGCTGTGAATCACGGAAGGCAGAGCGAATCCACTGGTGGACCGAAAGGTGGTTGGAGTTGTGTTTTTTGGAGTGGTTGCAACGTTTGCAGTGGTCACCTCACCACAACTGCCACAACTGCTGGATGTAGTGTGTTACTTGTCGTTGTAGTTGTAGTTGTAGTGTAGTGGAGTTGTAGTTGTAATGTTGTGGAATTAGTGTAGTGTAGTTGCAGTGGCAGCTAGAAGTGGTAGTTGTGGTGTGTTGAAGTTAGTGTAGTGTATTGTATTGTACTGTAGTGTTGTGTACTGTAGTGTGGTATAGTGTAGTGTGGTCTAGTGTAGTGTAGTGTAAGGTAGTGTGGTGGTAGTTGTAATGTAGTGTAGTGTACTTAGTGTAGTGTCGTGTAGTGCAATTTAGTGGCAGTTGCCATTGTAGTTGCATGTGCAGTTGTAGCTGTAGAGTAATAATTAATATAATGTAATTAGTGTAGCGTAGTTTTGTAATGCAGTGTAGTTGCAATTGCATTTGTCTTTGTAGTTGTAGTGTGCTGGAGTGCAGTTAGTTATTGTAGTGTAGTGTGGTGTAGTTGAAATTGTAGCTGTAGCTGTAGTTGTTGTAGTTGTAGTGTAATTAGTGTAGTGCGGTGTAATTAGATGTAGTTAGTGTAGTGTAGTGTAATTAGTGTAGCGTAGTAATGTAGCGTAGTTTTTTTGCATTTGCATTTGTAGTAGTAGTGTAGCCTAGTTGTAGTTGTCTATCTACCTATCTACCTATCTACCTATCTACCTATCGATCGATCGGTCGATCGGTCGATCGATCGATCGATCGATCTATCGATCTATCGATCTATCGATCTATCGATCTATCGATCTATCGATCTATCGATCTATCGATCTATCTATCTATCTATCTATCATTATCTATCTATTTATCTATCTGTCTATCTTCAATCTGCAAGCTTGAAAAAGAAGCAATTCTGCAAGGCTTCCTCCATTTTCGAAGGTGACAACATCAGAAAAGCAGCAATTCTGCGAGACTTCCTTAATTTTTGAACTTGACAACGTCAAAAATTAAAACGAAAGAATTCTGCGAGACTTCCTCATTGCTCCAAGTTGACAACATCAAAACGAAGCAAGTCTGCGAGACTTCCTCAGAGCTGACAGCCTCGTACCAATGCGTTTTGCAATTTTTCCATTCCATCTGTCCAAAGTATTGCGCTTGTCGCGCAATAAAGTGCTGCACCTGTCACCAAAATCATCTTAGCAGACCTGAAGATCTGATGCTCCAAAATGCAGCCCCCTCTCAGGAAATCAGCGCCCGGACCTCCTAACATATTGCACCTACCACGCGAAATGCATCTTTGCAAATCCTCTTCAAATGTCCCACGCCTGCCAACGTTTTTGGAAATGCTACGAAACCCTCACATTTTACTCATTTTTGGCAGGGTGCAGAATCCCTTGCGCATGCCTCGCAAAACCACATCTGAACCTTCCAAAATGGTCCGAGCATGTGGCGTTTTTATGCGTTTTTAGTATTCTGACTTCGAAATGTGCTTCGCGCCACGGCGGCGTGCACTTTTTCGACATTTGAACTTCCGAATGCGCCCCGAGGCTGAAGTGTTTTGTACATTTTGACTTCGACATGTGCTTCGCGCCACAACGGCGTGCACTTTTTCAACATCTCAACTTCCAAAAGTGCTCCGAACCCGTCAGTTTTGAACACTTTTGACTTCCAAATGTGCTTCGCACAACAACGGCGTGCACTTTTTCGACATCTCAACTTCCAAAAGTGGTCCGAGTTGGTGTGCTTTGTGCATTTTGACTTGAACACGTGCTTCGCGCCACAAGGGCCTGCAATTTTTTATCTCTCATATGGCCAGATGGCTCCGCACCCGCCACTTTAGCAAGCCTACTTTTCGACCCTCCGGAGCCACAAATCATTGGAAAAATATAATGAATCGCGACTTTTCCACCTTTTCGAGCACCTGCATCTTCTTTCCTCTGACTCTTTCTCTTCTCTGATCTTCTTTCTTCTTCTCTTCTTTTCTCTGACTCTTCCCACCTCTGCTTTTCCATCTGTCCATATTGTCGGAAGTTTGACTTCTAAACTTCCTTCGAACATTGTTGGTTTTATATATAGCACAACTTAATTGATCACCCTCTAGCAAACTAAAATACTTGCGGAAAATCGCCCATTTATAAATCATTGGCCTATCAAATGGTCACTTTCCACAGCTATCATTTGGTTGGGAAACTCAATTCGTTGCTCCTTGGCTCCCCATTTTTGTTTGGGAATCTGAATGCCCCTAGCTCCACACCGCTCCCTCCTAACCTCTGCATTTTTCTGTTAGTTTACCCAGAGCATAAATTCCCAGCAAATCCCATTGAATGATGGTTGAACCAGCATTTTTTTCTCGGTTCGTCACATTATATCTCCATTCTATCCCCATTAAAGCCTATCTAATGATGGTTAAACCACCATAAATCCCTTGATATTCCCAATCCCCAAAGATTTTCCCCTGACGATCTCCATCCAAGGCACATAATGTGGCGATGGCTCCAACGGTAGCGGTGTGGCCGTGGGTGTCACTGCTGTGCTGGGAACCCCTGAGGCAACGTCCGGGGTGCTGGCGCCTCCCGTCACGGTGGAGGTGACGGAAGCGCTGCGGAGACTGGTGGCCTCGGTGGGATCAGATTAAATCCATCCATTTTTTCCGGGAAAATTAAATTGTGATTCCCGGATACATCCACAAGCATTTCTTGGAGGATTCCCGCTATCAGCTGTCATGTGCGGTGACCTTGTTGCAAGGCCGCTATATATACAATTAATTTGCCGAAACAATGATCTATACTCAAAACTATTTTCAGCGGAAAAAACATATAACACGAAGATAAGATAAAAGAAGAAACCTGGAGAAATCAGTCACCAAGGATTTCTTGATTCGAGGCCATTGCGTCCCAGGAGCCAGTCTCTGCGACATAGCCTCCTGCAAATGGGCTTCTTGCTTTAAGGCCTCCGCCGACATGGGTACCCCCCGGTGTTAGCAAACGTGGCTGGGAAATCGCCAATCAATGAAAATGAAGGTGTTAATGGCGAAATCCGCTTTTCACGGGAAATCCCGAACTAAATGTGCATTTCAACTGGAAAACCATCGAGCTAAATGGTGGATTCTTCATCTGCCATGTTTGATCAACAGCGGGCAACTTTGAAAGGGTTCAGGCACCAATAAAGAACAGCAAAAACAGGATCGTCAAACTCCACCTTTAGGTCAATATCAAGAACTTCTCATAGGCTCAAGAGATCAGGGTTCCCTTCTTCTGCGGCTTTCCTTGTCCGATTCTTGCGATCTGGAGGGTTTCCACAAGTCTCAACCTTCCAAACATATTCTTCAGCATTAGTCCGACGTGTCCAGTCGGCTCCTTTCTTCTCTGTAAGCTCCCCTGTGACGGTAATTGTTGGCTATGCGCAACGATGCCCATTTCTGCTGTTAAACCTCCAATTGTTGGGGTAGTGTTAATATCATGTGTATATATATATATATTAATTAATAGTACGAAGTTTCACTAACACAACTGAAAACTAAGTTCAATCGCTACATATTTTTGTAGATATATATATATATATTATATATATATATATTCTATGTCTTATACCAGCCTTCGAACGGCTTCCCCATCCGCCACCGCGTTCGCCTGATCTGCGAAGCGACGCAGCAGCTGATCCGTCCAGGCACCAGTGGAACGGTCGCCGGGCTCGGGCTCGCGCTCCGAGCGACGGCTGGAACGTTCGGCCTCGGGGGTGTTGAACCACCGTGGAACTGGATAAATTCACGTGATCAATGATAGTATCTGGTTGGTGGTATACCTACCCCTCTTAAAAATGATGGACTTCGTCAGTTGGGGTTACGAACTTCCCAATATATATGGAAAAATAAAAGTCATGTTCCAAACCAACCAGGTATCTATACATATCTATACTATGTAGATAGTGTATCTATGGATAGCTATGATAGTTCAATATCATTCAATACCTATATCTACTGATAGTGTCTATACCACAGAAAGGGTATACCAATAATAAGATCTATGATGTGATCTATCATTTGTTTCGTTGACCAGTCACGGAGAAAATGATGGTTAAACAATGTTAGACATCAACAATGAAAGAAAGAAAATGGAAATTATATAGGGATAAATATGGCACAGCAAGAAAAGATCAATAATATTCAAAAATGATATAAACAAACAATCAGTCAATGACAGAAAATGCTATCATCAACATAAATTCAAGAATGATACATCACTAATTTACATCATGACAGTTCCACATATTTTTGGCTGATCGACACTCAACATCCTTGTTTGCTCTTGTTTGCGACTTGGTTAATTAAGTTATTTTAAATTCCTGTCTTGGTCGGTGCAATCAGGAGTGGTAAGTCTCTTTGATCTTTGCGTGTTGGTGACTACCGGTCTCTTCATACGTCCTGTGGGTCTGCCCAAAAATAGACAGCGTGCCTAGGGAAAACTATGGAATGTTCCCATACATCAATAATATCATGGAGTTTCGGAAGATCCAAACATAGTCAAAGTTCCAAACAAAGTCCCAAAAATGAGGGTTTCCATCCCAAAATGGTTGGTTTATAATGGAAAATCCATTTATACATGGATGATTTAAGGGTACCCTCATTTCAGGAAACATCCAAATAAACCCGTTGGATTCTTGGCCAAGGACAGGCCCTCCACCTTCACACGGTCCAAGGTACGGCATCAGCCAGGCTCAATAGCTTGTTGCCGAGTTCCTGCAAGCGCACGGCCAGCCCCGGTTCGCCTGGCACTTGCTTGATCTTTGGCAAACAAACATGGGAAACAAAACATGAGGATTACATCTTTTTGATGGTTTGAAAAATCATTTTTAACCATCCACATCGATTCAAATCCGAGGAGTTTGTGGGATTACAAGGGAAAATGGTTTAGAGATCCACAGTTTTTGAGTCCCAAACCAATTCTTGGAATAAGGTCAAACAAACCCATCGGGCTCAAAAAGCATCTTGTAGATTGTAGATAACTCTATACCTTCATCAAAATTCCATGTCTCTTTCAAAGAAATCAAAGCGACAAGGTGTAATGTGGAAGTGAGACAGGTGGCTTAGTTGATGAACTAAAACAATACTAGGCACTCAAACCATAGCCAAACCATCCCAAAAACATTATGCTTTCCCAGGTTTGAGATCAAGTTGGGTGTTTAGGTATCTTGGGGTTATTTCGACTGTTCAACATATATTGATTTTCCATCGCAGACAATGGGAAGAACTTGCACTGTGATGATTAAAAATACCAGGTCAATGCAGATGATTGATCATCCTTGACATTTCCCTCCGATGACAACCAGCTGATTGAATGGCCAAGAGATGAACTCCAATGGCGGCGGATACGCCATTGGTAGAGCTTCTTCACTTCCATGAGTCTATTTCCAGGTTTGTGAACTATTTCACTTCAGCCACATAATTGGGATTATAAATATCACCAACTACAATGATGGGGCTGATTAGATAATCATAAACACCTGGTGTAAATTCCGGCGATTTCACCGCTTAGTTTACAAACTTGCATCCATGGAAAAAACATGTTTTTATGGGGATATAGTGGGATAAAATCGGGATGAATGAACATAAAACTACATGTATATAATCATATATCTATACATACATATTAGCCAGCAAAAATATGGGTCTAAAACCAACCATGTACCAACCATAGTGGGAGTATATGGGAATACATCATGAATCATGGGGGTGAAGAGGAAAACAAACATATATATAACCAGCAGTATTATATGGTTGTTGCCCAACAAAGTTTGGATAGGCCCCAAAATAAAGTTCATTGCTGAGGCTGAAACCTTGCGGCCATTTGATGATACCCCCGTATCCTGCCCGTATCAGTGAGGTCGTTCTAGTTTGGTCAGTCGTTTATCCCATATATGGGTTATAACTGGCTACAAATCAGTGACGATCCGTGGGATGATCCTCCAAGTATAAACCGTGACAGTAATTGTAGTTGCTTAAACCTCCAGTATTCCAAATTACTCACGATGGTTTCTATAAAACCATATGATACCATATGGAGGTTTCCTAAGTCGTGGGGGTACTCCGCAATCATCCGAGTAATTACACCGTAACTTAGTATTGAAACCATTGGAATATTGGGGATCCCCCATGACTGAAGAAACCCCCAGATGGAAAATGATCCATTTATGAATGAACTACCTGTTTAAAAGGGTGAGTTTCCACATCTATGTTAGTCGTTAGTTTGCACAAAGGTGTGAATTATGGTTTCTATATAGTCTATACCCCCAAATCTACCCAAGCCAAATCCAAGGTTTATTAATCCAATTTTAGGGCCACCCAAATCTCATGCCTGAGCCCCGGCCTTTGCCCCTGGCATTGTGTACCAACCGTGCCGGTTCAGGCAGGCCAGAACCTCAGGGAGACCCTGCAGGTGGCAGAATGGCACCATTATATGCTGCGATTTGAACATAGTAAAATATAGTGCATATAAACGATGTATGTAAATGATATGTATATATAAATATAATAGTATAATATAGATAGATCGATGAGATTAGATTCGATTCGATCCGATTAGATTTAGTTTAGTTTAGATTGTTACGTTACGTTACGTTAAATAAACTACATTACATTATTGTGTATATATGTAGGACACACGTCGATATATATATATATATATCAGAGAAATATATATATATATATGTATTATGTTTGACATTGCAAAATAATAAATGGATTATGGTATTATAAGTTCTACGTACAATGATATTTGATACACCTGAAACATATGTCATATGGCAAGATACAATAATGCAGTCAAAAATTGAGGCGATGTTGGATATTACATCATGGTTTTCATGTGTTGGGATAACATTTACAGGAACCAGTTGCTATTTTTTTAAATTGTGGCATTGACCAACTTGTGATGCTTTACGAATGCGTGGTGTGGTCGCCTTTGTGTGTTCGCAGCTGGATTTGCTTCCCGCTTTGTCTCGCCTCCAATGCTGTTTGCACTTCGAAGCTTGTGTTTCAGAATGGCTTGCTCTTGCGTCGGTTCCTTCTGGTCTTTCTTTGGCCTCTGCCTCACCCACTTGGCTGGCCATCACTGGCGGATTGGATTGGCGTTTGCTTTTTCAGGTGCGAGTCCCTGGTCATAGCCTGTCTGTGTCTGCATCGGTTCGTCCTTGTCCTGCCTTGACTACGTACCACGTAGTCAGGCAGATGCAACTGCAGCATGCAACAGATTTGCAGGCGGAGCTTGTCTGACCAACGCTGACCAAAACAGTTCGTCCTCATACAGTGGTGCTGGCCCATCTTGATCCTGGGTGCCGACAAGAAGGCTTTTCTTGAAACATGCAGTGCAGCAGGGTCTTTCGCGAGGCCTTGAGGTCCGGGTGCTGTTGATAGATTTGGAGCCTTCTAATCATTACGAGATGCTGGATGACAAGAAGTTTCAGCAGATTTGGGAACACGTGCCTTTGGGGTCCTTTTGGGGTCTTGCTGACTCCTCCAGGTGAGACATGGACTGCAAGCAGCGCAAGGATTTCCACTGACATGGGCAGTTCTGCTGGCTCAAGGGTGGTGCGTCATGCTGGTGCGCCATGGTGCGTTGATGGTCTGACGACTGCTGAGCTGCGACAGGTCGATACGGCCAACGCTTTGCTGTTTGCCGCGCTCTTGCTAGCGCTAGCTTGCCTGTCTGCAGGGGTGCGTTTTGTCCTGGAGCATGCTAGTGTGCCAACCACTCCTGACTTGCCAAGCATATGGACAATATGGCCGGTGCAGTGGCTTCTTCGGCACCCCAGTGTGCAGCAGGTTTTAGTGCATCCTAGTCAACATAGTGCCGCTCACCGCTTGGTTGGGTGGATGCCCAGGTTCCAAGCTGAACATGTGCTCCTTTGCCCAAAGCGCCAGACAATCATCGCTTCAGCCATCAGGTCATCAGGACAAAACAAAATACGTTTCCAACATGAGCTTCGGACTTGCTGTTTCATTTCTGAACGATGTTGAACGTCACTGGTCTCATTGCCGACCACGTCGAGACGTGCCTGAAACTCTGATGGCGTTCATTTCAGATCTGGATGCAGCCCAAAGGCTACAGAAGTTGCAAGTCCCTTAGCCTGACAATACCCGTAACATCCCGTAGCTAGCCAGTGGCATGCAGGCCAGCCAATCCCTTGTGTGCGTTTTTTTTTGTTTATTCTCACAAAAAAAACTGGCCAAGATGCGGCAGGTCTTGGCAGGTCTGTTTGCATTGAACTCAGTTTCACGTCGAGCGCAGTCTAACCAAGACTTCGGAGCTCACAAACGAAGAAGAAGATTGACCAATGCCTTTGGCACTTATCAATCCTCCCGCCACCTGCAAAATCCTGGTGTGCTCCTCTCCAGTTTGCTTTTCAATATGTTTCAGTCAGGTGAACTGCAGGTCAAGGCGTCTACAAAAAGAGCTGATCAGATCTGCTGGTGGAACATCATTCCTTTGCCTACTAGTAAAAGCGGCTGATGATTGAGGGCTGTGCGGGCCGCCATTGAATTTGACAAAAACGCTCAAATGACTATATAATGACTACTATACCAAGGACAAAATCAGGCAAAACTTCTAGAGAAAAAAATGTTCGAATGTTTGGAATAAGAGTCTTTGAGCCATCATGTGTGGGTGATGTCTGAAAATGGAGTAATACCACCAAGTTATGGGCATCTTAATAGGGACCATGGTGATAAACCACTGGATTTCAGACACACCTGTATAGCCAGACCAGTTTCTGTACTTTTATCTTAAGGGCATGATTAATGTGCAAGCAGCAAACATACAGCGTTTGCAGATTTTGGTTGACCATCAACATAATTCTTCACCAAATAAGCACTCTACAGTGCAGGGAAACACTTGACTTTCAAGATTCGTGGGTGTTCCGTACCCCAAAATTTCCGATATCAAAGTATGTACTTCCCAACTTCCCATATATGATCCCATGTTTTTAACTGAATGCCCCATAATTTTCTCATATATAACATATAACATCCCACTGACTGGTTTAGAAACTTCCAGATAGTTTCCCTTGTCTCATCGCATCGCAACCATTTCTCCAGGTCACCTTTCAGGAACTTTGCAATGGCGACCAAGGCTTGATCTTCCGTCGACATCGGGGATTGAAACAAGGGGCAGCTGGGGGCAGCCCTGTTGCTGGTGTGTTTGGACATGGTTGATGATACCCGGATGGGTCCATTGAAATTTATCGATGATTATGTTGATGATATTTACATTTTTTTCTGTAACTTGCTCAGTTCCTCAGCTGGCTTCCATCACAGGCACATCATGACCTCTCAGGCTGCCAAATATCTTCATGTGGCAAACTTAATGTCATAAACCTACCATTTGGGAATGGTGAATCCCACCTATGTCATCCTGATTTAATAGAAAAAATGAGAATGTTGGGGATGGTTTATTATAGTTTTTACATCGTCATTAGGTCATATGATGTCGAATTTCAATGTTCTTTTCATCTTCCACTTCAACATTAGCATCCGGCAGTGGGTTGTTTAGTTTTTTCTCTTTTGTTGCCAGTTTGCTTGTGCAGATTGTCACTTCAACGGGTGACTGATGCGACAGCGGCAGCAACATGTCCTACAATGGAGTCTCAAGATGTCTCGAGTCGATCCTGGAAGTGCAGCACAGATCTTGCATAGTTCCACGGTCCCCGCTGTTACTACTTTAGCTCCAGCATCAAACCATTCCTATATTGATTTGAAATTACGCACGATATAACCCACACAATACCAAAAAAACATTGCATGAACTCATATATCCCTCCAACAAGAGCCTTCATCCGGCATATTTTTTTGCGGCTCTTCAGGGCTCCAGCTTCTTTGGCTGCGACCCCACTATGGCAGCTGGTGCCGGAGGTGGTGGGTGCGGCTGGTACTCGCCCAGCGATGGAATGGGCCCGGTGTAGGGCCCGTGGAGAACCTGGTGAATAAAAGTTGCGGGAAAACTATGCTGATAAAATGATGATGAATGTATAATAATTATAATAACAATAAAATATTATAAATATATCAATATACTTATATAATTGGTTGTTGATCAAAATTCTTCCTCCGGCAATGGCCATTCGTTCGCGGAACCATGTTGAGCAACAGTTCCTCTCTTTTGCAGATTCATTAATATTCATTAACCACCTGCCAAATCACACCAAATTATCACGGATATTCACGGATCATGTATTCATAGCCTTGCAAACATGCAGCTAGCATCACGGAATCCCCCTTGTCAGGACAGGTTGTTGCTGATTAGGCAATTTTTTTGCAAGGCTTGCTGGGCCACCCTTCAAAATGCACTTTGGCTCTCGCCCGCTCCTTCGCTTCGCGGAACTTTCGCGAAAATCAGAAGACCCCAGCCATCAGCAGGGGGGCATCGGAGGAAAAGCAAACACCAGGGGCCTTGGCGTTTGGCTCTCGCAAAGCTTCACTTTTGGAAGTTTGGCTGCTGCATGTGGAGCTTGTTTCTTGAGACTTCAGAAAGCAACGTTAGGCAGTACCAGCGGTAGGTCCAAGGATGTGCTTCAAGACCATGATATTTGGCCGTGGCGAAGCCTTACCTTCGGAAGCTCGGCTGCTACCTATAAATGGAAAGGTAAATGTGCGGTGCCCTTCTCCTGCCGGACTCCCAGGCGGGCGGCAGGAGGTGGTAGTAACAAGCTGTATATGCATACAGCATACAATTAATGATTCATAATATCCAACTTTCGCGAAACTTTCGCGAAAAAAAACTTTCACGAACTCGCAAAAAACTTCCGCAGGGGTTCCCAGCAAAACATGAACGGTCTTCGCAATGAAAACTCTTCACACGGACCTTTAGATCGATCAATAATTATAATATATTATGTATACAATGAATTACAATTATACACATGAAATAACAAAGTAGACATGGTCCTGGTCATGAATGAGATACCGTCATGAAAGACTGTGAAAGATCGAGAAAGAGTCTGAAACTGTCGGAAATCAGGATCCAAATTCCCACACGCCTTGGGCGGAAACCTCAAGATAGGATCAGCGCCCAGCCGGTAGCGAGGCTCCAACATGTCGGGATAGACCAACTGTCGCAAGGTCCTATGCTTCTTGGAAGATTTTTTCAACTATGTTCAACTGAAACCAGGAAAGAGCATCCAAGAGTGCATCCTTCTCACGACTGGGAAGGTTGGTGTTCCTTGCTGCGTCCCTCAATTATAAAGCCATCCAGGAGTCATGGGTAACTTCGATGAATGAGCCCAGGGACCGTCCCAGGACTTGTATGTCAGGTTCAGTTTAGGTCTTTGGTAACTTTATTCAGAGAAAAACACCATTGGAAAAAGAGCTTGGAATGGAGGGGTCAAACCCTCTTACCTACTATACCAAGGTAGTACAGATATGGATGAAAAGGGTGAACATTGATGTGCCATTGAAGGAAGTATATGTAGCTATATGTGATAAACCCAATGCCATAAACCTACCATTTGGGGATGGTTTATACCCAAATATTGTCATTAATTGGGGGATGATAAAAATTGGCGATACCCACCCCAGACCTGGGCAGACTCCTGACACAGCGATTGAGACCCAGCCCAAAGCGTGCTGACGTGCCCACCACGGGGATGTCGTCGTCGTAGCGAGCGCGAAGACGGTAAAAGAGGGAATCCAAGTGAAACCTCCATGGATCATCCACAAGACTCGGCTCTTGGGAGGTTAACCAGTAACCAGCTAACCAATGTTAACCATCCAATTCAAGATATTCAAGGTGCTATTTTGATTTTTGTTAACCACAAAAAGGTGCAATATGGTGCAATACCCCTATGAGAGACCCCTTGATATTGGACATCCCAGTGGAGAATTGAAAAATGCATGGTACATCCAGTCATTTGACCTGGCATAATGGAAATTCCAGTTTTTTGGGGATGATTACTCCATATGTATCCATATGTTCCATCAAAAGTTGATATTTTCCACTGCCATGTTAACAAAAACAACCAGCTTATACCAGCTTCAGGGTAGGTTTCAACAGTGTGTCCCTCATGTGATGCATCCAGGAGGCAAAGGATCACGGTGAAGCATGTCACACTTTGTTCCAATGACCATCCAAGGCTTTTCGCGATTCAAAGGATCGAACTCCAGCGCTTCCTCCGGAACAAATCGCAGGCCCAAATCTTGGTTTTCGCCCATACCGTATGGAATCTTGGGGATAAACCACTCCATGCCGGTTCAACTGAGTATTCTCCAGGATTTTGGTCCTGGCGAAGCATCTCCACCTCTTCAAGAACCTGACAGAGTTGGCTCATCCCGCTGTGGTTTACAACACTTTTCTGTGGGAAATAGGTCACCTATGGCCACCGAAAGCACTGTAGAAAAATGTAGAAAGTAGAAAGCAGTCGTCCTACTCATATCCAATTGCATATATTGCATACACCTTCAACGTGTTTTTTCCACTTTCTCAATCTGCATGTTATGTCCTGCATGTCCACGTGCATTGCAGGAACGTCTTCCTCAGATCTCTCTCCCCTGGCAACGTTCACCACGAAAGCCAGAGCTCGCGAGCGGTAGGTGTGACGCAGAATTCGACGTCCCATCAGCTTGTCCTACAGTCTTGCAGGAGAGGTCGCAATATCACAGGGCGAGTGGGTTCTCAAACTGCGGGCAGAAACCCAACCGCTACCACAGTCGAACATCAAAACAAGATAAAACAAGATGAACGGAAATACCTACTGTATGATACACTCAAAGTCCCTATCAATTTTGGAGACTTGGCGGTGTATGTCTCCAAAACAAACGATGGCATACCAGTGATGAATTGCACGTGTGGATACTCGTGGCATTTCCGCAACAATCCAAATTATATCATGAGTGTTTTTGGATGTTTTTGGTAGTACATATCAAATCCACAAGTATAAGGACTCCCCAAAGACATAAGTTTTGCCAGGATGTTCTAGACGATGTTTCCTACATGATTGCCAGGGTTCCAACGCCGAATCCATCACCTCGCCAAGCTTCGTCGTGGGCCCCTCGCTTCAAACCAGGCAGGTCGCAAATGGAGACTTCCACACCTGCAGTGCTGCGAGTGAGATCCCCAGTAGCTATGGAATCGTTCGAACTGGCAACAGGTTTGTCAGTGAAAGGAGATATCAATAGATATCAGAGATCCGAACAAGTCAGGGCACATTCAAGGTAGGATCAAGTGTTTATCCCGGTCTTCAACAACCTTCAACATCTGTTTCCAGGTGACAAACAGCTACCGAATGGTACGAGCGTCTGAAGCACTTGCATGCTCAAACAGAAACATTCACGACTTCACCCGTCAACACTAGACAAATTCCCCTTCTACGACGGTTGGTTCAAAGTTCATTCTCGGGTTCCACGCAAACCTGGGCGCAAATATCAACTCCACTGCTAGATCACTCACCATGGTCATACAGTGCTGACAAGCGTCGATCTCTGAAACGAATCACGCCCACGTGAGGCCTGGCTCTCAGCAACTCTGGACAGCCAACGGTAAAAACGGGCATATCCAGGCATCAGTTACCCTCTGGTAAACTAACATAACTATGGAAAATAACAATTTATTGTGGATTTTCCCATGAAAAATTGTGATTTTCCATAGTTATGTTAGTTTACCAGAGGGTATACCAGTTATTGTCCATGTGTCAGCTTGGCAGATGTAATTTTAATTGCAGCGGTTCATCTGGCAAAGTCATCTTTTTGGGGTCCAAAGACGGATGCGGTCCTCCGATCTTGCAAAGCTGGAATCAACACGTGTACAGGGATTCTGATAGTTCAATCACATATGCAGTATTCTAATGTATCTCGAGTAATTATACAGCAGTAGACCCAGAGTCCAAATCAACTGCAGAATTTTGAGACACATGCGTATGAATCAAAGTATGTCAAAGTCAAAGTCCCATTCAATGGTGGTTGGATTCCCATATGATTCCCATATGTTTGGATATTTCCTCCAGTTAAACATCCCATGTCTGCCACTGGATTTGAACATGTCCATCCATCCAACGTACCACATCCAAGAAATGGCCCCTGGCCCCTGCTGTGAAATTGTCTCCGGAACTGCCGATTTTTCTTTGGGGCTTTTTAGACCACGGCTTTTGAGGAGATTTTCCAGGAAAAAAAAAGGTCAAATCCCATCTCTAACTCCATTCTGGTTGATTACGCAAGATTAAATGATTAAGTATAGCCCAAGGTCATCACTTTTCTTGATTTTTTCTTCCCATTCCCATAATTTTAAACACCCCCCATCTTTATTGGTGCCAATAAGCGATATAACCATGGTTTCTTGCGGTGTTTGTGCAGTTCAATGTTACAGGCATTGGATCACACAACTCCATTGATCATCCCTATATATATATATATACCCCTACTAAATCACCATGAAATTGATTATGGATCATTATATATACATATATATATACACCATATATCCTAAATTTCATAATAACATATAAACAAATCAAATAATATATAGTGTATATATATATATACATAGGTTTCCTAAAACAGGGCTACCCCTGAAATCATCAATAAAATGATTGTCCATTATCAACCATCCATTTTTTTTCGGTACCCCCATTGATGGAAACCGCCTGGTGGTGCTGAACTCCTCTGGTCCAATTCGCGTGTGCGCTCGGCTCATGGCCGCCTGTGCTATATCGGAGCGATCGGAACTGGCTGGAGGCTCTGGGTTTTGGGCAAAAAAAAAGGTGATTTCATAGGGATATGATGGGGATATACATGAGATAAGTCTAGATAACCAACAATATCCTACAAACATGGTGATTTCATAGGGAGAATGAATGCTAGTGATAGGGATATGACGTCTATGATCGGGTTATGATGGGGATATAATTCAGTAAGTCTATATAACCAACCATATGATGGTGGGGTTTGTCTGAAAATGGGAGACCCTCAAGCTATGGCTACTTTCATGGGGAATAATGCATGGAAGCGGGTACGCAATTTTTCGACAAACCCATGTTGCCACAAACATGTCCTGAAATGAGAAAAATAGAAGAGCCGGTTAAGTGAACTCATGGATAGTTATCTTGCGAAACATGGGGTTACTCTGTTGACTGACCAGTGGGAAAAGACACCGATGATAATTACTGTAAGACTGTGGCTTGAGGCGGATGCTGGCTTCCAAACCTCAATTCCCAACCGGGGCCCAATGACCAACGCCGCCCTTCAAAGCGCACCAACAAGGAGGTCTTCCCAGCATTGGGCATTCCAATCAACGCCACGTCGTTCAGGACCCTTAACTCAAGTTCCAAGCGCGTCCTGCAGGGGGCCAGGACCAGTTCACTCTGAAGAAATAGAGGAGTCACCAGTTGAACATTGAATCATTGGGAATCGCTGGATTTTTCATTGAAATAGTTGGCAAAAAAATTATTCACCAATTTGTTGAACACATTAGTGTATCCCTATGGATCCAAACACTTTCTGAGAAGGTCCTTAACCCCCCAAAACATACCCCATTCATACTTCCTAAGAAGGTACTTGGATTATAGGTTATATTATTAGGTTATATTCATTGGGATTTTCGACAAAAAACACACACAGCTCACATAGCTCGGTTCTCTGGCGCCTCTGCCCAGGAGTACCCCTGCGACTGTCACCTCGGCCAGAAAAATTGCGGCTTCCCAAACAATGGAGCCACAAACATCCGGAGCCACAAGGGGCGAACCATTTTTAGGCAGGAATTTGTTGAGCACTGTCTATTGAAAACGATGGTGAAGATCTTTTCTACTGGATAGTTACCTGATAAATTGTAGTCGTCCACAGGGATCAATCTCCCATACATGGGAGTACAATGACCCAATAAACATGAGGGTTTTCAACACTGCTCTATTTGGTAAGCCACTTCCTGAGAACTTTAGGAAAGCATTCAAGCCCACCTAACCCATGCACTGCCATGCACCTCTTGTATAGCCATAACATGTTGAATGGTCAGCACAACTATCAGTTGAGATCTTGGATGTTTCTGATATACAATACGACGTTGAAAACAAAAGGCCCTATTCAGAGACATTAACAATTTATTGACCCAGCACCGAAACATGGATCCTCTGTCAAAGTCGAACACACGAGCAATGAAGCAAGCTGGAAAAAAATGCACGGTGTCAGGTTCCAGGATTTGGGCAAGCCATGGCAAGCCTAATCAACGGACCATAGGAAAGGTGTTTTCCTCCATAATCAGCATGCTATCCCATTCGCAACGTTCACAATCAATCACAGACCGTCCTAAACCAGAGTTGTTTTTATTGAAATATCTATATATTCATTGTTTCGCTGGTTTTCAATATTGATACTGACAAACCATCAATTTATGGAGTGAAGGGTCCACAATGAAGTCGCAAATGTCGCTATAGACATTCTTCTGATGCCACAAAGGTACCTTTCTTGAAGGATTTGGGCCCAACGCCACCAATGCCACCGCGCGCCACTATGAAGGTGTCGTGATGTCTAAGAAACCTGAGTAGTGGACATGGCAACAAAAGTCAACATATCATAATGTGAAAACAGTGGATGTGAAATAAGAAACAACTAGCAAACTCCAAAGTAGCACCAACAAATACATGCACTCCAAAAGCTTCCTCCACATGGCTACTTAAGTCTCAAGCCGGGTTTCCACATGTTTCTACCAACTTACATATGTGTTTCAATATAACTTTTATCTGGGCAATGAACAGTGACCCTCATTGCAGATCTCAGAAGCGACATATATATGTATATATGTACCAGCCCTCGCAACCCCCCCTTCCTCCCCTGTGGTGTGGGTATGTGGGGGTATGTGCGGGTATGTGGGGGGTATGTGGTATGTATCTAGGTAGGTATATATGTATGTATGAATGGATACATACATGTATATGAAGGTAAGGATGTATGTAGGTAGGTTGGTAAGAATGGATGTAGGTGGGTATGTATGTCTATATGTATGCATGTATGTATATTATGTATGTAGGTAGGCAGGAATGTATGTAGGTAGGAATGTATGAACGTAGGTATGCATATATGTGTCTTTGTATTTATGTAGGTAGGCGGGTATGTACGAAGGTATGTATACATGCAGGTAGGGATTTATGTATGTATGTCTGTATGTCTGTCTGTTTGTCTGTCTGTATGTATGTATGGAGGGGGGGTGGATACCATGGGGGCGTAGGTGGCCGGTGGACTGGAGCTGCCTTTTGAGACCAAGAAACTGATACCTAAACTGTGGCAGGAAAATGCGGCGGCCTTCCTGTGTTCGTTCCCCACTGAAAACTCGCTCGCGAACGATGGTGCCAATGGGAACCTCCCAGGCTTTAGAAGATTTGTCCCCAGAAGCCGCCAGATTAAGGCCAGGAAATTAATGATAAACCGCCCCAGTAACCTACCACTTGGATCCCATTGGGGATCATTTGGGATCGGGAATGGTTTATTCTTGGGTTTTTCGTTCGAATCCAATACACGGGCTTTTTCATTTGCTCCACTGAAACCTCTTGGGCCTGAGCCAGTGACCCAGCAGAGACAAAGATATTTTGGATATCTTGAAACTGAAACCACTGTATTCACATCAATACACACGTTCTGAAATAGATTTCAAACCCTTTAGCACAGCGATGTGAGCCATGGAAAGGCCCGATTCACATTAAAATATGTATAGTAAAACAACACTGGTTGGTGGTTTCAACCCCTCTGAAAAATATTAGTCAAATGGGAGTATTATTCCCAATATATGGAAAAATAAAAGCCGTGTTCCAAACCACCCACCAGCAACACAATAAAGACCCACGCTTTTTTCAGATCGACGCATCGCTGGGCCTGGAGCACATAGTCCTCCCCGTGTTTGCCGCGCTTGGTGTCGTGGCCATCGCCGCCATGCTCCGCCCGGAGCTTCTCAGGGACATCGAGGAAGCTTTCGATCTGCGATGTGGCTTTGAGCACCACAGATCCACCGTGTCCACCATATCCGGGACCTGACACGGGTCGTGCCATGGTCAACTTAGTGGGATGAATATGATGAATGCTATGGGAATGATCCATCTCAGATTGGGAATCCAAACATGGGTAAATCCCGATGAATTGATGACCATCACCCAATATAGAAAAATGCGGGACAATATGGACCTTGCGTGACATGTGACAACTTAAGAAATTGCGGAATTCCTCGTGTGGCTAGCCAGGAAATCTGATGAATATGGGTTTTCATGGGAAAGTCAGCGAACTAAATGGGAGATTCTCTAGCTAGCCATGTTGTATTACCAAAAGATACCAAAGGGTAAGCATGGTCATGGTGCACATGTATCAAGTCCACAGAGAGATGTCTCCCTTTCTTGCCCTTGATCCACATCAAACTGGAAGACCATGGACTTGGAGCTTTTTGGTCCCTCGGTTCAAGGGTGAATCTTGCGCAAAATCATGGTACTTTTCTCCATCCAGGTATTTGAAAGCTGGAAATGAGAGGGGAAACATCACCTACATCCATCATTGATGCATCCCACGAATCGGATCCGTGGTTTGTAATCCATAACCCATCTTTCATCCCCAAGGTGATCCAGGGGATATTCCAAGGTTATCCCCACCTTTGGGCAAATGAGGCCGTCTCAAGGCATTGGGCAAGGGCTCTCCACCGTTGCCCGCTTTGGCCGTGAGCCAAATCCTGACAGCATTGGATGAAGCCCAGGGAAAAAAAAGGCAGAAAGGAACACATTCCAATTCTAAAATAGTGTGATAGAATGTGAAAGATAATGATAGATAATGATAGATAATGATAGATAATGATAGATAATGATAGATATAATATAAATGGTTTGGTTCTATGTGTCTGTCGTTTTTGGGCGGCTTGTTTGGTTGTCATTTGCAATCATGTTTGCCCATTGCTTGTGAATGAACTTACCAGTGTGAAGAATGGACAACTATGGGTGGCGCCACAGGGATCCCTCAAAACAGCAAAAAAATGAGTGAACTGGGCGGAAAATGTGGTAGAGTCTATTAGATCACTTTGTTTCGGGATAAGCATATGAAAAGATGAGCCATACTACAACATAGTATGAACAACCTAAATATAAGTCCCTTGCATCCCCTTGTCGATTCAATCTCACGGTTTGAAATATTGGTGGCTCTGGTTGTCGGGATCACCATCTCGTGAACAGCCAGGCCTGTCAATGAAGGGACGTTGAAGCCGCGGGTAGGATTCAAGATCTTGCTGGCCCAGCACCTGCATTCACCACCCTGGGGAGTTGCATGCCATGGACAAGTCCGACAAGTGCCTTGCTGCTCACTTCTGACCAAGGTATGATTTATACGTATACACATATAATTATGCACATATACGTACATATGATGTAGATGTGTTAATATGTATAATTATATATATAACACGTTACATCTATATATATATAATATTGTATTTTTACGTATATAATTATATATATTATATAACTAATATATTAATATGTATACCGTCATAAGTCATACTATAATATTATATATATATAGTATTATATAGTATAGTGCTGAAGGACTCCAACACATCAGCTCCAGCTCCAACCTCAACGACCTCTCCAGGGGATGGCCCGTCACTTCCTGGTTGGCTCAGCGGAAAAACCAGCTGCGATGATGGGAAAATCCGCAGGAAACCGATGATGGAACGCCCTTTTTTTCGATGGTAAAAAAACATTGAACAACCATGGAAACACCATAATTATGTTTATATGGTTTCTAGTTCTCAATTTTCTGAAATATCCATGCCAGTAGGGGTTGGAAGCCTACTTACCCAAGTGGAAAGGATCCCGTCTATGTTGTTAGGGGGATGGTATTGATGCAGGAAAGCGATTGCGACATGCAAACAGCTCAAGTTTTGATTCACCATTCTGATGGAAGAGCAAGGCTGAACCACAGAAACCACCACCAAAAACAGGCGTTGGACCGAGGAGCGAAGACCAGCATTGGGACTCCTCTCAGGTGCCCTCAAGCGCATCCGTGGAAAGCAGAACGGCGCATCGTTGAAGTAAGTTATGTGCAAGTTTCGATGACACTTCGCAGATCTTGCCATTAATTCACAAATTAATACAAATTATATCTTACTTGGAATCAAGGTGTGTAGAAGATCGCACGGCTCGCTTCAACATGCGTTTGGCCTGACAAACGACTTCCGTACGGAATAGTGCTGCAAGGTGCGATTGGTCCGGCGTTGCCACTGCGTCTGAGTAACACCTCGCAGGAGGCCGGCGATTGATGCAATACATTCACACTCACGGACGAAATTCACCCAAGACTCTAGCTGCTCTAGCTGCTCTAGTTCAGGCCATCTTTGGGCCATCTTGGTTGAATCATTTGAACAGAAATGTTGAAGAAAAACAACAGAGTTTCCTTGCACCATGCCCTTGGCAAACTGTTTATTGGACGTTCAAAGGCCAACCTTCCATCACCATCGTCTTCACCATTGGATAACCCTTAGGCAGTCAAAACAATGGTATTGGGACTTCCCTTTCTTGTATTATAGAATAATCACCTTCTGAGCATGTCATCTGGATATAAATCGGGGATATTCATCGGATAAATAATAATGAACAGTAATTCACGAAGCCCATATATAAACCTGAAATCATAATACCAAAGGCTACGTGGTCCTGCAGGTCCTGCTTCACCCACTCCATGCCTGGCAGCACGAAGGCACCGACTGCACGTGGCAGCTCCCCAACCTGGGTGCGGTCACAGGAATCAGAATTGCCAGGAAGATAAGGGAAGAAGCTCACAAGTTTCAGACTGATGTTCTTCTTCTGCCCAAACAGAATGATTAAACCTTGTACTGTGCTGTTGGGGATTGGCGTCAACTGCGACTGTCTATGGCTGCCCATCTGGGTTGTGAAGGTTGACACGTCGTTATTTTGATTGCCAAGATGCCAAGATTACAGACCCAGCAATTTGTAATCTGAATGGTACCCTCTTGTATTTTAACATGTAGCTATGGAAAAGCACCATCTTTAATAGCTAAATCATGGAACTAAAAAGTCCATGTTCTATAGCTATTTGTTGAATTACCATAAGGCAACCCGCATCTCTCTTCAATCCCACAAGCAGCCGCATCTCTCATCTTTTTACGACAAGAACTCATCCAAAGATTCACCCACTTCCGGCTGCATGCCTCAAGGTCGCACCGGGCTGTTGATGATCCGGCAGTGAGATTGGTGACACAGCTGGGTGGGGTCCACACAGGCGTACACCCAAAAAACATATTATGTTCTTCATGGTGAAAATATGGGAAAATTACGGTAAATACATCTAAATATACGAAAAACATATACGAACAGGTATTTTAGACTACCTCCGGGAAGGCTTTCCTTGGCCCGCCCAGCCATTTACACATATGGAATCCAATTCACTTGAACAGACTGTAACTACATTTAAATATACAAACTGGTATTTCATACTACCTCCGGGGCCTCGCAGTCTGGCCCGCCCTCCACATATTTAACTGTTGTTACTGTAGTCTTTGGCAGCTTTTGGAGCTGGTTCGGAATAGTCTGAGTCCGGGTTGGAGCAATCTTTGATTAATTTCCATGGATGAATAAAACAACCACCAAACATGTACCAAGAGAGGCACATAGTGACTGAATATGGACCATCTGGGCCAGGCTGTCAAGTTCGGATATAAACCACCATGGATAATATCGGCCATCAATATCATCAAAAAGGAGTCACAATGGAGTAACTATATAGACATGTTCCAGTGTAGGCACAAACATATTTATCATAGGTATTGCTCAATGATTTCCATTTATACTTGTTAGCAAAGGTTTCTGCCATCTTCTCACATTCATACACTCCCTTTCCAAAGCCCTGAAATTCAACATCCACTCTCAAAAACTCTCTTCTCCCATCCAAAAGTACCAAAACAAACCACACCAAAGCCATGATTATCTCAACTTTCAAGTCCAATTATTGGTGTTTTTCCAATGATCTTCCATCATGTTTCACCATTTTAAACATGTTAATCAGTTTCCATCATTTTCCATCACGTTCCCTTGACATTTTCCGGGTTTTCGCTGCATGGCTCATCAAAAAACCAAGCTTCGTCGGATCAGCTGCCGCATGTCCTCCGGCAGCGGGGCCCGAAAGGTGAGGCGCTCCGCAGTGCTGGGATGCTGAAGGGAGAGCTCGAAGGCGTGGAGCCTTGGCGACGATGGAAAGATGTAGGCTATGTATGTTTTTCCCATGGAAAGATTGCTATTTTTTCCATGGGAAGATGTTAAGATATGTTAAGATGCTGATTTTCCCATGGAAAAAATACGAACAAATCATGGGAATTTGATGAGAAATTAGCTCCAAATCATCCAAGGCATGGATGACCAAACTATAGTGTTAATTGAAACCTATGGTAACTTGAGGATCCTCCATTTCAAGAAACACCCATATGTCAAAATTGTGATTTTCCCCTGGAAAAATAATAATGGTTTGGGGTGGCAAATGATCCACTTAGTTCGATGATTTATCTATGAAAAAAATGTTTTCGATGGCGATGCTCGTTTACTGAGGGTAAAAAACCAGACATGTTATGACATATTTAGGTGCTTCAACATGGTTTAAGCCTTTAAGCAAAGAAAAATTAAAGGCTTTACCATCTGGATCCATCTGGCTATTTAACATAGCCATGGAAAATCACCATTTTTAATAGGTAAACCATCTATAAATGGGCCATCCATCTATACCATGGCTATGTTAAATAACCAGAGGGTAACATGATTTAACAAATGGACGATTTGACCAGCAAAATTGGTGGCTGAACTTCAACCCCTGAAACAAAAAAAACGATCTTTAGGGACTGTTGTTCAACCAGATAAACCAATCAAACAGTTGGGAATTAATAAAACAAATTTAAAAATATGGGATACAGCCTGATGATGTTGGTGGTGGATGGTGGCGATGATTATGATTCGATTATTATCATTATCATTCTACTTGCGCGGTGGGTGATTCTGATCGCCCAAAAATTGTTTTGTTGGCGGATACACATTGCTAAAATTGGCATGAAAAACTGGTTCTGTCAGACAATACCATTGGTGTGGTTGGATCGATTGCCGGTTCCATTCAGCCAGCTGTCTAGGATGGTTTGGGGTACTCAAAAACTATGCATGAAAAGTACAAACAATATTCAAAGCTACCGGCTGTGATACCTTGACTGTTGACCCATACCACATCCAATAAGTGTTGAGCTGATGGACTCCTCCCTGCGGATTCCAGCACCTACACAGTGGCAAATTTCAAGTCACATGGGTCGCTGTGCCAATTGAGCATAGCGCCGATTCATATGGTGCCAACCATATGCAGTATCTCCCAGGATTGGCGAATGCTCATCAGCCAGGTGAACCTTACAGTGCGCTGCGAAATTCGACAGAGGGGCTAGCTGTTGAATTCTACGTGCCTTCAGGTTGGTACAGTTACATGAGATCCTTTGCAGGTTGGCATTTGTGGGCACCTCGTGCAGGGTAGTGGTCGCTGTTTGCCCTTGAAACCTGCATAATTCGAAGGCAATCAACTGTCACACAAAGCACTCAGCTAAGCAGTTCCATATGGGCTCTGACTAGGTCAGATTTCCAAGCATCAAACATGTTCGCATATAACAAGCTGTTTTCAACGCTTTGGGGCGAATTCCGGCACCATTTTATCAAGTCATCCAGAACCATCACCTCAAACACTATCATCAGAGTCGAGCCTGCCGAAAAAAAAAATACACGGAAGTCGGAAGCACCCAGCAAAAATACCATGATTCTAATAATTAACAAGTATAACATGTTAAATAACCACAACTTAAGCATCGTCCCAGCCACGCGAATTTGATGTGTCCTGCCAGTTCGTGGCTTCACTTCCACCAGCAGCAGCTCCTTCTCCCGGGCGATGCCGCGGACGAAGCTCAGCGCAGGGCGCCCGCCCTCCAGCGTGGTCATCAAGCGGCGATCCGTGGTGGAACGGCCAATGGCCTTCTCCACCTGGATCCCATAGAAAATCACCAGGGTCGACGATGCGTTTGAGGGGAATTACTGAGAACAGGACAATACATAGAACTTGATGGAATTTTTTAAGAATAATTTATAAGGATTTTGAACCACTTTTCGGAAAAAGTATGTTGTGTAGAAAAGTATTCTACAATTTGGGTCACAATATTTTATGCAGTTTGATGCCATGGTACATTCCCATCAAATCTATGGATGGATGAATTATAAGTCGTAAGCCCAGGTATTAAATGTAGTAACCGATTGCTACGACTGGTTGCTGACTTTTCTCAGCTACGAGAGAGCAAACGTGACTGGTGGCTGCTGGTTTTTGAGCCCCTGCTAACCAATCTGAGTACGGGTTGGTGGTTTTAACCATCTTGAAAAATATTAGTCAATGGGAAGGATTATCCCATATATTATGGAAAATGCACATTTTTGAAACCACCAACCAGAGTATCACGTTTGGAATCGTTTGGAAACCATACCGGATCCAAGAGTCCCAACAAGTCTCAACAAGCTTTAACGAGTCTCCATAAGCTATGCATTCCATAGCATGTTGATTTAGAGTTACCCTATAAGACCGATGACTTTTGCGTGCCTTTGTTGTTATCATTCTCTAGTCGCAGTGCCGATACCTTTCCCCCACTCAGATCCGAGGCGCGCGATGTCCACTGCCTTTGGGATGTCCGAAAAAGGATTTGCGCCCTAGCTGGACAGGCCGCTGGACATGTTTCATGACGTGTCGCATGTTGTTTTCTCTGTGATGACCTACAGTTTTCCCCAAAAAGTATGACTCTGGTTTCAGAATATTCCAATAGGATTCCGATTCCCACCGATTCCGTTTTGCCATTGGACATCTTCAAAAAACATAATCCCATTACACATAATCCCATATATATATATGTAATATATATATATATCCCAATTAACTATCCCATTAACTATCCCATTAATTTTCCCATTATCCCATTCCAATCCCACGAGTTTTCCCATCAAGAAATCCCAATCTTCCATGGTCGACCTCCCAGCACCACCGCCAGGTAGGTCTTTTGCACTTCTCGTTGGGCAAATGCCTGGCTTAGGACCGAGTAGCTGGAAACCTCAGTGGTGACGGGTGGATGGGCTGCGAAATGGCTGATGATTTCGCCTGCCCATCTACAGTATCTCGAACCAGTCGATGTTAATGGGGTTTACATGTGTTTATAAACCAGCAAACACAACTGAGATGTTCATGGATTGAAATTTCTTTGACCAAGAAATGGACTGTGACAATAAACAATACACGTGTTTTTGTGCAACCAGCAACAAGTTGGATGGAACAGCCAAACATATTGGTTGGCTGAATGGCTGACGAGTTGTTAGATTGCTGCATAATCATATAATCCCAATTAGAAATCCCCTAACAACTCATCAACCGCCAGGACTACTGGGCTTTGCTCAGATGGTTTTGGTTTTATCTAAATGGGATACATCTTGGATCCACCAAATTGGGAATGTGTGCGATGGAAAACCAGAAACAAAAGACTCTCAGACGGCAAGAATTCTGCACGAAGTGTGAGAGTGTCCTGAGACATCCCAATGTCCATTCAGATATTAGTGGATGTCCCAACAAAAAGAAATACAACTCATCTGGCCAAACTATGAACATTATATGGGGGTTTCCATAAATGAGGACCCCCAATAGCTGGATGGTTTATAATGGAACATCCTACAAGAATGGATGATTTAGGGCTACCCCCATGACCTAGGAAACCTCCATATATAATCATCTTGTTCAGGATGAAGCGAAGGCAAAGCCCAGCTTGTTAGCTGCAGAACAACATGTATGGCAGGTATATACCATACCCCTCATCAACATGTGCTCTTCCACCAAATTGTGCTTCTGAAATTTGGCTACTTGTATACCAGTCATCGCAAATCATTGCTTGTTGAAACGTACCTTAAATTTCACGTACCCAAAACTTGTGCTACATTTATGAAGGTCCTAGTACAAATCCCCATCAATTCCCATTGTATCAATATTCCCATGATCTTCCCATTACCAGCTCCCAAGGTCTCGCCAAGACGCCGTTTTGGCCACCGCAATGACCCCGGTGGTGCCCACATCCAAGCGATGCACGATGCCCGGACGCAGCTCCGCCGCGTTGGGTAAGGTGCTGAGCTCGGAAGAGGCAAAACCCAGGTGATGCAGCACACCATTCACCTGAAACAAAAGGTGATACCCTTGGGTAAACGAAAATAAATAATCATAAAACTAGCTGGGTGATTTTCCATAGTTATATAATATATTTATATATATATATATATCAACATATAAATATGTATGGAAAAAATCAGATGGGATAATTCATTCAAGAACTGCCAATGCTATATATATTGTGTGTGTGTTTCTATATTTTTGAACAATAAATGGAGGTGTCTATGGGACAATCATCTATCTATATATATAATTATATGGGATTTTCGATATTCCATTGGCACGTTTGATTGCCAGAGGGTAAAGCTGACAATGAACAATCCCCAATATTCCTAGAAATAGGTGGTATATACATGTATATACCATGCCCAAATGGTAGGTTTACGGCATTGGGTCCCATGGGGTGAATACCACATTGCATCAATTTCATTTTGGGGGGCTATGAACTTCAAAATTTAGAAATAAAAAACATGTTTATCATGAGGCTTGTTAAAGTGGGGATGTACATCCCAGGACAACTTGATGGGCCAAGCCCACTATACGGATGCACTCAGCAAGGCAAGCAGGGAAATGGGGATAGAACCAGTAGAAAAGGACGTCATACTGGGTTTGTCTGAACATAGACTCAACAAATTGATAGTCAATCAGGCTTTTCCTTATTCATCTTGCCATTTTGTGGTACACCCCATTTTCAGACACGCCAACTTGTTTTATTAAAATGATGTTCAAAATGTATGAGAAATACGAAGTACAAGCAGGCCCCGATGGCGCCATCAATGGCCCACAAGCAGTGCGATTCTTGTTGAATCAAGGTCTGGCTCTGTCCAAGACACCAAGGTCCCGTTCCAATTGCCGGGCGCAGGGTGAACCACCAAACCTGCAGCTTTGTTGATCACTAGAAGTTCATCATCTTCATAAAGGATATCCTCAGTCACGAGTGAGAAGGCCATGCTTTTCAGGGCTGAACATTCTTTGTGTATCTGGTTGCTTTTCAAGGGGCTTCATGTGGAAATAGTGTCCTATACATCGAATGGGTTTACCACTTCTATCGTTTCCATTACGTCTATCTAACTGCTATGTACATCCGGCTTCCTCAATCATCACAAGCATTGAACCACTGCCATGGCTCCAAATCCATAGCTTCTGGCTCCAAAGGCAGCGTTCCAATATCCACCAGGAAGCGAACATCAATGACGTCCTAGGAGCTGTGAGAGGATCAGGCAGGCTCTAAGGTTTTTCTTGAGAGCTGTTGGCCAAGAACATGGCAGTTTACTTGTATTTGCTCTGAAGAATCCGCATCCAAACTCTGGCAAAATCAAACCATTTGCCCTCTGGTAAACTAGCGTAACTATGGAAAATCACAATTTTCAATAGGTAAATCAACTATAAACCGGCCATTTTCAATAGCTCAGCTATGTTAAATTACCAGAGGGTAAACACCACTGTTGCTTGATACATTTGGAAGAGCTTGGCAAGCTTGGCGATGTGCTGGCCATTGACAGCCAAGTTGCGCCACTGCGAAACTTCTTGAAGGACTTTTTCCGTTGCTGGCCATTCACCCGTACAGCTCCCTGCTGGATTAATGCTTCAAAATAGTTCCGCGACTGACCATAGTGCTCCTTGTCAGGGTCAAAGAGTGTTGAAATCATAAGAACTTTCAGAAGCGAGGCATCCTCAATCAATATCCAGCAAACTTGACTTTGAAAAATTGACGATCTGGTCAAAGAAATGTAAACAATTTGCCTGATCCTCTCTGCCTTTTTCTGAAAAAAAACATAGTTTTGTTGTGTTTCTTTGGGTTCCGCTTGATGAATCCACAAGGCTCTGCTGCTGCTGCTGCTGCAGCAAACACTCCTCAATCTAGCAACAAAACCCTCAGAAATCGTGCCTAAGTGTGTTTGATCTTCATGGATCTACTGTATATGATGGATCTATTCAACTATGTATATATATACATACATACATACATATCATATCATATCATACCATACCATACCATATCATATCATATCATATCATATCATATCATATCATATCATATATATATACATATCATATATATTATTAATATATATATAAAGACTATATTCTAAGTTGTTGAAGCCAAAGTGCTGAAAGTAGCACATCCAAGCGTTTTGTCTGGTCTTCCAGCAGTTGAAAAGAACCCTCCTGCGCTGGCAGAGAAACAGATATGTTGCACATGCACGCTAATGGACTTGACAACCACAATATCTCTGACTTCCCCTCTGGTTTAATTTTTAGCATGAGTATGGAAAATATTGGGAAATCGCGATGTTTGAATAGGTAAACCATCGAACTAGATGGGCCATGGCTTCGCTATGTTAGTTCTGTAGAGTCGCCAACACCACCGAAAAACATGTGCCCTGACACCATCCCTTTCGCAGGGATTCCCACATTGATTGGGATGATAGTATGTGATTCAAGCGATTGATCTAACCCCTGCTACCATCAAAGGTTTTGACCAGTCGTCATCATCCCCGTATATTCAATATATACTGACAGTTGTTGATTAATATCCAACTTGGCTGGTGCTTAAATACCCATCCTTTGTTTGGATGATGGTCAACGTGCCCATTTGTTGAGCATCAGCCATATTGTTGCTGATTGAATGCCAATTTGTTGGCCATCATCCTCCAAATTGTTGATTGAGGACCCAAATAAAAGTCATCACATTGGGCGTTCATAGGCATTCCTATCATCATGTTGGATAATCCCAATCAGGTTCATCATGTATATACCAGCCAACAATATATACACGGAAAAATCCCGTCCTCTGTCAAATGATTCTCCACAACAAAACTTCTGGTTTTTCCGTCTCAGGCCTTTGCATGCTACACATATCGTGTCCGATATGGCACATCTTTATCATTGGGGAAGGGAATATGTATGTAGCATAGAATCTGAACTTTTATGTACTTTTATACATCTCTATCATCTTCATCATTATATGCTCATTAGCTCTCTTGCTAGTGATCACCAGTGTTGCTAATGTAAGCAGCGTGAAAAAAACGCGTCGTCTAGTGCAAATTGTAGTTGTTGGATGTTGCTGGTTAATAGGGATTCCCAGCTAATTAATTGATGATGGCGACGATGACGACGACGATGATGATGATGGTGATGATGATGCAATCCGCAATATATTGGGTAGTAGTGGACAGCTCAACCCCAGGAAAAAAGCAAAGAAAAAAACGGCCAACAAAAACAAACATAATGTCAAGGTTTACTCAAACTATGACCCAGAAAAAAAAAAAAAAAACATAATGGTGTGATGTGGTAAAGCCAATAATAATTGATCCCCAACATTACCATAAATGGCTTGTAAAATCATCCCCAAAAGGAAGGTTTGTGGCACAGGGTTTACCACTTAACAATAATCATCAACCAACACGTTACACGACATAACAAGACATATCATCATGTTGATATTGTATATCCGCACTATATCCCATAAAAATAATTAAAAATCCATACAATATCCCCATAAAATGATGTATACCCTCTGATAAACTAACATGTAGCTATTGAAAATGACCATTTATAGTTGATTTACCTATTAAAAACATATTAAAAACATGTGATTTTCCATAGTTATGCTAGTTTACCAGAGGGTAAGCATCAACCAATAGGCTCTGATCTCCTCCACAGGGCTGTCCCCATCATCCGCGCTCGCTGCCACAGGACGCAAAGGCCGACCAGCCGCGATCAAGGTTGAAAGGCCCAGAATCCAAGGGGTGCCTGGGTCAATGACAGGAGTAGTCCTCATTCATTATCATATATATATATATATACATAATAATATATATATATATTATAATATATATATAATATAATATAATGTATATATATATATACATACTATAATATATATATATATACACAGTATATATTCAGAAATAGATCATGCGCTTTCTGGAAATGGGCTTTTCTGGAATCATATCTGGATTTGAAAAATAATATGAAATTTCACAACCTGGAAATTGAAGTTCTTCAACTCAAACTGTCCTACCGGATTCCCCCAGAATGGTTTGTCAAAATCTACAGTATGGCTACAGAATATTACAGAATGCTATAGAAATTGGATGAAATGGGTCCCATCAACAGTTGTAAGTATTGAGACGCCTGATTGTTTATCCAGGGAGTACGGCCAGGTTCAGAAACATCCAGCTCAATTGCAGATGACTTTGCGCCGTGATGCGCCGTGATGCGCCGTGATGCGCCAGCCAAATCTTTCTGCAGCTCAGACACCTTGCTGTCTTCTCTTTGCAAAGTGCTGTGCAGCAGGCTTTGATGAGTGCTGCAGCACAAGTGTATTCCAGCTTTGACGCGTGCCTGGCCCTCCTGCGAATCCTATCCATGTCGATATCGAAGATATCGAATGCATGGGATTGCACAAGGAAATCCTACATTGCAGCAAATCTCAAGCTCTCATGCATGCGAAAGAGCTGGAAGAAAATCCGCCATGTACATTATAAATACAGTAATCAACATGTTTACATAAAGATTTGAGTTCGTGCACCACAAATGACAGCATGAACCAACCAAAGACTTTTGCATGATGTTCTCGTGTATATACACAAAAGGAATTATAAAGGTGCATATCTTGCGAATGAAGTGACCAAAACAATTGCCATACCTCAGGGATCAGCGTAAAAATGTTAAGAGATGTTAAGAGATGTTAACAGTCTTGTGGAACAAACGTGAACCAATAATATACTGAACTTCTGAGCCAAAATCCGCTGGGGTTTGGCACAAGTGGGCAATGGGTCATTGGTCCATGAAAGCAGCTCCCAGCAGCTCTTCCCTTTCTGAATTCGACAATTGAAAAAAGCTCAACTGACATGGTCCCATACACCCAGTCGGGAAAGTCAGTGCAACGTCTGTTTGAAAACAAATCACAATGGGACGCTGCGCATTCAGGAAGTCACAGAAGTCAGTGCAAAATTATGCAAATCAGCATGGGACGCTGTGCGCCAGCAATCATCTATTTCGTTTAATGTTCGGTGTTTTTTGTGGCTCTAAAATTAGGAATCATATTGTGGACGCTGCATCTATGCAGTCAATGTTTTAGGTTGTCTATACTCTGGCGGTACATGGCGGTACCCCGGCGATACCCTAAAATGGAAAAAAGGAACCTCTCGCCAACAATCCCCCTCATCATTTCAACACAACCACATCTCCAAATTTCAAAAGGGGAAAACCCAACACAATCTAATTCCCAATGGAACTGACACATTAGGGAAATTCCGAACCTACAAGAACGCAGGTAAAAATATCAATGTTCCAAACCATGTCTTCCAAAACACCAGCTGGACGCAGCACGCACCGACTTCCAGAAATCTTTCCCCCCAACTAAACGCAACAAAGCAAGTGAACGCATTGAGTTTCCAAATGGGGTGTAGAGGATGCTGAAAAAATGTACAAGATTGCACTATCGCATAAAGTTATACAATGTTATAAAGCCTTCCAAATGTATCTCCGAACTCGAAAGAGAACAGTTGAGGGTTCAAATGGGTTTGAATTGATGTTACTCCACGGTTCAAGTCGCTGCTGTTTGGCGCATTCTGAGTCCTGCAGACACCGAGATCCACACGTGACAAAGGTTGAAAGGAAATGCGCAGCATGGCCAGCCATCATTAATCTGTTGACCTTTTGCTGCGTTCTGAAGTCAAAAATATCGCCAGAATTTGTCGTTCTCCAGTCGTTCTGCCAGAAAGTGTCAGCATCAGAAAATAGCTTGTTCCAGGAAACAATCATGAATCGGAGCGGATTCACCATGATTCACCTGCCTACTAAAGAACCCAAAAATTGTAGCACCAAATATGGCCAAATTTCGACCTGGTCGTGGCTATCTCTACTCTAATTACAACTAGTCCAGGATGCTGGCAAGTATATGGAAGTATGAGGAAGTGAAGCTCTTTCGGCCTTGAGCAAAAAGGAACACATGAGCTCTCTGTCGGCTCTATCTCAAGATGCCCAAACCACACCTTTTGGTCAGGGCATTCTGTTCCATCAGTGCATGAAGCCGTTGAAACAACCAACGCTAGGCTCACCTCCAACATGGTTAGGCCGCGGCCTGTTTTGGCTCTGCATCATGCTCAGCAGTGAAACATGTCCAGCACAGTTTTTGCTGGACAGCGGACCAGTCCAATTTCAGGACGGCTGGGTTAAGTCCTGCATTGCGCGGCAGGCTGGACAGGCTGCTGTGGCAGGTGCGTTCAATGCTGAGAATTGACCACTGAAATTGAATCTTAACCTCACAGTTGACAGTTGACTTCATTTCAAATACAAGGTCTATCAGGATTTGAATGCAACAAAAATAGGACAATCAAGTCATGTATCAAGCACTGATGGTTTGATCATCAGTACTCCTTCACCAGGCTATAATGTGGCAAAGCAAAGTATACACCAGCTGCCAATACAACCATATGAAGATTCTTGGGTTTACCACATTCAAAGTCCGGAACTTTCTGAAGCCAATTGATTGGATCATGATCATCCCCAATTTATTGGGTAGCGTAATCTCAACTAAAACATCCACCGCTCCCACCCACGGGAAATTCCTTGTCATGACGTCGGATGCTGGTCTTGGCAGTGGCCTGATTCTTGTGATCTACCCTCCATTTATAGGGGATTTTCAATTGCTAATTTTGACTGCCGGAGGGTATACAATATGTGTATATTATCTATATCATGATAATATGTGTACTTAAATATACAGTTGTATTAAAAAAACACATTCGCAAAGGCAACACAGGCCACTCAGCTGAAAAAACGGGGCGCGTACATGCCTAGTATCCTCATAATATTGTCATCCTAAATCCAGGGAACATCTCTCAGTTCCTCCATGATTTCTACCGGATGGTCCATAGCAATTGGATGCGAGTCCATCGGACTCGCAACCAGGCTATGGGTCAACACCCTGTACCTGTTGGTGAACATCAAAATATCATGCCAAACCACTGTGATATACTGTGATTAATGAATGTTCATCGCCCTAGATAGCTGCTGTTGATTGTAAGTTGATGCTTCTACCATTTTTTTTAAATTCAACCCATCCCAAGAAGCCCAAGCCTCAGCCGCTTTGGTACTCTCTTCATGATGTTCATCGATGGTCAAGTCCTGATGTTCCGAAAAAAAAAAGACGTGGTTAGCATGGGAAAATCACCACCATGAGTTTGGATACAAAATCTATGACCATGGTTAGTATGAGTATGGTTGTGTATATATATATATATACAATTATTATATATATATATATATATGTATATACAATTATTATATATATATGTATATATATAACATATATATATATATACAATAATATATATATATACAATAATATATATATATACAATAATATATATATATATACAATAATATATATAATTATATATACAATAATATATATATATACAATAATATATATATATAACATATATATATATACACACCTATAAATTAAAGACAGTTAAAGTGGGTTTTGAATAAGGTTGTGAACTGTTCTGATTGGGGCAACAACCATGGACAATTGGTTGGCAAAAGTGGAATTGTAGTAGTAGGATAGTGACTTTTCTTATGGCTTAGTACTGGACCAATGATGATTTCAAATGGTATAACCATGGGATGAATTAATAATTATTAGGTGGGATATGGGGCCCTATGGTAATGTGTTTAGGTTGTGAACCATTTGACGAAATGGGCATGCGTCAGGTCACCCTGATACAGTACCAGTGAACAGCTATTCATAGCTGGGATGGTATCATAGCTTTTGAATGGTTTCGATCCATCCCCCAATGGGGACATGATCAATTAAATTTGGGGGTACCAAAAAGAAATCACATCACATGTTGTTTAGATCAACATAATTGGTGTTGTTTTTCTAAAGATAAACACATAAACGAACAGCTGTCATTGGGATGTCCGCCATCTTGGGGGAGTATGACACACATCCGCTTTTTTGGCTTCCAGCCTTAGGGAACTGCGAGAAGGTTTGATCCAAGGAAACACCTGGCATCGCGCCGTTTGTTGTGCCGAAACTTGAACGGTGGATCCCCAATTCATGTGGAAAGTGAGTCTGTAGTTTGGAGATCATCGAAGGTACATGTTTATTGATGATTAGTTGATACTGATTGGTAGTCCTAGTCACCAATAAGTAATATCAAACATTTAAGAATCCCCATTAGATCAAACAAAAATGACAAAATGCAACAAATAGATGCCCCAAATAGATGGAAGAGCAGTCTATCACTATTTTAGTGGGATTTTACTATGTTCTATCGTTTTGGGGGGTTGCTATACATATATATATATATATACTGTATATATATATATATATTTAGAGCGATCTGTGTTTGTCCGTGCGAGGTTTGAACCTCCAAGATTTGCGGCGACCAGTCCCTGCCTTCGGTTTCCGCCTCTGCGTCCTGTCCGGGACAGTGTCATGAATGGTCATGAATTCTATGAATCCTCCCCGGGAATAGTATCTTAGAGTGAATCTTGAATCAATGGAAATTCCAGGATCCTAAAATGGAGGTACTGTACCATATAAGGCCATATTTTGGGGGGATATCCCCTTACATAGCCCTTACATAGGCCTTATATATGGTAGGTACCTCCATTTTAGGATCCTGAAATTCCCATTGATTGAACATGGAACAGACATGTGTACATCCATCAGGTGGTTACCCTGGCTGGGAAACTGAATTCGTGGCTCATCAAATGGACATTGACCAAGCCTAGAGTGACATAGGGAGATGGAGCCCCATAGCTTTTCTCACACCAAACACGGTAACTGATCCTACCACTGGTTGATGCCCTAAGGATATCTGCAGATCAGCTGAAACTGGATGGAATAAGTCCAGAGATCATATCCATTCCATGGTTTACCATAGGTTTTCTTATCTTTTCTCATAGGAATTTGATGGTTTACCATTCATGTCCTAATCTTTCCATAGGAACCTGATGGTTTATCATTGGTTTTCCAATCTTTTCCCATAGGAATCTTATAATAATCGTTTATGGATGAATGAATGGTCACATTATTTGGGGGGGTCGGTTTTTGGACCCCCTCACTGGACCTTGTTGACCTAGTTGACCTATAGGGGGGAGGGGGGGGTTATTACTCCGGGGTAAACATTATATTATATATATAATATAATATATATATATATATATATTATATTATATTATATTATATTATATATATATTATATATTATATATTATACATATTATATATAATACAGTCTCACCTTTACATCCCCGGTGAGACCTCCGGTGAGACCTCCGTGTAGGTCGTCCCTTTGGACCTGACACACGAACCCCTGCTGTTGGATCTGTTGGATCTCTGAAAAAAAAAAACGGCAGATCCAAGGATCTTGCAGCTCCAAAATTCATCAAAATTCATCAAACGCCATTTCTAGTTGCCAAAGACCTCCCACCCTTGGTTTGGGGTGCCATTTCGGGGTCCATCGCCTTGCTGCATAGGCTTTTTTGGCATGCCCTGCTTTTGCCTCCGAGCTGGGTCGGGGGAAACGCTGCCAAGGAGGGGTCGAAACGTCTCCCCCCAAAACACCAACACAAGCAACATGGCAATGGAAAATGGACCATGTATGGATTGTTTAGCTATAAAATATGGTGATTTTCCATTGGCATTGACTATATTAAATTACCAGATAGTACCTCCAAAAATAAAAAATACAAATAAAGAAACCAAATTGAAGGCTTTAAAGCACCCCGGGGTGCCCTAATATCCTCCCTACTTGCGAGGTGATGCCCTATTTGGCTGTCCACTCTCCATATCTCAATCATGGGATGTCTGGCAATGTCTGGCAACTGGAGAATGAATCCCCAATAATCTCCCATGTTGTGAGAGATTTGACAAAATGAAGAGCTTCACTTCACAGCAGATTTTTTCTCTGATGCTGGAGGCGGAAAAAACCTGGCACAATGGCTCCAGGCCTGGGCTGCCTTCTTTTTAGACCTCACGACATACTGAGGACAAGCTGCTGAATTCATGGATGGTGTCCAGGTTTCCATAAATGATGGTACCCCAATAGCTGGATGGTTTACGATCAAAAAAACATTTAAAAAACATTGATGTGGTAGGGGGTCCCCCCATTTATGGACCCCCTCATTTGTTTTCTGCTACCAGGATCCAACTAGACCGTCCACAGACCCGACAAAGTGGCCCGAAACCACATGGGTCACCCGGACACAGCTTTCTTGAGGTCTGGTGGGGGTAATGGCCTCGAAGGGCGCAATGGAAATCAATGGAATGGGTATGGTCTGTCACCATCACCTGGGTCATCCAACGTTGTGGATCTGTTAAAAGACGACTTATCATTGAAGCAAAATTTGGTATTCCAAAATGTTGTACTCAAAAAACGACCGACAAGCCAGCCCATCTCATCTTAACATATTTTGGCCAGTAGACATACCATGACATACCATGGACATACCACGACATACAATGACATACCATGACATGCCAGAAAACACATCATGGAATCGCTGGGTCAGAAGAAACTCAATCAAATCCAGTGTCTGAAACTCTGAACATATACACACAGAATCCATGCTGGATCACATTTCGCTTGGATGTTCCATTTACCAAATTTACATACAAGTCACCTCTTGTAATCCTTGTGGCGCAACCCCTAAATGGGACCATTTTTACCACCCGTTGAGTTTCGGACTGAAGAAGCTCCACCTCTGTGTAAGATGTTACCGAGTCCTAGAGCATTGCATCAGGTGACATTTTTTTGTGCATTGGGGACACAGAACATGTAACACCTGCTGTACCCATGTGTTTCTGATGTCGGATTGGTGTCATGTATATATATATATACTGTACATGTTGTATGTATATATATATATATACTGTAGACAGATATGTATTATATTCACTTTGGTATGATAGCGTATTTTGGGAATAGTATGCAACGGGTAAACCAACAAAGCGGCGGCGTGATTGCTGCAAGACATGATGTAACAACACCCAGTGCAAGTACTTATGCTCGACAAGAACAGTACAACTGGTATCCCAAATAGTGATCCAAATTGACGACCCATCAAAGTGGATACTGCAATTTGCATTGCTTCAAATGGCAGTAGTGCCGCAATTCTCCCACAGAAAAACCAGGTCAAATCCAAACTGTCCCTGTCCTGTGGACAAATCAGGACACATTGGTACAGGAGGAATTGCTGGAACAAAGCTCCTCGAGGAACCACTGCAGACTCTCGGCGGAACCACTGGTCTTTTCAGTGGCTTTTCAGCAATCACATCATCTATTGGAGGGTGATTAAGTGATTGCTTTTTGGAAGTGCAGCATGCTCAAGAATACCTGATGTTCGCACTGCATTCCAAACCTGTTGAAACCAACTCCTTTCAAACGATTTGGGTCATGTGGTGTCTGTGTAAATACTCAATTGTTTCGCACCACTGATGCTATTGTATCACAAGGCATCACCACATCATTCAACACGCACCGGGTATCACTAGACCCAAACCCTTTGTCTATTAGGTATCATCATGTTCCCCATGTTTCAATGTACATCACCTGCAAATCATCTATGTTGAGACAAATTCATGTGATAATCTTGTGAATGTCCCATCATATACGCATAATATCCTCATATTCCCATTGCATATAATTAGTTTTATTTCCCCATATACGCATACATGTATGTACATATACACACATAATCATACCATATTATACCAATTCATCATATAAGCCATATTAAACCATATTAACAGGTGCCATATTATAGTTTTACAATGTTTTACATATATATATACACATAATAATCGTACCATAAAATTAAAACTGGACCAATTCATCTCCAAAGCCGATCTCCTGTGACAAAGTCGGTGAGCAATCGCACATCCGCCGAGCGGAAGACCTCAGGTAATTGAAGCCATCTGGGGATCCGTAGCAGGGAGGTCATTGGAAGCCATCATGGAATGAAAGGGGATTTAATTTAATGGGATTTGTAGTGGGATTTAGTTAGGCAAGTTGATTTACCACGAGGCTAGGGTTTAGAGATGTTTAGATAGATCTAGAGTTCATTGGGTTTAACAACTGACAACTGGGGGGCACCGCCTTGCATGTATAGGGAGGTAAATCCTCACCTTCCAAATCCCTCCATTCTCAGGATCTTTGCTAGTTGGGAGGCTGCTGTACATATATATATATGTTATAATTACACGTTCATGAGACAGTATTCATTTACATAGGTTTGGTTAAAGGTATTACAGTATATGCACATGAGGCATATATCATGTTAAGAGATATATAGAACGAAACACTTGCCAGGATAATCACGAGCACCATTCAAAAATGGGGCGTCAATGAGTTGTGCTGGTCTTTATCTTTATTGAACGTTTCCATCAGATAAGATTTGGAGATCCCTGAACAAAGCCATAAACTCCAGAAGAAATCCTGGATTTTCTCTACATCCAAGATTAAAAGCCTTGCGATGAAAAGGAACCCTTCTCAAGATCTTGGTTGCCATGGCCGTTCTTGTTGCAGTCATATGGATTTATATGGTAGATAATTCTACAGAGTTGTTTTATGACTGGTAGATGAATTCACACCATCCGAATCATGACAGTCAACTGGAATTATCATCATCTTTTGTGGGTGGAAAATAATTCTGTAGGCAACCAGTCAAAATCATGTTGGTTATAGCATGTTATGTCCTGATTAATTGGGTGGTCAGATTATGATAGCTATTGAAGATTGCCATTCATAGTGGATTTTCCCATTAAAAATGGTGATTTTCCATAGTTACGTTAGTTTACCAGAGGGTAAAGGGAAAATCCACAGGCTTTGGTGTAGATGTTCTCTTAAAGCCATCCAATTTTCACGAGGAAGTCACCAGTGTGTGGACCATAAACGGCCTGGAATTATCCATATTTAAACCCCAGGTAACCCACTACTTGAGGGAGCAGTTCCAGTTTTAAGTGGATAAGTGGATATACAATCATAGCGATATTCCTTATAGCATCTTATATCACTTATATTCATATTCCTTATAGCGCATTATATCACGTATATCCAAATTTATGGATATTTGACGGTGAAATCAGATAAGTGATAAAATAGGATATATATATCACTTAATCATAGTAATGGTTATATTTATGGTGAAATCACCATAGCCATACCTAGCTATACCCATGACCCCAACGAAACTCCCGCGACCGAATCTGGGCACACCAACCCCCAGCGTCGCCATGGAGGGATCTCCATCCTGCACGTAAAACATCGGGGGAAGAAGCACCAAAAATAAGGGGTCTTAAAATGTTAAACAATATATATATACATACGTATATATATATAATGTATATTCTACTATCTATGGGGGTAAAGAATAAAGGGCATAACGGCATAACACATGTGCTTTCATATGTCATCTATTCTTTTGACATAGTCGATCGTAAAGTCTTGTGAAATCAATATGCCATCCATATTCAACTCAGTGCAGAAATATCATCTGGCCGATGTTGAAGGTTTATCTGACTTGCCGGCTTCGCCGGCCGGTGGCTGATGTCTTTTTGAAACTGTCAGATCTGAATTCTGATAGTCTGCAGAGGATCGAGATGATCATCTTAAAGATTCCCAGAGCACAGTACTCAGCTGCACCATGACTTTTTTTTCTATTCTCGTCTTCTAAGAAAAACACAAAAATGGCCAGGATTCCACTAAAATTGCCCATGTGCATCTAGCCGCTGGAAATCATGCATGGCTTACTGGAAAATCCATGAAAATCCCGATTTACCAACGATTCCTCTGATTTGAATGGCTATTTGGGGATTTCCCAGCGGCCCGCCATGTTTTTCATGAAACCGGGAGAATTCCACGAAGATGCACCGGGCACCACGTTGCCTCTCTTTGGAACCAGAGAAAATGATAAGATTTACCATTGTTGTTGTCATGATTTTATTTATTGAAGAGTTACATACCACAAGGAAATCCTATCATTGGGGTTGTATGAACACATCTGTTGTTGCATGTATGTACGTAATTTGGTCTTATTCTCCAACATTTTAACAGTTGCATACACCTGGATTTGCTTGAGGCACCCCCTAATAAAATCAAATACAGTACCCTGTGGTAAACTAACATAACTACGGAAAATCACCATTTTGGGTAAATCCACTATTTCTATGGCCATGCTCAATAGCTTTGTTAGTCATTACCAGAGGGTAAATAAATCCATTATCCATTGATACGATTGATCGATTCCCCAGTAAAAACATAGTAACATAGCTATTGATACAAATGGCCATATATTTATATATATTTCGTGGATTTACCCATAGCCATTTATGTTAGGTAAATCAAATATTTTCAATAGGTACCCTCTGGTAAATTAACATAGACCCTGGCAGATAGGAATTGGAAGATTAGCTTCCTCTAACAATTGGTGATTTTCAGGGTCTATGTTTATTTACCAGAGGGTAAATAAAACATATTCCCTCAATCGATTCCGTCGAAATAATCCATCGACTCAGTGAATCCGATTCCGCCTGCGAGGACGAGGACGCCGTTGCGAAGGCTGCATGGCTGTGTGCCACAAGCATCCTGCGCGGTTTTATCGATGGATTTCATGATGATTTCGCCAAGCATTTTATGGGATTTATATGGGATTTAATGGGACTTATATGGATTTATGTGGTATTTATATGGGATGTGTATCGGATTTATATATATATATGGATTTATAGTACTGTTAGGCAATGCCATATAGTCCATTCATAGTGTGTGATAGTTTATACCACCCATAAGAATGGTAAAATTGGGGATGGTTTATTATTGCTTTACCAGCATTGATCATGCTTTAGTATGGAAAATGGCCCATTGATTCGATGATTGATGATGATTCAGCTGTTAAAAATTGTCATTTTTCCTACGTTCAACAGCCAGAGGGTTCAAACATGGAGAGTATCCCAACTATCCAGAATGCCAAAACATATCAATGAATGCCATTTAAACTTCAATATCAACAAAGCTAACAACTCTATGAGCAGGTGTTCTATATTGTATTAAATCGCTAGTTTGTTTACCACTTACAAGTGACTATTGCGGCAACAGGCGGAAGCCACCCTTCTACAAATCGTGCATACAACAAAATAATCAAAGGAAAGGGACATCCACAGGCGATAGGCTATGCCTTTCATACACACAAGTACCAGGTAGGATATCTCACTTCTTATGGGGATCCATGAATAGTGAGTTCTAGCAGCTAGCAATTGTGAACATAGACAAGATAATCTAGAAACTGCCCCTCGAAGTGAATCATCTACCTGGTTCTTGGCTGTGGGTTGAGCCCTTAAAACATTGAAAAACATGCAGCAACATTATATGTGGAAATCAGGTGACATCCGAAGCTACCCCAGTCTGTTCCCTTCTGACATCTTCAAACGATTACTGCCGTTTTGTGACCCACATTGTTGACATTCACAGCAACGTTCCACCTCTTGTACGCTTGGAAACACTCGTAGATGGAGGTAGTTTCACCTGAGCTAAAGGCGCTGAGTTCTGGGATTGAGATGCTGAATGCAAAATTTCCCTGGTTGACTGGCAAAAAACACAATGCTGCGCAGCCAGATTTGCATAGATTTGCCGGAGATGTTCAGAAACTAGGAGAGCACACATATATCCAGAAATCATCAGAAATCAATATATCAAATCACATCAAATCCATCCAAATCTCATCAGGTGCGGACACTATGCAGATGCAATGTTTGGATCTTTGTTGACAGTGTTTCCCATCAGCAGATGTTGTAATGAAGGAATCCAGTTGCGCCAAGACGCCAAAGCGTCGCGAGGTTTCAGACTTGCGATGCCTTGATGGGGATGAGAACTTCTGCGAGGAGGGGAAACCGTAAGAGGAAATTACTTGGGTAGAGTGTACGGTCTTCTACGGACACAATTGAGAATATATGTATATATACGTGTATATATATATAATAAACATATGATAGATTTTTGTATATATTATGTACAGTATGTGTATATATATATAATATTATAATATTATATTATAATAGTATATCAATATGGAGTAAGATCCACAATATGAATCATCCCAGGTAGCTGGGATGGGACACCGAGAATGTGGACATTCCCAAATTTACCATTAAATAAGTTATTAACTAGTAATCAACTATATTAATATCTATATGATTACCATATTCATAAGTGATTCCTAGTTAAGTAAGTTATTAACTAGTAGTAATAACTATGAATCAATATATTATATAATATATTATGTAATTATATATGGTATAGTAATGTTAATGAAGCAATAGTGTTCACCATCACCCCAATTTCACGATTTTTATGGGTCACAAACTATCAACATATGGGTGGATTATGGCATTGCGTTACTAACATTATATGACACCTCCAACCAAATCAACTGCCAATAAATCTCGTTGGCTTTTTAAAATCAATGGTGTGGCCTGAAAGGGTGTCTTGTAGGCAGGAAACACATGCCAAAGCCCAGCCCTTTCCTCACCAATCTAGACGTGAACGAAAGAAACAACACCAGTAAAACCAATTGTTGTGGGGACATTTATATTGAAACATATTGAAACTAGGATTGTTCTAGGATTCTTTCCTCACAATCTTGAAACAGTGGGTCCTAAGTAGATCCCAACTATGGATTCCTCCAAGATCTGCCAAGCTCGCGGCATCATGTCCAAGAGCTGCTTTAGAATCTGGACCTAGGGTCGACACTCAGCTGGGTTGACAATCAACAGCCGTTGAACAGCCGTTTGTTGATTTAAAACCTGTTCAACCTGTTAAAACCACCAACCAGTAGTCATCAGTAGTCGCTTCCCCCTACAGTATCAATAAACACAGCACAGAGCCCCATAGTGGATCTAGATGGATCTAGTCTTTTTGGGCTTCGCCTGCATGGGGCGTTGATCATTGAAGAAGGGGATTACCACAACAATTCCAAAACAGTGAGCGGCCGATCAAAAAGGCAGAAGTTGGCCGTGGATCTAGAAAATGCTTCGGCGCAAATCAACAAAATATGTGCAAGACTGTAGTAGAGAGACTTTCGTCCTGCAGTTTTTGTTGCAGCTTGATATGAATAATTTAACTTTGCCCAACGGATCTGTCATGAACTGAGCCACAAAAACCGAAGTCTTCCGAGATGTCAAGCAGATGGTCTGCACAAGCAGCATGCCGTAAGTGACCAGAAGTGACCGTTTCAGAGTGACCAACGGTTCGCACAAAAGCGATTTAAAGTTAGGGGCTAATAGTAGGCTAATAGTGGCTAATATATATATATATATATATATAGTTATATATATAATGAATCAGATTGAGGGGCTTTTCAAACAGCATCTTCTACAGTATGGTTTGATCATGTTTGATCTACAGTATCTTTCAATAGCCTGACCACGAGCCTCTGCTCGCAGAGGTTTGGGCTATGGGTCAAAACTCTGATAAGTAAACTCCCAAAGAAATGGTAAATGGATGTGCATCCCACCAAATACAGTATGATATAATAGGTTTTGGATGGTTTTGGTAGATCCTGAAAAATGCCACTCCAAACGCACAGCTGTTCTCATAGCAGGGTAGTCACAGGTGCTTTGTGATTTCCCACCTTGGCATAGGTCATCAAATCTTCAAAAAGGTCCACTAGCACCTGCGGTGAGTCTTGTTCAGCCACGTCAGGAAGCTCTCAGATGATTGATATGATGACGTCAAGTGGTAGAGCAGCTGAAAAAGAATGCCCAATTTTTAATGTCTGTTTCCAACCAAAAAAGATGGTCATTGCGGATCATCATCAGTTGTTGACCACGGAACCAGGAGACGATCCAGGTTGGACGAGAACCCGTCTGAGCGCGATGACTGCATTTCTTAAAGCTGAAGTCTCTTCTTGTTGTTATTCAAGTTCAACCACTTAGAAAACCAATGATTAGGCAAGCCATCATCTGAAAGGATGGCCGACAGAGTCGAAATGGGTAGCAGTCAAAAGTGGGGTAAGAGTACCAACTGGCCTCACCAACTTTGGTCATGTTTAAGATCAGAAACCATCCCATTTCACCCATACCCACATCCTGAAGATGTCAACAGCAGTCACCCAATGCATCAATCTTTCGGGGATTGCCAGCCCGCTAAGACCGAACTGACCGTGTGCTAAAGTCAGTCACCGCCCTTGGAATCAGCCCTAGAGGCGTACCCCGGAAATCCGCAGAAACAAAGCATCAAAAAGAGAAAACATAGCACAATTGGGGGTGGTTCTCACAATGACAGGACCAGGCCTCCTGTTGAAACTCCCTTTGCAACGGATCAGCTGCCACCGTTTGCTGAAGAAGCGCACGGGCACCTAGCAGCGGACGTGTAGAACACTTGAAAACCAAATGCGCCAGGTGCACTTGATGGTTCCAAATGTTACCAAGATATCCAGAATATTCCAGGATCATATTGTCTTCTCCATTGACGAGAAGGCTGGGTTTACTCTATCAAACTTTCTAAATTTGGTTCTTTAGATTGTTCAGTATGTTTAATGTGTATATATATATATAATTATATATATATGTACTATGCACCGCACAGCACTTAGCTGTTTGGTAGAGGCTTATGGTTAGGAAAAACGCACTCGAAAGTCTGAGAACTCAGAAAACCGAACAACAGTGGAAGGATGGGAATCTTCAACCGAAAATCATCAGTGCCGTGATCCAGCCCTGGATCAGGCCTTCTGCGTCCTCTGCCTGTGCGGGGGTGCGGTTGATTTCGAATTGGATAGAGTATGATAGAGTACAGTAGTGCATCTCATCTCGAAACTGTTCAACTGGTTATCCGCTTAGAATGGATCATTCTACAATCCGCTTAGCACTGACAAGCATGGTAGGTCTGCGGATCACTGATCGGGCGGATCATATGGAACATTATCCATTTTTCCTGGGAGGAATCTCTGGGTGTTTTGTGGCAAGGGATCGAACAAATCCCACCATGTCACCATGAATCCTCAAACAAACGTTGAAACAAACGTTGAAACATTTGAACGTAGACTGAGATAATTAACATTATACCATATACAATGGAAACTCGAGATTTCGCACAATTTTCCAGGAGAGGTTCCAAAGTGGGCTTCCCATTCAAACTAAGCCAACCTCACGAAGAGTCCTTCACACTGCTCACACGACAGCTGTAGCAGGTGCTCACTTGTGACGGCTCTCCATGGCTCTCCATTGACGGATCGAATCTTGGATCCCTTCACCTCTGCACACGCTGGGCAGTCTGTTCCCTGCCTTGCCATGTGGCAAAAATGTTGACATCGAGATTTTTCCTCGAAAGGACTCAGGGACGAATCTATCCATCCTGATCATGCCTAAGGGTCTTCCAGCACAGGAGAAATCCACACATTCTTCGGGTGGTCTACCCGTTGTGTCAAGTTGAAAATCTAGACTTCACCCTGCAGTAACTGCCACCAAAATCATTGTCATCATAACTTGGCAAACTAATGAACCCTGGTTCCAGCCGCGAAGTTGCCACCATACATTTTCTGGTTGATAATTTCAACCTCTTCCAAATCTATGAAAATCAATGATATAGGATCCTTCCAGGTAGGATCACGTGAACATTAAAAAATATGGCACCGACATGCACCCTCATGCACGACCAGCTGCTTGATGCCCCCAGGGTGCTTTTGGCGTTTTGAAGCCGCGTTTGGCACATCTTCTTGTCAAAAGAAATAAAGCCCATATGTGTTGGGTAAACCAAAAAAAGAACTGTTCCTACAACCAATAACAACGCCACCAACCAGTTTCTATTCGTCCCTGGATGTCCCTGTCTTGCCCAGCTTTTCGATGGCTACAGCTTCAGTGCAAGTCGGCTCCCGAGCTTTTGCCACCTCTCATGACGAGCTCGACCGGGGGTGGAAACACCCAGCCGGAGAGTTTGGTATCTTCTTTGTATATGTTTGTATAGGATGTATAATGATATATATAATTATATATATATAGAATCACAGAGGTATCCATGTTTGGGAGCTGGGAAGAGTCTGACCCACCGAAAAAGACAATCTTAAGATATGTTCCACTTGATTAGTGATGGGATCAGAAGGAAACACCGCGATGAGACAGCAACTACCCCTTAGGGGTGCTTGGTGCTTTCAACCACAGCCTATATATAATTCAACTGGTACCCTTCAGGAAACCATGTGGAACCACCAACTGGTATCTCTTGCAGTGGCAGATTGATGAGGGCTTAACATGTGATTCCATCTCTTCACAAACGTTCTTTAGCATCTTTCAGCAAGTGCCTTTCAAACGTCGACCCTTTTCGGAGCCTGCGCTGTTTTTAAAAGATCGGCACCAAGGTTAGAAGATTTGCCACTGGTGTTCGCACATCCAATCAACAACGCTTGATGTATAGACTGTTAAGTAGTCGAAAGTCGAAAGCAACATATTTTTTCTCTAGAAAAGCAGGTAGAAAAAATATGAAGGTTTTTTGAATATGCCCACAAAGCTGTGCCACACATCCACTGACCATTCCATTTCCCGTGAAAGCAAATTGACCAGCATGATCCAGCATGATCCAGCATGAACATTAACATCATCATCATCATCATCATCATCATCATGATCATGAATCTGGGTAAATTATAATAATTAACTAATCTGAAATAAGGTTATTTTGGGATGATTTCCCTTACTAACCTTTAATCCAGTGAGGTCGCAGTGAGGTCGTTATAATTTACCCAGATGAATATAATGATAAATATATCAAATTATATCTGAGATCTGCATTGTGTACTATGGGTATCTGGGCCATCTGCCCTGCCTGAAACAGCTGAAGTGCACAGATGCCAAGAACCACTGAACTGCTGGCGAAACATCCTGCCTGGCCAGCCGGGCGGAAGATCCATGGATCTTTTTTGGGTGCAGTAGAGGTGAAAAATAGTTACAACATGTTACAACCATGGCTATAAACCCCTAGAAGTTTGGATATGTATATATATATATATAATTACATACATATATAACCTTCTATAACTATGGCATACTATGGCTATATATCCTTGTAACTGAAACTGCACTTCCAAGTAGTGATTTCAGCAGCCATGGCCATCATTTTCCCAAAATTCTTCCGCTGGGATGTCGCACGGCCACAGCCAAGCGTCCACGTCGCCAACGTCTGAAACCCAGGTATGCCTCGCCACTTCCGAGAGGGGCGAAGTCCTGTTGGATCTGTAAAAAAAAACATATCAATGTACTCCCAACCCCTCAATCTATATACATATTATTTATATTATTATTATATATATACCTTGATCTCACATGTCCTACCGTTTTACATCCAGCCCGGTTTTTGGGGTAAAATACGGTCATTTTACCAAAGTACGCCCCTTTTACCAAAGCACGCCCCTTCTGGATTTTGGAAATTTGATGAATCTTGTTGATGTAGCATTTCACTCACAAAAAGGAAAGAATAACACATTTGAGGCAACAAAGTCAGTTATAAACAAAACATGTTTAACCTCTTGTGCCATGTGACACTCATTGATCCCTTGTCCTCTTCCCAAACACGTGTGCTGCCTGCTTCTTTCCTTTTCTCACTCTTTTCCCCGGCTGCTCCCAACATGTTTAATTGAGTGAAACGTGTTCTTGCTCCCTTCTCTTGTTTCCAAAAACTCAGTTTGGGAGGATCAACCCTCGTCGATCACCATCTGAGACTTCTAAAGCTTCTTGTGCACAAATCAAAGCTCGCTCCATGACCCTAGTGTGTATCAAACGAACATCAACACGCCTGCTCAAACGGCTCGGGCGGCCGATAAAATCTTCCTGGCACTGTACACTTTCACTAAGTGGGTTCACAGCAAACCTTCCCCTTCTTGATTCTTGGAGCAATCTCCAAGCGGAGTGGTGGAGAAAGTGCAGTTTGGGCATTAAGGCATATCGCTGGTAACCTTCTCTCAAACAAATATCAGCACAGGTTGTGAAACCCTGCAAAAACGCAAACATCCACATGCTGAGTTTTTTGGCTTGGTCACTTCTGATCCAGTATCCCTGGCCGTACATGAAGCTCACAGCAGTGTTGATGGCGAAGACCGACTTTGCCTTGCCAAGCTGGAAATAGGCTTGAAAAATATGAAACATATATAATGTTTTGTTAACTAATAGCATAGGCAGGAACAGAAAGGTAAAAAACACAGAAAATCCATAAAACAACTACAGGTCACTGCTGTTGTCAACACCAGGTCATCCGTTTTGCCAACGATAAACCTCTTGGAGAAATCCTCAAAGTACTGAAGGAATTGTGTAGCTACCAATCCTTTTGACCATTTTCCAACAGGACACGCCCTGCTTTGCGGGAAGCAAAGGGATTCCCTTGAAATTTCGAATAAGTATGGCTGCATTCCTTTGTCTCTGCAAAACCTTTTGAAATCGTTCGTCATCCACTGAAGCTTTGAATCTACGGAATCCATAGACCATGTGTCAAGTCTTTCCACTGCACAAATGACTGAAGATGCAAAGAAATGTTTCGCCAGACCTAAGTGCAGATTGTGCCACACATCAGTGACAAAGAACGATGCCTTCTTCTCAGGGCAGAGCGGTAGCCCCCTCAAAATTGCAGGAACTGTGTCCCACGGATCCTCCACCTCCACTGTCTCCTCCCACTTGGGTTGAACACTTGTATCCTCATACGGAAAAAAAGGGTCACCAGGTCCACTTGACTCCTTCCCCGCAAGGCACATGTGGCAAATGCCACGGCAGGCTTTCTTTGAAGATCCAGCTTTTGGAACATGAGAATGGGTGCGTTTGAAACCTCCCAATTTGGAAAGGGCTGGTAAATCTCCCTTTGTAGCCACATGGACCAACCAAACACGACGATCCCCACGGCTGTTTGTCATGCCTTGGTCTGCTAGCATAGCCATGTCCTCTGCATAGAGCTCCAAAAGTGTGGTCATGCTGCCAGGATACTCTACAGTCACTGCGCGTAACATGGTACAGAAGATAAATTGGTTGGACCAGGTGTTCCCAAGAAAGTTCAGACCCATACCTCGTCTTTTGATTGGTGCCAAATGCTTCCCTTTGTCAACGTACTCTTTGGTACCACGGCCTAGGCACCCATGAGTTGACAACACCCAAAGTGGTTGGTGTTTGTATGAGCGGCCCTCATCTGTGTGCGAAAACACTGGCACAGCACATGATAGATCTACATTCTCCCGGTTGAAGATCTCATGCGTGGGATGTAGTTCTCGGAAACGAGACCAAAATTCTGTCAGGGTTTCGTTCATTTGGTCCCATGTTGCTACTCCACACAACTGTCTTGGCAACCTCTTGCTGTCCAACAACAGGCGCACCCAAGAGCTCATCTTGATGTAGGGAAACTCTTTCAACTTTTGTGGCCCTAAGTTGACCCTCTCGACATAGACAGCCGCTGAGAAACCATACTTTTTGAATACCCGATGGCATCCTCTTTCAGCATGAGCTAGGGAGATCCCTGCAAAGTCTCTTATAGCCCTGCATGCTAATGGGGTCTCTGCAGCCTGCGCCTGTGCAAGCTCCACCACATGCTGGCATGCGGCCTCGGCGGATCACACGTTGCTTTTTGTAGGATATATATGTGAACCCACACATGAAAAACATGAACTTGACATTGCAGGCAGCACACCCCTTCTTGCACATATGTCATGCACTTTTACTTTTACATGCTGTTTCTTTCAAAAAATAAACCTAAAAACAATCAAAGCTCCTGATATGAAGTTGATGCCCTTTTCACCTCACCTTTTGAGCAGCATAGAGCCACGAAGTTGCAAAGTGCAAAGCTCAAACATTGAATTGTCACATGTTGGAAAACTACCCAACACGTCTTGGTTGGTCAGCACGTGCAGCTACCATGTACAAATAGTAAGGGGGCGGTGATGGGTTCAACCGGTTAGGGATCCCTCACCACCAGTTTCCGGCTTGTTTCTGCAGCCTACATGCTGACAGAATTCAGCGATCACCGCAGCTTCAAGCATGTGAATTGTGTCAATGCTTTTAGAAATAGCAATGACCCACATGCATGTGAAATTTTTTTCCATGTAGGTACTGAACCTAAGTGGTGGGTTGGTCGTGACTCCAATTTTGAAGCAACACAACCGAACCCCAATATGTTCCCTTAAGGCCGTAACCTTTCTCTTGCAGTGGGCCAAGAGTTTGCCACAAATCATGGTTTCAGGTTTTTGGCAGTGGTAGATTAAATTATGTGATCGGAGGGCTGCCCAATCAAACGATTCAGATTGAAATAGCTCACCGGCTTCAGCCATAGTTTTGGCACTGCTTCCACTGACGCTGTCCTGAGATGAGGCATGTGTTATTTGAAGATAAGGATACACCTGGAAAATATCATCGTTATTATGGTGCTCCCTGAAATGCATAACACTTGAGGAAACCAAACCAACGCTAACGCTTTGAGCCATGGTTCGTCGAACTTGATCTCACTATGATGAGGACTGCCGGCAGGTCTATCAAAGTAGTCCATGAAAACTTGCTCAGGTGGGTCACCAGTGACAATTCTGGAACATGAATGATGCAAAGAATCTTCCAACCTCAGATCCACATAATGTGATTTTTGAAAGCTTCACTGTTTTTATCATTTGATGAGATACTGAAATTTGAAGCAATATTGGTATCGAGATACTTAGGAAGCTTCGGTTGGGGTGTCTCCTCTTGGAGCGTGGCCCCCGCCATCCGCTTCTTCCCGGTGTAGGGGCAATCATAGGACAGCAGCAACTCAAGTAGATCATCGCTCTCACTCTCCATGGCCGGGGCACTGGGAAAAGGTTTCCAAAACACTAAAATCATTTATGATTGGTTCGCTTTGGTTTCAACTTTAAACTGTGTCCAAATGAACATGTCTACATGCAAGTGCGCTGAACAAAAAACACCTTTTCATTTCCATAATATGATGTGTATAAAGACCCCCTGATAGTTGTCACTCCCCTTGAACCTGAGCATATCAACTGTAGGCAGGGTGAGCTAGGGAAAGCTGGGCTGATTTGAAATCTGAATGTATATATTATATAAAGGTTCCCAAAGGTCTATCACCACCAGGGCCCCAACGCCATTGGCGATCAGTTTGGCATAGTGCCGTAGAATGCGAGCTGATTCATGGGGTAGAGCTCTTTCACCTGGCTCGGCAAGAGTTTGTTGTGAATCAGAGTGGGGGGTGCCCCCAGGGAGGTGAAATGGTAGAGGCAGTGGTGTGGTGTCTCCAACCTTCACAAGTAGAATATAGTATGCCGATATGTAACTCGATATCTATATTGACTTTTTACATATGCATGTGAGGGGAATGTTGTCTTTGCACACGGCTATGCACATGGTGCTGCAAGCGCATTGCTAATTTTTGCGCACATGTGAATGCTTCAGCGTCCACGCCCCCAAGCGTGATCCAACGCCGCACAAGACCTTGAGCTACCTTCAAAAAGTAGTCTTCCTACAAGCCATTCTCTAAGAAGTGCTACTTCAAGCACTCCAAAATGGTACGAACCCCAAAACTACCAGTAGCATTTCAGCTCTACTCTTTCGAAGTGAGCGATTTGAGGACATTCCTCATGAGCAGCAGTACTTGGAACAACATTTGAAGCTAGCCTTTTTTTAAACAAACCTTTTGGTTTCAATCTGCAGCCATGTGCATGTGTAGATGCAAATAAGTTTCCTTCCAGTCTGCTCAGCCGTCTTGACTTTGCTGCACCTAAGATGCGAGGCGTAGCAGGAGATACCAGGAGGTTATTGTATGGCTACTGTAAATTACTGAAACTGATTTTTCAATTTAACTGACAACCAAGTTCGGGTCTTCAACAACATTGCCAAGTAACGCCAGAGTAGATTGCTTGTACTGCTTTTCGACTTTTGCAACCAGCCTTATTTCCCATATGTTCTTAAAAATGTTGAAAGCAATTTGACAAAAGAACTTGAACCACCTGAAGACCCTGTCTTTGAGTATCACACAACTTCTTTGTTTGTTCCTGGATTGTTTCATCAAGGAGATCACTTGTCTCCACCTTTGTAGCCTCTATGTCTTCAAACCGCGTCTCCAGGATTTCCACCGCTTTCTCCAAGTTGGAGATGGCCCTGAGTTTGCTTCCGAGCTTGAGGCAGAAGGGTCAGTGGGAAGAGCTGGAAGGTTCTATGCATAAAATGTTGGAATTGAGACCCAGGCTTTTCGCAACGTTTGTATTCTGAGCTTTTTTCATCAAGTTCTTTGGCAGCCAACTCTGTCTCCAACTTGGTGATCAAATCGCTTACTTTGGAAGATCTTGACAGAAGTGAGTCACCAAACTTCTTCAAGTTGTTGAACTCCTAGAATAAAGAAATGGTGCAATGGATGGAGATGACGGGAACACACATATCCACACCTGACACAAAAGAGGCAACAACTACACCAAACGTCTCCTTGGGGCCCCCATTTGCCAAGTCAGCACCCTTCTTACCTTTGCCTGACTCTGAGTCTGACTCAGAATCTTCAGACGGCACGTCCGGCAGGTGCGCAACTGGCGCTCTCTGCCGGAGGCGAGGAATTGAAACTGCGCCACCTTCCTGAAGCGGGTGAGGGCTGGCTCATGTGGAAGTCAAACAAAAAAAAGTGAACTGAGAGAGGAAACAATTCCAACTAATCTGATTCTGATGATGGTCATAGACACTACTGCAGGAATTGTTTTGGATGTTTGGAAGACTTGCTACTGGTAGAACCCTGCCTCAACCTCTTCACAGATCTCTCTCTCGATGTCCTCGCCCGCCGACTCATCATCCTCCTCGTACTCAACATAGTATTTGTTGATCTTCTTGTTGTACTTGTCCTTCCTGAGCCCAGATGAGAATAGGCTTGTTTTTAGCACATATGTATACATGCATGCATATATGTGTGTTTGTCCAAAATAATATTGTTTTCATATATCAGATATCACTCTTAAAGGGTCCCATGGTACATATAGTTGAACCTATAAGTATAAGTGGTAGAGACGGCGGCAGGAAAAAAGCATCCGAGCATCCTCACCAGCTTTTCGTTGCCCTTTTTCTCGCAGAACTTGACGACGCCTGCAATGTAGTTCCTGGGCTGGGCAAGATGGGCATTGGAGTAAGAGTCATACAGTCATTGATTGTGTTAAGAGTTTCCAGGATCACAATTGCTGGTAAAGGTTTGGATTTGAATTGCCTAGTGTCTTACTCCAGTTCAGGTTGCGCTCCATGCTCTCTTTTGTGTACCAACCTCGTTTCTTTCTAGCACTCTTTTTGTGTATGATCTCATGGCTTCTGGTCACCTTCTTCACAAAGATGTCCTCACACACAACACTGGAATGATTGAATGGTTGATGGCAAGATTTGACATCTAAGATATAACATGTCATGGCACCCCTTGACATTGTATGTAGAATACTCTACAATATGTTATTCAGTGTTAGTAGTTAGTAGTGATTGCTTCAACATGTTCAGTCCTTGTCCCAGTTGGCATTCTCAAGTTCCTCTAAGAGTTGGTCCCGGGTGTGTCCAGCTTTCAACCACATTTGGTGAATGGACTCTGGAACTTGGATTTTCCCTGAGGGCTTTTTCTCGCACAATCGTCTTAGACGATTTTTTTTGGCAGCAAGGGACAACCCAGCATCCTCCCCTGACTCCGAACCAGAGCCTTGGCCTTCGGACATCTCAGGCTCTAAGTCAGAGCCTTTTTCACGAGCTGGCATCGAACTCTGCGAGGCGGCAGTGGTCGTTGGGGATGGACGGGGATGCTTTGGGGTTGGGGTCTTTGTTGCTGTCCGGGTCTTTGTAGTGGCCTTCTCAGCTTCCAAACGCTTTCCCATTTCCTCCAGTTGAGCTTGCATCCGTTCATTGGCCTACCGGGGGGATCAATGTCAATGGAATGGATTGGCAATTGAATGTAGCAACAGCTGTCAGCCCATGGTTTCCAACCAAACACATTTGATTTATATGCAATGCAGTTTCACATTAACAAAGGAAATCAACATAGTAAACTGATGTGCCTTCTTCAAGCTTTCAATCTGGGCATCAGGATTGGGATCTTTTGCTTTTCCACGCTGTCGTTTCAACTCAACTGGCGCAACATTGTGTTCAGGTGTAGCTTCCGGTGGGGGTCCTTTGGGACATCGTTTGTTCTCTTTCATAGGTGTTTCCTTCTCATTAGTAGGCCCCACACTGGGACCCGCAGGGCTGGTTTGATTCCCTTTGGGTGTGGCTGTCGGTTTGGCTTTGGCAGCAGTGGCAGTACGGGACTTTCCTGGTGGTTTGGAACCCGAACTTCTCAAAGCTTCTTTGACTTCATCAGGAGAAGCCTCAACCATAAAAACACAAACACAGTATTCAAACACTATCAAACAATATCACATCAGGTGTCTTTCCTCATGTTTGAAGTTGGTTGAAATTAATGTTGCAGTAACGAAGATATCGCTAGATTGATCCAAGGAACCGGTTGAGTATCAGCTTCAGCAATCTGTGCCTCAGTTCATGATGAAGGAAAGGCGATGGCAATACCCAACTTCAAACATTGTTTGTTTGCAACTCGTATTGCAATTGGCATTACTGTTGGTCCTATATTGATTCAAGTTACAGCCTTAGCAGCTTTCTTCAAGGACTTGAGCTGGCTTTCATACTCCTCAAACAGCAGTGGATAGGATAAGTGCATGAAACCATTATGAAACCCTTCCGATCATGTCAAAACATCAGAATATACATACTACCACTGAGTATCCTTTTTGTTTCAAAGAGCGCTGAAGAGGAGCAGTAAAATCTTATTGATAATCAAAAACCTCAAGAGAATCTCCTCTATCTTCTTCTGCAGTTCTTCTTCTGTTTCGCCTTCCTTCTTAACTGCAACCATACGTTCACTCGCCTTCTGAAGTTCACTACAACTATGGGTTTTGGATGGCAGTCTAGTGGGAGCCATCTCAATTACTCTCACCAAAAGCCGCCACACAGGCAAAACGCCTTGAGAGCCAAGAGGCCAGGTATCAGATGGTGACTGCAACGGCTGGAATCTGCTGAAAACCAGTGAATTTTGGATGATTTCAAAACCCTTCAAAATCTTATGAAAATACGTATTTAGTACGGGTTTTAGTACGGAAAAATACGCCCCTTTACGCCAAAATACGCCCCTAGTACGGGTGGTTTTCCCAGTACGTACTGAATACGTATTTTGTACTGATTTTGTACGTATTCCATACGTATTCCGGGGTACGGGTTAAATGATGCATTTTATGAGTGATGTTTGCTTATAAGACAATGATAAGGTCAAGAAATCCTTTCCAATTCATTTGTTGGCTATGGTACTCCCCGGAAACCTTCACAAACACAGCTTTCAGATCAAGGACACCATCCAAATTGCTATGTTGAATATGTTTGATGCGAGCATTCTCCAACAACAGTCACTTTTCCTTTCCCAGATTGCAAGCCACTCTCGGTCAAGCGTGGAAAAGTCCAAGTTGTACGAATTATTGTAAATTATAAATGTTTTTGGAAACATTTAATTAGCTGGATCCCTGGGGCCTAAGGCCTCTAGAGCTCCTGGGGAAAACACTCACGCCATGTACCAAGCTGCAGATGCTTGTTGCCACGCAGCCAAGCTAGTACGGACACCATGTTGGCATCTTCCCACAAGTCCCCCCATTCTAAGGAGATAAAAAAATCCTTTATTGGAACTGGGCTAACTTTGGGGTCCACTTCCCGGAAAACTCTCGTGCTGCAGAACTCACCATGTAATCTTTGGAGTTTTTGTCCAAAGCGTGGAGGATAGTTCCTGGGCGAAGCATACCGATTATTTAAACGATCCCTTTTGAACCATGGCAGCATTGTTGCTGTTGTTAAGTGTTGGATGCACATACAAGTATATATCATATACAGCTAAGGAATGGGCTCTGAGCTCTTCAATGATTTTGTTCCAACAAATCTCTTCTTGCCACGGGAGACATAGGTCTTCGCAGATTTCCCCAAAGTAGCTAGCTTGCGGACATACTTCTTGCAAAGGGTTCCAAGGTCCAGCTCCCCCACAACTGGTGAGTTTGCCCAAGCAATTTGCCGCTTGGGAAATTTGGAATAGTAGTGGGCCATATGCCAACAAGCATACCAAACCTGGAACAGGTTTTGCCAGAAATGTCAACATTGGTAGCATTATATTTTCTATGAATCCCTACAATGATCCAAAAATAAATAGGTTCCATTAACATTACAACAGCAAACAGTTTCATTAGTGTGTCATACTAATTATGTTGGAAGCAGGCCTCAAAACATAGCTCATAATGTGATGATGATTAACGATAACATAAGAACCACATGTGCGACCATTGGTTATACTGATAACCACATGTAAACCAGCATTTTTTCCTTAGTTTTTTTGATGGGCCATATAGCATGCAAATTGGTGATGTTCTATTTGTTTTCGAAAACAAAACTAACCATAACTAACCCATACCCCAATAATGTCACCTTCTCCAAATCGTGGAACAGCTGCCGCACCCTCGGATGCCAGTCCAACGTTGAAGACCGCGGCTGCTCTAAAAGAAAGCAGCCTCCCATTGCAACGATGGCATGGAGAAGGAGAGTTGACCTGGGAAAGGAGAGCTAGATGTTTGGCAAGTATTTAGGTTTGGTGTCAGATAACATATTTTTATTTGTAGTCAATGCACAAGCATCAAGAGGTGTACATCTTGTTGGCTCAATATCAATGGAAAGAATATAAGAAGCATTGTGCAGGTGTACAAATATTATTGACAGTAACTTTGAAATTAAGGACACAGTGTTGTTTTTTAAGCACTGGCTTGAACTCGTATGTACTGTTGGGAGTTACCGCAGCTCAGCTAGAACAGATTTGATAGTTCTAGCATGTTCTATCCCTCCTACAATATATAATATTCCATACTTCGTGTTTAGACCTGACAAAAACATCATTAGCTCCCTTTTAGAACACCAAACATGTTATGGTGTGTTTTTGTCTCAAAATAATCTATTATTTGCTAATGCATGAAATTCATTGAAATTCATTTTGTGATTTGAATTGTCTAGTCTCATGAATTTGGACGGACCCACTGGTTTGCCTACATTAACTTATGTAACCTATATATCTATCCCCAAAGTGGTTAAGAACCCCTGGGAGTGGACTTGTTAATATCCCTATAGATCAGCAATAAAACATTGAGAAGGATTCCCATGCATGCATATACACTTTCATTCTTGACAAGATACCTGCTAGCTAGCAAGTTGCCTCGGGCAACACTCGGGTATTCCTCGGCACCTAGTGGTGCATATGGATATCGCTGATTCGTACCTCGATTTATGGCCACAAATGAGCTGCATACCATAGCAACCACCGCCAGAAAGTCATCAAACTGGCCATTGAGAATGCTGACTAGGGCTAACCTTGGCTTCTTCTGGAAACCAACCCCAAAAGATTTTACACCACTTGAAATGGTTCATGTTTGGACAGTCAACCAGAGTATTTTCCAGTGGACAAATCACAGCGCTTCTAAACACTGCCACAAAGAAACAAAAACCCACAATCACTCAATAAATCCATGGGATTTTGGGGAGAGCTCTTGTACATGGGCTCCGTCAACAAGATATCGAGTTGAGCAGTGGGTTTTCCTGACGACCTCATCACTCTGCTTACCCATGCAGTCCCGCAGAAGAGCTCAATGAATGTAAAGGCCTGAGTTTTTTCCCCAAACATCAGAAGTAAGAGGTAAGCGGTGTAATGGACAAATAGTAAACATAACATCTTAAGTTCCAGAAGCAGACCCTACTATCTTCCAAGCCTCTCGGAATATCATCACATTGTCAGAGACTGCTAACAGGATGATGAGGCCCATCAAGATCTGCCAGAGGCCGAAACAACAATTTTGATATACTTCAGGGTTCCTGAAAGAAGATTTGTTTGGTAAAATATTTGATTCCTGTCAAGTCTGCCCAAAGTATGATGGTAGTTTCATAATAGTTCCCCAACCAACTTGTTTATACAAGTGCTGAAGCGTTTAGGTCACGCAGTGTTTGGAATATGTACATATTTCACAATTTTATACATTTTTTAAATATCCTATGAATTTGACCAAATCATGGCATGGCACGGCAGGACTTCAGAAAGTGATGGATGACTGTGATCAAAGCTGCCTCTTGGCAACAACAGGAATGTGCCTGTGAGTGTGCGTCCAGTGTAAAAATCGATTCATTTATATATGTTAGAAACATGTTTGGGATGGTAACCTTAAGTTGGATTCAATTGGCTTACGCCCGCCTTGGGGGCCCCATTGGCATGCAGCCTTTTCACAACGCGGTCCAGCATCCAAGCTTTCCCCGGGGGAATGGCCATGGCTGAACTACCAAATTAGTCAGTTGAAATTGCAGACCTCAGCCAAAAAACTCAGCTACAGGTGTTGCAGGTTCAGGCTTGAAAACGTTGTAACGCTCTTGTTATGAACGTCCACAATTTGTTGTGGATTATCCCGACGAAAAACCAAACTCAAGATTTTGTCAACTTTATCTCATTGATTTTGTTTTACACCTCTACATGCAGACCCCCAAGTTGTGAATTCAGAAGAAAGACTGTGGAAAGCATTTTAGGAGGAGTAGGACAAGTAGAGACAGAACAGAGAAAATATGTTATCATGGAAACAGTGGGTGAAGTTCCACCGGGTAGCAAAACATGCCAGACAAACCCAGAACTTGTTCTGGAGCAAGACGTAACCTCCAAGCATCTCCTCTCGACCTGAGGGGACAGCTAGAGAGAATCGATCGGGCTGTGGATATGGAAGGGTTACCAGGATAGCAGGGAATTCAAACCAAATCATATTATATAGCCCCTTTGATAAGTAGTCACGTTTTCACATGTTTCTCATACCAAGTATGACCACACAGTTTGACTGGTTGAGTTTGGGCAGCTGTCCTTTCTTTCGCTTTTGCACGAGATGTGTCTACGAGAATGGCAGGGTCTAACCCAATCGCACAGCATGAAAGCTGGTATTCCACACGCCCCAATCCGCAATACAGACAAAGATGCTTAGGTCTACATCCTATTCACTACAATTTGGTAATTAATGTTCTTGTGTTACAGGTAAGTGTTCAATAGGGGCTGTGGAAACCCTTCATCCCAACTTCATGGCCGGTTAGGCTTCCCGCCAGTAGACCTAATGGTTGTGTTCTGATTTCGCCCCAAGATTCCAAGATATGTCATGGATCGGCTACCCCAGATCCAACCACACCTACGCACACACCAGATAATATGAAACAACAAAATCGTTATGAAACAACAGCGTTAAACAAACAGCGTTAAACGAACGAACGTGAACATACTACCACCAGCAAAGGCATGCACGTGGGGAAGAGTTGGCACATGATTTGACGAAATTACAAAAAGGCTCAGCTTCGCTGAGGGGATGAAAGCTTTTCGATATACTTTGCTGCAGCGAGCTTGGCATTCGCATGAAAATCAAAGCAACTGAGATTCACCTGTTCAGCCCACTCAGTCTGACAGAAAGTCCAGAAAGAGTACTGCAGGGAAACATGTTCAATCAAACTTTGGGGAATGAAGGGTCAATTGGGAGGATCATATTTTGTTTTCAAAATATAATGCCAAAAACAATCACAGTGTCTTGAAACTTTCAAACACCAAACAGAATTCAACATAAAAAATTGACAGAAAACAAGAAGCTGCTGATTATCCCAGAACAGCACCCCAAACCAAACATAAAGTTGTTTGAATGATGCAATGCAGCATAAAGCTTGAATAGGCTTAATACGTGTTTCCCAACAGGTTTATGTCATGTGTGGGTGTCCTCGTGGGTCGAAACGTTCTTGTCGATGTGGGGGCGGACGCTTTCAAAGGCACTGCGGATCCCATCCCACCTTCTTTGGGCAATGTCACAACGGGTAGGTCTGTTACGTCGACCAAAACTCTTCTCAGCCACCTCATCCCCCTTCGGCTTTTCCACCTTGGCCTTCTTCTCCCCACCTTCCTTGGGTTGCTTTGCTTGGGGTTTCTTGGCGGGCTTGGCAGGCATGTCTTTCTTGGGTTTGCTGGTGCCAGGCTTGCTATCTTCAATTTCGGCAGGAATGTCAGGCTGGGTAGGTGGGATTTCATCGTCCATGGCTCCGGGGGGTGTGTGGGGTGCTGAAATCTCCATATCATCTGCTGCTGGGGCTGGTGTTGCCTTTGTAGCTGCAGCTCCCTTTCTCTTGTTTTTTCTCTTTGGCGAAGCCTTGACCTTGACCTGACCTGCTTTCTTTTCATCCTTGCTATCTCCTTTTCCCTTACCTTTTCCTTTGCCTCGGGTCTTTCCTTTGCCCCTGCCCTTTCCTCTTCCCCTTCCTCTGCCCTTTCCCTTAGGTTTCTCCTCCCCACCATCCTCCTCTTCCTCCAAAGCCCGCTTGGCAGCAAGCTGCTGGCGACGAAGTACCTGAGCAGAATAGCCAAGTCAAACTAAATGGTTTTATTTGTGTGTTTTCAACTGCTTGGTTGTGCAATGTTATTTTTACAAAGCACCTTTAAAACAACAAACATATCATACAGGGTAAGGTGCTCCGTTTTTTTCCGGTGTCATCTCTAACTCTGGGATCTCTCGGTTGAAGCGCTCCATCAAATCTTCAGCGGGCAACTCTGTGGGAATGGTGTCCATCTCATCATGTCCATATGGAAGGGAATCATCAATCCAAATGGGTTCGGAGAACACTTGGGACTTCCCCTTGCTGAGGTTGACCTTGTCCGCAATCCTTGCTGGAAAACTTGCATTCAAAAACATATATATAACAAAAACATGTTATGTCATTCAATATAAAATGAAAACATTTCAGGGTGTGGGGCAGACCTCAAACAACAGCGTGTTACAAAGTGTTGACAGGGTACAATTGCATAAATGTGTCCTAGTGTCAAAGCTGCTTTTTGCCGGCGAAGCTTTTCAATCTCAGCCTTGAGATCCTTCATTTGGCTCTCCGTCTCCATGTCCATCAAGGCTCCTGGTTCAGGTTCACTTGCACCTGTAGGATCATAGGGAAGTGCCTTATCGGCTGGGGTGTACTTCTCATACTCACCAGGGGAGTCGACAGTGTCCATCTCTTCTTCCACATTCGATGCTAGTTGGGAATCAGGTACTTGGGAATCAGGTACTCGGGAATCAGGTACATGGGAATCTTCAATAGCTTCATCCGATGCATTGGAATCACGAATGGGATTGGGCTCATCAGGTATGTCATCAACAACTTCCTCCATGTTTGGGCCCACATGAAACTCATCGGGGGCTTGAGTGTCTTGCTCCACCAAATTCATGTCACCGCCATCATCATTACCATCCTCGCGACCACCCACAGAGCCATCATCATCATCATTATCATCATCATCAGACACGGCCACGGAGATGTCCCCCACGTCGTCGAAATTCATGTTGTCCTAGAGTAGCAGGCCAATGTGGTGTAAACAGGTGAATCTTGGAACAGGTTGGAATATAAAATCATGGTATATATAGTCTTTGAAACAAGACAAAAAGAACCAGCGGTTTGAAATCAAAACAAAATCAACAGTGGGATGCAAAAGAACAACAGTTGAACATATGCTGGTCCTCTGGCTCTGGTTCGTTGAACCGGTCGGGAAACACTGAATTCATCAAAGACCTGAAGCCTGCATCCCTGGGAAGTTGGGCACGTTGAATCTTACGCTTGAGCAAAACGCAGAACTTCTTCAGCACCCATGCATCCTTTTTGATCTGCTGCTTGTTCTGGGTCTTGCCCAAAAGGTCATGAAGAATCTGAATCCTTAGGGTGTGATAGTGGTGGTTACTGTAGAACAATATATTTGGGATTTGTTGGGCCCATATCACCAAATTATTCCAAGTTCGGGTTAAACATACTATTCAAGACAAAACATTTTAAATTATTATTCAACCTAGTTTCTCTGTGATCAAGTCTGGAATGGTAACCATTACCATCTTTCCCCTAGAACCCCTCAAGCGCTGAGCAAGCGGTTGGAGGGTATCCCGATTCACCCCTGCCATTTTGACGGTGAGGTCACAAAGCTGGCCGGGAACTTCGGAGCGCAAGAGGCTGCCAGAGTCTAAGAGCAACCGGCGGGCAGCTGGACATAATTCCCACTCCGAGGCAACACCAGTGATCACAGCTTTTGCAGCCATGAATGGGTTTGGATATTGATGACACAAAGGTGAAATAGATTGATCCCTCACCAGGCAGCACTGTAGCATAAAATGGCTGTGGCACATATATTTGGTTCTCCTTCAACATGATCATACATGTCCATGTGGACAATTTGTTGATGTTGGAAAACGCTGTATGTTCTTTGAACATCAGGCCCACTCTAGTGGAAATTTGGTCGGTTGTAAAATGTAATTTGTTTCCTATGTACAGCTCACCCAATTTACATCCAATTAATTCATGTCAGGATAACATCAGGGTGTGTGATGATGTTGACTTTGCTATACATTTAACAGGCATATTTATATAGACGGAACACAATAAGATTTAAGGGGGGTTGTCACGCTTTGATTTTGTGCTAATGAAACCAAAATAGTGATTAGTTGGGTTCCATTGCAATTCTTCCACCACCACCTTTGAAGGATCTGTTGGTGACCCCTCGCTTGCCCGGTCTGAGGCCCCAAGCATTGATACTCTTCAGCGCCCAGTGCAGACACAGCGAACATCAGCGATGAAAAGGTAAAGCTTTCGCTGAGATGGAAGGGCAGGTGTGAAACAACATTGGTTTAACTTATAGAATTCCCTTCAAGTGGATTATTCTCCAAGTTGAAAGATTGTGGAAGGCAGGTGTGCCCCTACAAGGTCCATCTTAAGACTGTTGAATATTGCTGCTATCTGCAATATTGATGAATCTTGGTCATAATTCCTACCATTCAGCCGCAATTGATCCAAAATACGGCCCTTTTGCAAAATACGGTCCTCAGCGGCAAAAGACAGGTTCTTGATACAAGAAACAGGATATTTTTGAAAGACCTCCAAACCGCAGGTCACAGGAGTTGCAGGTATATATATATATATGCATTAATATATCATTATATGTAATTTGTTTGGTACCTACTAGACATCCATTCGTACTAGAAAAACGTACCCCCCCATGTTTGGTACTTACTAGTTTTCATGAAAACGTATGAAATATGGCAAATCGTGCAAATTTTGTCAAAATAGTGATCTGCGTATCGTTTTTTTTGAAACGTATCACTTTTTAGACGCACCAAGCAAATGGACAGTAAACATAACGCAACTCGAGCGCAATTTGAACAAGTAGTACACTTCGCACAAATCCACCAGCAAAATTGTTTACTTTTTTGGAAGGCGACCACTTTTTAGTGAAACGTCATCAAGATTGTTGAAACGACAACGTTTCTATTGGTGTCACTTTTTTCTAGTACAAATGGACATGCAGGTAATATATAATATATGTACAATATATAATATGTACAATATCACAATTAACTGCAACCTTAAGACTACACTGCAGACTGTATGCTCCAAACCCAAACACACTGACAACTCCACTCGGGCGCGCACCAGTGGTAGTGCACCAGCAACGCCCAAGGCTGCAGAGAGTTTGCTACCTGCCAGAAACCGGAATAAAGAAAAGCCATGTCTGCCGCATGCATGAGGGGATGAATGGGAAATTGTTCATTTGGGTGGGTCTAGAATGGGATATGATGTACCATGAAGTGGCACTTTAAGAGGACATATTATGGTTTATCACTGGATTTTGGGGAACCATACTTTTCAGACAAACCCATTTCCTTTCCTCTGCAGAAGCACAAACTACGATGTACGAACAGGCCGATAAAAAGAGCACATCCGCATGTCGTGCCAAAACGTCATGTGTACGATTGACGATGAAATTTAATATCTACTGACATGTTTGATGGGACTACATCATCAACAAGGTGCCATACCCCCAACGGAAATCATGAACCATCACACAATTGAGCCATTAAAATACCCCTATCCCATCCCACTATACTGGTTGGTTGATAGGCATTCCCACAATGGATGATGCTAATCCCCAACAAACCAGCTAGTACAATCCCCCGAACGAATCAAAGCTATTTCTAAAGGCGCATTTACATCAGGGGAAACCACCCTGATCCCTGATGGGTTCCCATTGCACGTTCCCACCTCTTCCCGCAAGTTCCGCACCCTGGCCGGGGCACTGTTTGCAGGCCCGGCCCTGCCAAGAAGTGCTGGCCGGGCAAGGGCGAACGAACGATTGGACAAACAGTATCTGGGATTGCCATGGGTCTGGGTCGCTAATGAAAGCTAGACAAGTCAAAATATTAATCATACTTACAAATAGATATAATATATATAATATATATAATATATATATAATATATATATAATATATATATATATAATATATATATATAATATATATATATATATAATATATATATATATATATATGACATATGAATACATAGACGTATATATGATGATATAGATATCTGTATTGTATATGCAATTATAATATATGTATATATATAATTATATATATAATATATATATATAATTATATATATATACATAATTATATATATATAATTATATATATATATAATTAATCCCCCATGTATAGCCCGCTAGATGCTTTGCGGCCGACTTTATAGAGAATAGCCTGGTATAAACTGGAATGGCCACATGTCTGGAGTCTATAAAGTGGAAAGCCAACATGTTTTGTCTATAAAGTCAAAATCCAACGTTTGTATAAAGTCGCCTGGCCGCGTAAAAACATAAAACTCGATGCAGGTTTTTGAGGGTACTTGTGAACATGTCCCATGACTATAAAGTGAGATGCCGAACATCCAGATAGTAATACTTGTGCAGAACAGTGGCACTATAATGTGGATTTCCGGCTCAACAACGATCGTTGTAGTAGCGATGATTTTCTTAATCGCGACGATGGCAGCATCGACATGATTGTCTATAAAGTTGAGGGGCCACGTTCAAACCTTGGGGGAATATCATCGATCTCATCGATGGGGAACCCAAAAGACTTCGAATGACTTCGAAACCGAACGAAACCGACAGCCAGACAAATATCTATATCGAAGTCGTTAACAGAATCTATGGTAAAACAAAATCTATGTTGGACTGGCCACTTTATACCCCCTCCCCCAACAGAGAATGCCTGGGTCCTTGGGGTGAAAGGGGTCCTGGTCGCGCCGCGCGCGCGCACGCGCGCGCGCGCCGCGCCCAGGACCCCATTCACCCTGAGGACCCCTTTCAAGGGAAATCTTCTTCTCTATAAAGTGGCCAGTCCAAGTAAAACCCCTGAAAAAACAGAATCTATGTTGGACTGGCCACTTTATACCCCCTCCCCCAACAGAGAATGCCTCTATAAACTGGCCAGTCCAGGTAAAACCCCTGAAAAAACACATTTTTACCTGGAATGGCCACTTTATACCCCAGCCAGTGGGCTCCAGGACTTTGACCCGGAAACGGAAGGGCTGACAACAAGGTAAAGGGGGAAAACTACAACGGAGAGGTACAACGGGAAGGCTACCACAAGAAAATGAGACATGTCACGTTTATATACGTTTATTGTTTTCAATGTGTCATATAGATTGGCGATGATTGGTATATTGAATATGTTGTAGATGTATTTTGGAACATATGTATACCTATGATTCACACATCAATATAAATATATATAAATCATAAACACATGCCAAACCAAAAACTTTTAGCTGAGTATTGTATTCCCAATCTGTTGGCAAATGTCCAGCCGATTCACCATGCGTGACCCAACAAGATTCAAACTATGGATTGTTTACTTTCGAAAATATTTTTTTACTGGTTCTTGCAAACAATTTTATAGAGGATGGGCATGGACCGGCCAGTTTATACAGAGGGTGGGGCTGCCAGAAATGACGTGATCAAGCCACTTTATAGAGCTGAACTTTCTTGCAAACCATTTTATAGAGGATGGGCATGTGGCCGTGGTTTTGGTCCATAGATGTCCATAGATTTTTAGGATGATTTTGGGAGATTGTCGTCATAGATATACGTAGATTCACCCAGTATTTTTTTTCAAAAGTAAACAATCCATAGTTTGAATCTTGTTGGGTCACGCATGGTGAATCGGCTGGACATTTGCCAACAGATTGGGAATACAATACTCAGCTAAAAGTTTTTGGTTTGGCATGTGTTTATGATTTATATATATTTATATTGATGTGTGAATCATAGGTATACATATGTTCCAAAATACATCTACAACATATTCAATATACCAATCATCGCCAATCTATATGACACATTGAAAACAATAAACGTATATAAACGTGACATGTCTCATTTTCTTGTGGTAGCCTTCCCGTTGTACCTCTCCGTTGTAGTTTTCCCCCTTTACCTTGTTGTCAGCCCTTCCGTTTCCGGGTCAAAGTCCTGGAGCCCACTGGCTGGGGTATAAAGTGGCCATTCCAGGTAAAAATGTGTTTTTTCAGGGGTTTTACCTGGACTGGCCACTTTATAGAGGCATTCTCTGTTGGGGGAGGGGGTATAAAGTGGCCATTCCAGGTAAAAATGTGTTTTTTCAGGGGTTTTACCTGGACTGGCCACTTTATAGAGGCATTCTCTGTTGGGGGAGGGGGTATAAAGTGGCCAGTCCAACATAGATTCTGTTTTTTCAGGGGTTTTACCTGGACTGGCCACTTTATAGAGGCATTCTCTGTTGGGGGAGGGGGTATAAAGTGGCCAGTCCAACATAGATTCTGTTTTTTCAGGGGTTTTACCTGGACTGGCCACTTTATAGAGGCATTCTCTGTTGGGGGAGGGGGTATAAAGTGGCCAGTCCAACATAGATTCTGTTTTTTCAGGGGTTTACCTGGACTGGCCACTTTATAGAGGCATTCTCTGTTGGGGGAGGTGGTATAAAGTGGCCAGTCCAACATAGATTCTGTTTTTTCAGGGGTTTTACCTGGACTGGCCACTTTATAGAGGCATTCTCTGTTTTGGGAGGGGTATAAAGTGGCCAGTCCAACATAGATTCTGTTTTTTCAGGGGTTTTACCTGGACTGGCCACTTTATAGAGAAGAAGATTTCCCTTGAAAGGGGTCCTCAGGGTGAATGGGGTCCTGGGCAGCTCTATAAAGTGATTTGGGTGATGTATCTCATGACTCTATAAAATGCTCTGCCGCAATTTTCTTTCTATAAAGTGCCCTGGATGCAGCACAAATTCTTCTTCTTAAAGGGCAAGTTTCACTCTATAAAGTGCTTTGCCATGTATACAGCCCCAACAGAAAGATATTGGCCCGAAATCATTGGGGAGACATGTTTCTATAAAGTGGATGGTGTGACATATTATGGCCATTCTTTGAAGGGAACCAACGGTCTATAAAATGCATTGCCGCATATATTGAGTCGTTTCCTTGTGGGGAACCAGCCGGGTATAAACTGGAAAGCCAACGTTGCTATAAAGTCATCTTCCAGGTCCAAGGGCATGTTTCTCGCGCAAAACACGGCTTTATCCCCCATTGTCGGTATATAAAGTGGCGACCGGAAACCCACTTTATAAGCGCAAAGGATGTCCACTTTATAGTGAGCTATACATGGGGGATTATAATTATATATATATGTGGGTGTCTTGATGCGTGCATGTTCATGGTGTACATCGGTTGTGTAAGATTCTCGTCTCATCCACGTATCACGTATTGTCTACTCACCGACATTGGTCATCTTGGTGGCTAAATGATGGGATATAGATGTGCAAGAAGTTGCCTTGTGGATCCTTGTGGATCATCCCGCCACTCGCCTTACAACCTTGAAAGATTCCTCAATAGAAAAGAACCTTTTACCCTCTGGTAATTTAACATAGCTATTGAAAATGGGCATTTATAGTGGATTTTCCCATTAAAAATGGTGATTTTCCATAGCTATGTTAGTTTACCAGAGGGTATCCCATCCATTGAAGGTCACCTCCTCATAATCCGGCCAGCTGCAGATGCGTCGAGAATACATAAAATTGATCAAAAAGGGTGTGTCCTCGGAAATCGGCCAAAATCGGATATCATCCCAAATAGAGGTTTCCTGAAATAGGGGTACCCCCAGTCATCATCCATATAAAAAAATCCATGTTTAGTTGGATTTTCCACTATAAACCATCCAGCTATTTGGGTACCTCATGGAACCCCCCACGTCATCCCATATCATCGGCCCAGAAAAAGTGCTTCGGGAGCCTCAGACTTTGGAGCAGCCAGGAGAGCACCGCCCCAAAGCCCTACCACCTGGCTAGGAGACTGGACCGTTCATACCATGAAAAAAAAAATATATACATAGGTACATGTACAAATAAGTATAAATAAGTGTATGTATATCTATATATATATATATTATACGTATATATATATATATATAGTACATACCCATATTGTATCATATTGTAGATATTTATGGTTGGCTGTTTCAGTTCATCCCAACCCAAAGCGTTTTACTCAATTGAGACGACCGTGATTCCACCAATCAGATATATAACTGAACAGTCTCATGCTGGGTTTGAATCAAAATGTTGGTTATATACAGACAGCATTGGTCATACTGATACTGATTTGGGAATTTGGGATTTGCTGCAATACTAGTGTTCTAAGAATCCAAGTGCATATGTGGTATGGTCCCCACTTGATACCTTGAAACTCGGACGGCCCATCACCATGTAGTCCTCTTTCTAGGGGTGCTCCCATTGATGTCTGTTTAGCCCAGGATCTGCCCGTCACCACTCAAGCCGGAAGCAGGGCGACTAATCCCATCTTCCGACCCTAAAAAATTAGGTTTACCCTCTGGTTAACTACAACATAGCTATTGAAAATGGTGATTTATAGTGGATTTTCCCATTAAAAATTGTGATTTTCCATAGCTATGTTAAATAACCAGAGGGTACCCCTTCTTCTCCGCCCCGAATGAATAGGGCCAACACAGAAGCAAAGGTTTCCAGGAACGATTTCACGTTGTGTGGATGGGAAGGGATCATTGATCACCAAATATCACTGTGGCATACTGTGGCATACCAGAATACTGTGGCTTGTGGGATTCGGTGTCTTAAAGAAGAGAGACATTATATAATTAATTGGTTTTCAATCTACACTTGAATTGATCTTGGAGATCAACCCACATTTGGTATGGCAAATTTGAAACTAATTTTGATCTATTCTTACAGATCCTTCCTTCTCCATATGAACAGAAACATCAGGAAACATATGACGCATTGACCGTTCATCTTCTTGGTCTCCCGGCAGCAGGGGGAATCAAACATAGAGGGCACACCTGGAGCTCAACAAGGCGAGCCATGTGAAAATGATGAGCGTCTACCACAAACGGGGGGGTACTCAAAACATGGGTTTCAATACAAATACAAAAAATCTTGAATGAATTTTGGATGATCTGAGGCCACCCCTAGCTTAGGAAATCCAATATCATGGAATCCCCCAAGCGATGGGCAAGATTTGGAATAGTCTTGGCATTGGAAAGTGAACAGTTTTAGGTACCATGCCAGATTCAGGGTGGTACTAAAACTGATTTGGCATCTTTGTTCATGCGCAGCCCAAGGAGCGTTCGGGTCTACATGCAGAGTCCGAATAGTGGGACAGCATGCGTTGGCCTTGAGCAAGGTGCCTAGTTACAGGAGTGAACCAATGAAAGTCAGGTGGAATACATTGGAATACAGTACCCCAACATATCCCCAATAGATCCCTGTCATCTCCACATTATCTCCGCAAACAAAAAATGCGTTGCTGTAACAAATCAGCCGGTCCCGGCTCATCATCTTGAGTTCCCACACCATCAGTTCAAGGGGCTCGGCAAAGGATGTCTCTAGCTGCTGCACGACGTAGCATCTGAATCTAAATTCAACTATTAGCATCTGCTACCTGCAGGTAAGCCGCTTGCAGTCAATATATCATGCTGTTTGTTTTTCTGTATGCAAAATTGCAGCTCATGATATCTCAATTTGACCGCCTTGATTGCCTCATGTTTTTTATTAAGTCGAAGCTCAACTGCTGCGGCATGGTCCACCGCACCTGGTCAAAAGCCTGGTCTGGAGAGAGAATCTGTGAATATCTGTGACATCTTGAAGCCATGGGCGCAAAACATATCGATGTCATTCTATGTCACATGTCATTGAATTTCATGGGCATATGTCATAGGAAATTGCCAACAACAATTTCATATACTAATTGAGATGATTAACTGATCACGATGATAATAAGAAACGATATCAAAGGGACATAGGGCGAGATTAAAAAAACACCATTTGTGACATTTCATGGGGATAGTGCCAACATTCTAGCAAAATCTTACCCATATTCCAAGGCTGTTCATATTCCATGCCAAAATAGCTCCGGAAATTTGGAAAATAATGAACGACCTTTGATGATGAGAATAAGGTTGCCCTTGTCAGGCGCTCCCTTGTCACGTGCTGTCATGTCCAATCGCACATGTTTAACCCCGCTGAGAACCTTCTCAAGCAATGATTTCTTGAATAAACATAATCATAAAGTCTTGTTTCTCTCATCAATCATCAACTTCTCTGTATAGTATAGGATCTTTTAAGACCATTGGATAAGCTGTTCAGCTTATTTTTTGACGCGTTTGGCTGGCGGCTCAGCTTCCGCATCTGTAAACGGGGCCAAGTCTGGATTACGTTGTTCTTGCTCGAACCCAAATGGTACCATATTTCCACTTAATACAGTTACATTGAGTAGGATGCCACCCCTGGAGTACGATGACCCCCCCGTATGCGTTGCCGTTCCTGCATGTGGGCTTCTCAGGCATATGTTAATATCATTTTTGATCAAATCGAGGCTGCAAATTCCATTCCACATACCCACAAGGCATCACACTCTATCGCGCACGACTAAGACAACAATCGAGAATTTCCATAGCCTCCACGGGTCAAAAGTATCAAAATTTCATGGAATGCGATTGTATGCGCGACTGTTCAAAACGCTGGAAAAACAACGATTTCCCCCATATTCCATATTATCATATTCCAGAGCATTTTACCTCCGAAGAGAAAAAAAAATAAAAAAGACCTCTTCAGGTTCATTTTTTCAAAAAAAATGGTTTTTGGCTGTCTGCGCAAGTTTTTCTGGTGTACGATCCCTTTTGTGGAGTACGATGATCTGTGAGTAGGTGTGTGGAGTGCAATGGGGTCCTCTGGGGTGCGATGACACCCCTCGAGTGCGATGCGACATGAGTATGCGCGGCCGGAAATCCCCTGAGAGAAGGATTCTGGGCAACAATTCCCCAAATTCAACAGAGCGAGCGGATGCTGGTTGTTGTAATTTAACAGGATTTCAGCCCACTCAGCAAACAAGTCAAACAATATTTTGAAACCCTCTCCTTCTTCAGTCTCCAAAATGGGAAACTCACTTATCAGGACACGCTTTAGCTCATCCAGGCTCCATAGCATTTCAGGAACAACACAAGGCATCGACATGGTGCCAAACAATTTCCAAATTGAGCTGAAAGGTCTTCCCATCGCAACCAGTCAATTCACAGGTGTGAAACATGTCACACACAGGGAAACATGTTGGGAAAACAGTGGGTCCAAAGAGACAGGTCTGGAGTACGATGGATTCATAGTATATGTACATTTCCTGAATTTGGGTAACTTGGAGCTAGAAACATGTATTTCTTATCGTCTTTCGTTGGACCAATGCTTTTTGGAACCAAACATCACCACCAAAAAAATCGTGGCTCCATTGCTACGACAATGGAACTCCGCCTCGGCCTTCAGCCGCCAGTACTCGTCCACCTGTTCTGAGGCTACCAGGATCCAGATCTGCTGATGCCACCTAAAGCATACCCTCTGGTAATTTAACATAGCTATTGAAAATGGTGATTTATAGTGGATTTTGCCATTAAAAATGGTGATTTTACATAGTTATGTTAGTTTACCAGAGGGTATCTAAAACGATTACAGGCTTTGCAAAGACCATCCTATTTCTGTTGAAAGATGTTTGAACATGAACATGAGACCAACAAGAGATCGACATGGAAAAGCTGCCCACCACGGGTGAAAAAATGGCCTGGTCCGGGAGCATGGACAAGGTGAGACCTGTGCCCAGATCCTGGATGGATAAGGATTTTTCCACATGGGGAGTCAAAACCTATGGAATCCCCTGGCTTTCAGCTGGTAGTTCTGGATTCTAAAAAAGCCCCAAACATGGTATTTGCTGGTATTGATGGCCATATGTTTCCAGTGGAAAAGACCAGAAGTTCTCAAGTGCTCTGAACTCTCTTCATAGATCTTGACAGTAATTACATGTGGCCCCATAGTGATTGTTCTGATAGTTGTGACCTTGCAAAGTCCCCGGTTCAACTTGTCTTGTCGTGACAAAATGGGAGGCGTTTGAACGGGACACATATTCTCACCATGTGCATAGCAAATAACTGCTGCCGTCATGCACTTCTGCGATCTGATGAGGGGGACAATTATGTTCTGCGGAGTAACATATATGAAAAAAATGGAGCATAGTGGAGGCACACTGCAATCTTGTCCAACATTGTATAAGTTTGGTGGCTTATCATCATCATCAACAACAATAACAAGAAGAAGAAGAAGAAGAGGACATCGTCTCATCAAATACGAGAACTTCCGAGCTCGTCAAATAAGTCAACCAAGCGAACGAAAATCACAGCACAGTAGAAGCTTCAGTTTAAGAGTGCTCATCACCCCTCCAGCCCTTAGGAAAATGTTGGACTTTGCTTCTGACAGCCCTTTTTGGGCGCACCGGAAACCTGTG